GTTAGGCGCACTGCTAAATGATAGACCAGCAGTGAAGCGGCCTTAATATGCATTTTACGTCAGGGTTCACACCAGATTCCCTTTTTCATTTTCCCTGACTTTTCCCTGGTAGCCAGAGTAAAAATTACCTATTTTCCCTGACTTTATTTTCAAAATTTATGTGCAGTTCTAGAGTCAATTGTATGCAGCTTCCACACGTGCGGCGTTCAAAATCCATACTCTGACGAACTTTTCAAATTTTCCCTCACCAAAATCGAATTTCCCTGACTTTCTCTGACTTCCAGTGCCCATTTTATTTTCCCTGACTTTTCCATGACTTCCCTGACCGGTGTGAACCCTGAACGTGCATATTCCATGAAACAAAAGTTGTCAGAAATGGTCAAATTAATAAAAATATGAAATGTCTGATTTCAAAAACTCAAAATTTGCAACCTGGGTGCCAACCTGAAAGGGGGTAATGGCGTCTATGTTAGCTCAGAACCCCAAAATTAAGTGGATCAAGACGGAAAACTGTTCGACAATCGATTTAACCCTTCTGGTGGTGCTATTTTGAGTGCCCAATTTCCTTATGGTCTAACGGTTTAATTGGGGGTCTTTAATGAGAATTGTCTTCTTAGCGTTTGGGCGCCCGCACTGATAATCCAAGTGTGGGACAGGCATGCACTAGATAACGTGGGACAAAACTGTCCCACGCTTGGAAGCGTGGGACAAACCGTGTTACACGCTTACAAGCGTGGGACAAACCGTGTCCCACACTTACAAGCGTGGGACAAATCCGTGTCCCACACTTACAAGCGTGGGACAAACGGTGTCCCACGTTTGTAAGCGGGGGACATTTTGTCCCACGTTATCTAGTGCATGCCTGTCCCACACTTGGTTTTTCAGTGCGGTTTGTGGCAAAGCTAGTTTCTTTTTGTTCCACTCGGTGATTTCGGAATAGTCAATCGCGGAGATATTCTAAGCGCGAGAACGGAAAAGAAAAGACCGGACGGACAGGCCTTTGCTACTTTGCTACGCAGATTCATAATAGGACAAGCTTTTCGTTAGACGAACCCTTCTCATCAACAACCGTCGTATAAACTCGCTTGGTGCGTTACTCTTTACGAACTGATATGGCGGTCTCAAATATAAATGTGGCAGACTGTACCTGACTGTGAGCTCACACCTTACACCCAGGTAGAGCTGTGTTGAGTTCATTGATGAATGGCACCAATAGATGCATACTAACTTTAATATAAAACGACAATTACGTTACCCTCCCATCCTACACTCAAAAACTAACAGTCTTGCCCCCGATTTTATGTAGACTTTCCTCGCAGTGCCCCGGATCACCGCGTTCCAGCCTATGACAGGGATTGAATCTTCGGAAATCACCGAGTAAAACGAAAAGAACCCGAGCTTAGCCACTATCCGGGCGCCCAGACGCAAACAAGACAATGCTCATCAAAGGCCCCGAATTAAGGGGGCACACCAGTGAAAATGCAGAAGTTTCGAAAAACGATCATTCTGAGAAAAGTAACCAATGTTTTCTATTGATATTTTAATCTTGGCTCAAAATTATGTCAAAGAAAAGGAAAATCAGTATGGGTGGGCAAGGTGGCGATGGCAAGATGGAGCGCCAGTGCACCTCATTTTTCTGCGACATTGCTTCACTCCTGCCACGATTAGGCCTCTCCGGATTGAGCCTCGAGCACGGGATTTGAAAATTTCTCAACAGGACACATGTGGCTATGGTCTGAACCACGGGCATGCAAAAAGAATGATTTTGAATTTGTTTTTTCAGAAGGCAAAAATAGAAACTAATTTTTCAACCAATTTTTTCGCGCTTTCATGGCTGCAGCTCACGTCGTATTTATGGGACGGCCATTTCCGAGGTTCAAACCATAGACGCAATTTTAACGAACATTTCGCCGCAAACCGCATTCAATTATCTTAATTTTTGCGCCCGTGAGAGTGGCACAAAGGTACAAAAAAGGTGTTTTGAGAAAAGGCCCTTAAGTGGAAACATAGATTTGACGTGTTTTGACGTATTTTAGTTCAGTTTGCGCCAAAATGTTCCTCTTTTCAACTGCGTTTGGGTGGTTCAAGGGTTTTTTTAATTGAAGTTGAGGTGAAAAACCTGAACGTTAACAATTGTTCTAAAATATGCAAAAATAATTACCTTTTTAGCAGCTTCAAAAAACGTGCACAAGCCTAAGTAATCGGAATTTTGGGGTGGGGTTTGCGGCATTCGACTCGGGATGACAAGCAGAAAAATAAGATGAAATAAAAAAGAAGGGAAAAATTTGTCGATTTTCACTGGTGTGCCCCCTTAATCCGTTAGACCATAAGGAAATTGGGCACTCAAAATAGCACCACCAGAAGGGCCAAATCGATTGTCGAACAGTTTTCCGCCTTGATCCACTTCATTTTGAGGTTCCGAGCTAAAATAGACGCCAGTTACCCCTTACAGGTATGCACCCAGATTGCAAATTTTGAGGTTTTTGAAATCAGACATTTCATATTTTTATTACTTTGACCATTTCTGACAACTTTTGTTTCATGGAATATGTACGTAAAATGAATATTAGGGCCGCTTTACTGCTAGTCTATCATTTAGCAGTGCGCCTAACTTACCCTGCCGTGCGGGACCACTTCCGGTAACCTCAAAAATCCCAAAAAATTCTCAGTCTTAGAATCCGAAAAGGAACCGAATTCCGTTTCCGCGCATCGACATTTCGAACCTTCGGGAAATTTGAGCCGGTCTAGCCAGACTGAGGCTTGTAACAGGCTTCGCGATGCTCCAGTTCCGACTATCCACGCCTGGCGTTATACACCTACCCTGGCCTGCGGCGCTGGCCCGCCTCCGGCAGGCTGCTTTGCTACATATTGGCACCAAAATCGATGTGATTGCGAGTGGAAACAGCGTACGGCTTTAACATTTAAACGGGGGGTCTCCACACCCCTTTTAACGTTTCGAGTGACAAGGTTCGCTGGTCAAACGGCATGACGTCGGTTGACATACCCTCGCGAACGCAAGACGTCATGTAATGTAACCTTCGGGATAGACATTTTGGTTAAATTATGCCCAATTGGGATTCAAACCTGGGTCGGAGGTCAAAATGGATTTTATTTTCGTCATCAGCACCCTCACTCCCATTCCAGGAACTTGACATAACGTTGAAACGAACACTGTGGCAAAAAGCTAAGGAAAATTCTCTTAACAGCTAGTGGTAATTCTCCGTAGCTCCCTTATCAATATTCTCCATAGGCTCTTACAGTATTCTCCGTAGGACCGTACAGTCATTTCTGTAGGACCTTACAGTGTTCGCCGTAGGACTATACAGTCTTCCAGGTCCTACGGAGACGGCTGTGCGGTCCTACGGAGAACACTGTACGCCCCTACGGAGAATCCTGGCAAGAAAATTAACGGAATTTTCCGTACCTTGTTGCCACAGGGAATGTGAAAAAATGTCACTCTCGTTAGAGCGTTGTGTCACATTCGTTTGGATGTGAATCGGTCAAACATTAGCTTGTTCATATCCTAACGAATGTGACACAATGCTCTTACGAACATGACATTTTGACATATTCGTTTCAACGCGATGTCACGTTCCTGGAATGAGAGTGCTTGTAAACACAGTAATTATATGATTCTATAAACTTGCTTAGATAAGAAAACAATTAACTTTTTGCCTGTCTTAACGCATGGGAGAATTACTTCTCTACGCTTGTCTTCAAGCCCAAAGTCTTCCTGCTTGAACGAAGCCTAAAACTACGCTGCAGTTCCACCAGTGTATTATTCGTTGAATGCCCGTACTGCCTATGGAAGGGCTAAATTCTGGAAGGGCTAAATTCGGACAAGTTCTGCGCGCCTCTCCAAAGGACCTAAACCGGTGTACGCCTTCGTTCAAGCCCTGTACAAAAGGCTTACATTACATGCCTTCAGTTTTTCCACATTTCTCAATTCCGGTGCGAGCAGATAACTTCCACCTCCAACCCGTTCAGGCAACTACGCCAGTGCCAGTGGCCTATCCTGCCATTTTCAGTAGCGTAAGTTCGACGCGTCCGATTAGAATAATCCCGTCAGACTGGATTCAAGACAATCCTAACTGCCAAAGCAGATCCAAGACAATCGGAACTGTCAGTGCAGTTTTGAACTATCCTCACTGCAGAGGTGCCTTACACTGCAAATCAGTGAATCTCTATGTCCCTGAAATTTTAAGTCCACGTATTTCAGAAAGAATGAAACTTTGTAACAAGCTGCTCGGCGAGTTGGCATCCCGGACTTTGAGTAAAGACCTTTTTTCACTTGATGTGCAGTTAGGATAGTTGAATTGACACTATAACAGTTAGGATTGTCTTGGACCTGCTCTGCAATCAGGATTGGCTTGGATCTACTCGGCAGTTAGGACTGTTCTCTATGGACGCGTCGAGTTGTGAAGAAGACATCATTTCCCGTAATACGGGTGCAAATCTTCACATGAGCTCTGGCCAGGAAGAACATTCCAGGAAGTAGGGAAAAACAGTTTGACTAGGAGAAATGCACGCTACGTGCGGTTTCGTATTGCAAACTATTCTTCGTAGGCTGCAAAGCCTTCGTTCAATTTCTTTGTATTACAACGAGCAGTTCTTTGTAACGTTTTAAGTGTGCAGTGTACACTGCCACAAGAAGTTGGAACCTCTGACTTTCTGATGATGAAGTTCAACTTGGCAATACTTCCGGTTCAAAGCATATGACGTTTACCACACTGTTAAGTGGCCCTTTGAAGAATTGTGTACTCGGTATCGTTGGCAGCCATGTAATCGTAGCGGTTAAGATACCCTTTTCTCTGTACGTTTAGACTTCAATACTGTCCCACAGTGTGGTGTAGCACCCCTCGTTGGTAGCAGACGTGTCGACACACTGGTCCTGAGGCCATCCGTCACTCTGATACACTCAAATCGTTATCGCTAGGTTCTTCGCTGGCGTTGAGCTTCCTGAATCGGTTACGTCGTTTCCTGGTGCCAGACTGGAAGAGGAACGATATCCTGACCCCGTTTGGGATACAGTTCAGACAGGCAGCCCGTTCTATATGTCAGCTCTGCTGCCGGAAGGTCTGCGGTGGCATCTTCCACTTGGACGTTCGCACTTGTGTATTCCGCTCAACTCTGCGTGGCCGCGAGGAAGCGTAGGTAGACAAGAAACGTATCGTCGACTGGCGCGACTGAGTGCAAAGTCGCACGTTGGGGTTTTGCGGGACTCTGTGCCGTAACATTTTCTTCTGTTTTCAAGCGTAACGAGCCCATCCGGGGAATCTGGGGGAATTCCTAGAGTTCAGCTACACTTCAATTCAACACTCATAAAACTAAAGAGTACCCTCCGTTTTCAAGCCTTACTCAGTGTTGCGTTTGAAACGAAGCTGAATTGGCTCATCCGCCTAGATTCCACCCATCTAACTGCAAGGGTGAAGTTCTAGTCTTTTCTCAAATCCAAGCGTAACGTTTTTGAGCGTAACAGTGTGCTCGACTCGAGCATTAAGTCACGCTTTAGTTTTACCAGTGAAGCTAATATCTTCAAGCGTAACTTTGCGCATACTGTTTTGCTTTATTTAGTGTTGTGAAGGGAGAAGCGCTGAAACGGAAGTGGAGTGGGACGGGCATTTTTCACCCGTGGTTTACGGTTCCTCTTCCGTTTTCCAGCTTCTCCGTCGAACTGAAAGCAGCGTCGTTGTATGCAAGCGCGTGTTACGATATCAGCCCGCCAGCCATCGGTGAGGCCGTATCTTCGCGAATAGATTTATCACTTGCCGTCTCAGTGGGCGTGGGCAGTGGGCATCACCCAGTTAAAGGAGAAAGAATCCGTTAAGGTTCGGCGCTGAAATCGCCAGTAAATGATTCTGACTTTGGTAGTCACAGTAACTGCGAAGGGGTTACGGTCTCGCTGGCCTACCCAACCTTACAGTGTCCGGACGCTTTTGTTGTTTAGGACATTATTTAATACTTTGACGCGGGTGCCTACCTTTTCTTTCATTGACAAGTCTACAAACTAATATTTCTCTTACTCTACTCTAGAAACTGAAGAGAGTGCATGGCATGCTTTTCCTAGGAGTCAACCACAAAGCCGACTCTTCCCAAGAGCATGCTTGCAAGCCGACTCTTCCCAGGAGCATGCTTGCAAGCCGACTCTTCCCAGGAGCATGCTTGGCAAGGACACTCTTCCCAGGAGCATGATCGCAAGCACTCTCCTTGCTTGCCAAGCATGCTCCTGGGGAAAAGTCGGCTTGCAAGCATGCTCTTGGGAAGAGTCGGCTTTGTGGTTGACTCCTAGAAAAGCATGCCATGCACTCTCTTCAGTTTCTAGAGTACACTCTTTAGTTCCCATATTATAACACCTCGAAGTCGCGAGGTGGAGCGAATCGCAAGGGGGTACTTTCGTAAATCCTGAAACGCCATGTTGACGGAAGTAGATCAAAACTTGACTTGGGAAAGAGACGATAGTCAAACTTATAGGCCACACTTGAACATTAACAGTCGTTTGATACTTATTTGCAGTGCATATGTGTTTTCCGAGCAACATTTATACAGCTCGGCTGTACTTTCATATCCGAAGAGAGGTTAGTTTCCGGCCAATATGGCGTCTGCTTGCTTTCGGTTCAGGATCTACGAAAGTACCCTATTGACGATTACGGTGCAGTGTTGTCGGATTCCGTGGCGAGTGTGCGGATTCCGTCGCTGTGTGCAGAATGGGTTTGCCGTTGGCGGTTTTGATGCTAAATCGCCACGGATCTATGTTCCTGTCGATTTCTGCGATTCGGGGCTCACAGACCACTACAGATTCTGCCTCCAATTTACTGTGCGTGCCAGAGAGACGTCGGGAGTAGTGTACTCATCCATGTGCTTGTGTATTCCCTGCAGTCTCCCTGCGACGTGTGGACAACCATCGTGAGTCTGCGGTTCCATTTTCGCTGTTCATCTGTTCCTGAGCGCCGGTTCCAGTAAAGGAAATGATGATGCTGGATCAGGAGGTACGTACGCTTTTTGTCCAAGCTTCACAATGCTACGCAGGATTCGCCACGAAGGGCCTGTCGTTTTGAAGTACACGCTCAAGTTTTTACTGAGAAATGCTGTGCATTCATAATGCATGTCTATTTCTCAGCACTTAACGACACATACCTGATCCAGGAAGCGGAAGAAGGGAAAAATTCGACTTATCTCCAAATTGAGTTGTTATCTTATTATTGTGCCTCAGGATGGTTTGCATCGTTACACCAAATGGTTTGACCCAACTCCTAACAGTTTAGGGAAATAATCCACTTGAAAAAAGGATATAATTAAACTTGACCCCCTTTATGGTCTAAACTTCATAGGAAAATGGAGGTAACTCAACTGAAGTCCACATGACTCTGTTCATGGGGTGGCAACGCTGTACACGTATGTTGACGCCATGTTCGACCCCCCCTTAAATCATGGTTCTTTTCAAGGAGATACTCTCTGAACCCAGCAAAGGAATTGAATGAAACTTGAGTGCGGTATCAAGTTAAAAGGTCATATTAAAGTAATAATCAAACGAGAGCACACTTACGATCCATTCACTCCTTGAAACCGCATCGCGAAAACAAGAGAAAAATTGGGTTTTGTTAAAATCGCTACAAGAAAAGTGTCTACTTATATTTTCAAAACGTTAATCTTGGAAAGTTTTGGAGTTTTTGAGTTGAAACCTGGCCTAAACACTTCCTCAATTCATATATTATCGTAATAACAAAACAGTTTGGCTCTAATGGACTTAGTACTTTGGATCTCGTCGAAGTAAACTAATGTGCTAGGGGTGGCCGAACATGGCGTCAAGAAAGATGCAGGGCGTTGCCACCCCCTGCTCTGTTGCACAAAATGGCAATAGGAGATAACTCAAATTGTGTCTTTCTGAAACTAATGTAAAAAGAACTAACTCAACTTAACTCACCACCTCTAGTTGGAAAAAAAGAGGTTACTCCAAAAATGTACCAGAGAAATATAGACTCTACGCAGACCTTGAGTTGTCTCCATATTCCGCCTTGTTTGGAAGAACTAAGTTAACATGGTTCCGTAGTCCATTCCAACGTAAAGATTTAAAACACTGAAAGCGACTACAGAGTGATACTACGCTTTTGAAAATTTTCAGTTATTTCTTAGGCTTTTTTGACAAAAATGCAATTGCATCATTCATCCGATTGGAGTAGGTTTACCCTGCAAACAGGGTTTTTGTTTCTTCTGATAAATGATAAAAATTGAGTTCCTTCTTCCGCTTCATGCATCAAGTACCTTAATCCTGAGAAACATTTTCGTATTATGAAGAAAGTGGATCTTTCATGATAATAACCAACACATTAAGCACATCCGACGCTGATACAATTTTGTTCCCGTCTGGCGACTCATTACAATCACGTTATGAAAATTCTTATGACGTTATGAAAATTCATATCAGTTTGCGAGGTTATTTTAGGGCAGTTTAGCAAAAGGACAACTTGGTGTTTGGTGTTCACACTGTCAGAAATTTTGTCGAAAATTAGCGACAAAAACGTCGCTAATTTTGGTAGCGACAGAAATCGTTCTGAAACTACTTGGTCGTAACTGAACGACAAAAAAAAATCATTTCTCTACGACAATGTCGTAATCGCAATAACATATTTTGAAATCTGAAATCCCCGAAAAGTTGATGAAAAGTTGCAATTTAGCTCGCTTATTTACGATTTGTGTCGTTCATTTACGATTCATTACACAAATTTACGACAAGATTCGTAAATGTACGACTGAAGTCATAACTGCACGACATAAACAATAGATAAATTACGATCGTTCGTAAACTTACGATTAAGTTGTAAATTTACGACTTAATTCGTTTTGAAACGGAACGTCTTGCTATCAAAATTAGCGACAAATATGTCGTAAGTTTATGACTCAAGTCGTATATTTACGACTTGAATCGTAACAAAATATGTCGTTTTAAAACGACATAATTGTTTTACAAAATGTCGTAAATTTACGACTATTTTTAACAGTGCATGTGAACACCTATCCGGCCTTATGCCATTTTTGAACCGATTCTTCTTTTGATCAGCGGGTTTCGAACCCGGGATCTTCGATTGGTAGTGCACGCTTTTTACTACCGCTGTGCTACTCAACAAACTCAACTGTGTACTCAGTACACTCTCTTTAGAGTGTATTGTGACATGTCCACTTTGTCACGTTCGTTTGAATGTGACACGCCATGATTGTCAGATTAAGGGGTGTCACGTTCGTTTTAATGTGACAAAGTGGGCATGTCACATTCAAACGAATGTGACAGTACATGGGTGTCACATTCGTTTCGATGTGACACGACATGTGTACTAGGGTGGTCCGAAAAAACACTTTTTTCTCTGATCGGAAACGGGTACCTGGCAAAAGTGGCCACTTGACATCAGAAAAAACACCTGCAAAATTTTTTTCTGCTCGGACAATATCTTCGGTTCCCACTTTGAGGGGGAAGTTTCGGATTTGTAGGTAAAATTGGGCCATTTGCAAAATAGACTCGGATGCGCTGCTGATGCGTCCGGATGGTCACTCGGGAAGAAAAAGACACCTTTTGTACTTCAAACAGCATATCGAGCTTCATATGTGGCCCTACTACAATACCCAGGGACTGGAAGTTCAGCTGAAATTCCGTGTTTTGAGTAAAATCAACACTTTTGCTTCCAGAAGTTGTGAGTTCGTGGTGTGTGATGTTTCAGCACTCAGACACTTCGATTCGAGGAACGTGACATCACGTTGAAACGAACGTGACAAAATTTTACGTTCATTTGAACATTTTGTCACATTCGTTTGGGTGTGAATTGGTAATAAATCAGCTTTTTCTCATCAAACGAACGTGACACAACGCTCAAACGAACGTGACATTTTGTCACGTTCGTTTCACCGTGATGTCACCTTCCTGGAATGAGAGTGTCCGAGTGCTGAAACATCACACACCACGAACACACAACTTGTGGAAGCAAAAGTATGGATTTCACTCAAAACACGAAATTTCGGCCGTACTTCTGGTACCTGGGTATTGTAGTAGGGCCACATATGAAGCTCGATATGCTGTTTGAAGTACAAAAGGTGTCTTTTTCTTCCCGAGTGACCATCCGGACGCTTTAGCAGCGCATCCGAGTCCGTTTTGCAAATGGCCCAAATTTACCTACAAATCCGAAACTTCCCCCTCAAAGTGGGAACCGAAGATATCGTCCGATCGGAAAAAAATTTTGCAGGTGTGTTTCTGATGTCAAGTGGCCACTTTTGCCAGGTAACCGTTTCCGATCAGAGAAAAAAGTGTTTTTTCGGACCACCCTGTACCATGTGTCACATTCGTTTTAATGTGACAGTTCGACAGCTGATTGCGTGTCACACCCGAACTTATGTGACAAAGCGGTGTGGTATGTCACATTCGTTTGACTGTAAATTTTCACCGTTTGTCACGCTCAAACTACCGTGAAACGGGGTAATTTCGGACACTGGGTGTAATTTCGGACAACTCTGCCCGGAAGCATGGCGATGACGCTCCCATCTAACGGCCAAGTTGGAGGCTTGTCCCGTTGCGCGCATCGCATCGGCCACACTTAAAACCATCTGATGAATCACCTGGAGGCCAAATCAGGGGCAAACTTTAGGAGAAAGAGTGGTTTTTGTATTTAACCATTTTTACCTAAATTAACTTCATGCGTTAAAACTTTGACTGGCAAGCCGAAACTGTTCATGGCCGGTTCATGATGTGATTGTTTTTCGATTTGATCATGTTAAGAGCATACTGTGTCAAATTTTCAATCACCTGGGTCAAATAGTATGGTTTATATGGGCTCAAAACTGAAAAATGTTACTTTACGGGGTAATTTCGGACATACAAACGTCACGTCAGGGAGATTTGGTATGCCCTGAACACTTCCAATTTCGCAGGGTTTGAGTGGCGTAAGCTGAAGAGCTCTTCTGAAAGTTGAAGATAATCCAATAACAACGATATTCCCCAATTGTTACAGCGGTTGCTTTCTAAACTTCAAATTTCATAAAAATTGGGCAAAGCTACATCTTAAATATTTAGTTTTATGTCTATATCCTACGTTAGTGTCAGCGACTGTTTTGTGATTAATTTTCTTTCATGTGACATGAGAGTTGGACTTGGCGAATGGCTGCACAGCTCGCCGGTACAATTGAAATGCAAAGCTTTCCACTGAGCCCCTGTATCTTCCTAACCGTACATAAGACACGACTACTTGCCCTTCATATGCATGTATGTGATCGTTTGTAATCTTGTAGAGGGAGATTTAAAATTCACTTTCGCGTAATAAAGTATGGCCCGAGTTGCCTAAGAAAGCTTATCGGTCAAAGATTAAAAAATAGAAGCGTTCTAAATGGCTCTACTAGTTCCACCCACTATTCCTGAAATCGAACTACTTATGAGTGCAAAAACATGCCTTCAAATTATGTATGAATGACCACCCCTACCTTACCTTTGCATCTAAACCCTTACGAATTTCTCATATAATCATATTAGCACTTTAGAGACAGTGATCCATTTTGGGACGAAAATCAGAACGAAAAGTCGTTTTTTCCAGGGGTGTCCGAAATTACCCCAAAACACGGGGTAATTTCGGACACTGCTTCGGACCCTCCACTGTAAACAATGTGAGGTGCAGATATTTGAAATAAGCGCCAAATCGAAGCTAAAGGTTGGTAGATGAAAAATTTTAACCCTAAAGTCCATGACAGCACCACGACTTTCACAATTTAAAAAAAACCTATCAAAAGTGTCCGAAGTTACCCCGTTTCACGGTAACATCGCCGTTTTCACCTGAAAACGAACGCGACGTCACATTCCTTGGCTACCAGTGTATGGCATCAATTGGTGCAGTGCAAGTGCAAAAGCATTGCACATAAAGTGCAATGCCTCCTCATTCCCATAGGGTATTTTCGGGACGTATTGCACGTAAGGTGCAAGACTATCGCATTGCACGTATGGTGCGATATTCCAGCTGCATTGCACCATACGTGCTATACTCATAGCGTTTGGAATCTCAGTGTAAATTATCAAAATTGCTATGAAAATTCAAAACTTTTTTAACAGTGTGTACTCGCTCCGAAATTTGTTCCCCGGGATCATTTTGCACTGTAAAAAATTCACTGCAATATGACAACACAATCACCTACAGTAATGCTGACAACAGTACTGTTTTGTGTCTGAACGGGAAACCCATCCAGAAACAACACTTTTGTTTTATAACAAATTCCTTGTCAAGTACTTCTTGAACTTGATAGGCTGGACCAGGTATGATCGTTAGCCGATTCAGGCCCGTCCTGGCCGCGCCAATCTTGCTGAGCGCAAACCAGTACGTCCTTACTAAGAGCGACCCCATCCCCGGCGGACCGGGACTGAACGCCCACAGCGTCCGGCCCCCGGCGGCTACTCGACCCTTAGTGTTGTATCCCACAGACAGAACGGCCTGCCGGTGAGTAGCTGTATGACGTTAGCCATCGGCAGACCTATCCGCCCTGGGTGTCAGACACCAGGACGTGCGTGTGAGTCTCCGGGGACACAACCGGTTCAGGGGGACGGTCTTCTTCGCCCCCGTGAAGGGGCAGCTCCGGGTCAGCATGGCGATGGGTGGTGCACGCGCTCCGCGAGCTCGTCGTCAGCGTTGATGTGGGGGTAGTGCACCCCGGCGGCAGGGGGATCTCCTGGGTTGATTGTTGGCGCGGGTTGACGGGGTAGTGCTCGGGCCCTGACTGGCCAGCCGGTCTGTCTGCTGGGCGCCCGGCCCATGCTGGCAGCCGGTCGTGCTGAGCGGCCAGGGTGAGAGGCGCCCCTTGAACCCTGGAGGCTGGAGGCGTGTGGTCGAGGCACAAGTAACAATAATGTAATCGTAATTCAAAACAGCTGTGTTGTCACTGTACTACAGGTTCTCTGTTGAGAAACAGACTTGGTGCCATCTTGAAACTCATATTGTTGTCAGGTTACAAGGGTCTTGTTTAACAATAGCACGATGAGGTCAACACAAATGTTGCAAAGACATCATCTAAGACTCCAAAGAAGTTGTTTTATTTCAATCGAATTATCAGAAAACAGCACCGAGGGCTACAACATGCTTGTAATGTAACAAGACGTGTTGCTATCAAACTTAACAGCATTTGTGCTGTTAATTTACAACATATTTTCTAACAGTGTTGTTTTCTTCCTTGGTAGGATGGAGTTCAATGGCTTGTCACGTCGGCGGAGTATTCCCTCTTCTACACGTGCATCTCTCACATATCGACGGGCGCCAGAAACGTCTTACCCTCTTTCAAAATGATGAGCCCAGAGGGCGTGTCCTTGAGTCTCGCGTTCCACTGTCAAACCATGGATGAGCACGGATATTATTGCATCGACTTTCATGTGGAGGATCTAGTGAAAAGCGGTCTCTGGCTGGAGATCCGTGTGAGTCTCGTGAGATTCAGGAGGTCCAGTGGTTGTGGTTTCAGCACAGACAAAACTCAGTGGCCTGCACCGGAGCCAGCTATCGTCACCACACTGACTGACAATGGGCTGGCTGGATCCGTGCCACACCATACAACGGGATTCGTTACGGTGAAAGTGGAGGTAAGTTTGTGCCCACAGTTATGAAATAGCATCTCGTAATTGTCACCGCCGTTTATGCCCCTGATCTCTACGTGATTTCGTACGTAAGTTCGAGTAGGTGTAAAATTAGTACAAATTAGCAGGAAATTTCGCCATCATGCTTAAATTTCAAACAGCAAAAACTTGTCATTTAGTTCCTTGAAGACTTTCTTCATTCATATCGGAAGGATCTGTTTTAAGAGTCAGTCACTGCAATTCGTTCGAACCCGTTTTCGCGTGTCAATTAGGTTCAATGCCTTTGTGTTGACCAGAATTTTTGGAAATTACTTATCAATGAATTGATCATAGCACAGTAAGTTTGACAGCCCAAACCAATATCTGTACACACTAGAATACTTTGCAGATTTTCGGGCAAACGCAACGTACTAGCTCGGGCGCTGGAACACATCTCAACTCCTATAACAAACCTATCAAGTTGAGGCAGTCTCCCAGCGCCCGACCGAGTTATGATCGTTAGCCGGCGCCTTGGCGAGTTCAGAGTTGGTCTCGCCCGCGCGATCAAGGATGGTTTTCTTAGGAGGGCTCGTCCATTGTTTTGGCGTTCACAGGTGTTTTCACTGAGCCCCCGGCCGTGCCACGAAATCCTGAGGGGACTGAACGACACAAGGGCTCAGGGACACTTGCCTGACGTGGTCCTCACTCTGGACGGCCACGAGTTCCCCGCGCACCGGGCCGTGCTGGCGGCCACCAGCCCCGTGTTCCTCAAGATGTTCTCCGGCGACTACAAGGAGGCCAAGGCCCTGAAGAAGAGGGACTCGGGCGACCTGGTATGCGAGGTGAAGATCTCGGGCGTCACCAAGGAGGCCGTGGAGCTGTTCTTGACGCTCATGTACCAGGGCCAGGCGGACGACTGGGCGGGGCTTGAGGTACGGGAAACATCACACGAAACTCGTGTGGACTTTTTCTTTGTGCACAATTATGCGTGAACAGATACGTACGTGAGTTGTGTATATCATTTTGCATCAGTGTGTACATTTTATGCTGGAAGATGCATTAAATGTAAACTATAATTCATAATGATACACACACACCTCACATATGTATCTGTGCATGCATAATTATGCACAATTAACCATATAAAAAGTCCACTGGAAGTTAAGCGTGGTTGCATACGGTATTTCTTTGGTTCCTGCACTGAAAGTTGAAGTACTTTTCAAACTGACTTCATAACATTGTTCGCTTAAAATTCATTCTATTAGAAATAAGTGATGTTTGGTTTCATTGTAAGCTCCTCATAAAGTCTGCGAAGCTTCTGCTTCGTGACCACGATGAAAATGAAGGCATGCATCGTATTATGAGAAATGCTTTCGTGTAACGAAGAATTCTTCTTCATAATACTTGGTATTTCCTCGTAGATTTTACAATGTCTTTCGGTTTCTCCTCAATGCGATAAGCGATGCTTGGTACAAATTTATTCGGTGTGACTTCTACAGTGTGGTGTCTGCTGCAGGTGGAACTGCTGGAGATCGCCGACTACTACATGGTGACCCACGTCAAGGACAAGTGCGAGCGGCGTCTGATGGGCATGGACGGCCCCACCGCGCTGGGACTCCTGCGCCACGCCGATAACCCCGTCATCTCGAGCGACCTGCGAGTGTGTGCCGTGCAGGTGAGTCATGCCTACCAGGCTTCGCAGTGGCGGTGAAAAATCAATTGTGGGTCACGAATCAATCGTGGGCCATTTTGTTTGACGGGCCGCTACAAATCCATGAACTTATAGGTTATATACAGGTATATAGGTATACACTTTAAAAAAAATGTCCTGTCAATGCCGTTAACTTATTACCAGTTTTCGCTGTAGGTCAATTCACAGCGTTTACTGTGATCTGCTCACGCGATTCGCTGTGATCTTGCTCGCGGTGTTCACTGTGATCCGGTTCACAGTAAACACTGTGAGTTTGACGCCGCTGAGCACCGAAGTACTGCAAATCAGGCTCCAATTCACGGCGTTTACTGTGGCCAGATCACAGTGAACACTGTGACCGAGATCACAGTGAACGCCGTGAACTAGTTCACAGCAAACGCCGTGAATTGCGTAACAGCAAACATTGGTAATAAATTAACGGCATTGACAGGACATTTTTGGTACGGCGTACTCATTCCTACGTGACATAACGTTGAAATGATCGTGACAAAATGTCACGTTCGTTTGAGCATTGTGTCACATTCGTTTGAATATGAATAATAAGCTAATTTATGGCCGATTCACATCGAAACGAATGTGACACAATGCTCAAACGAAGCTCTTCACTCTTGGTTTCGCAGTGTGCTAATCCATGCGTCTTCTGTTTCGCCCCGCAGGCCGTGGTGCGTGGCTGGAAGCAACTGTCCATCACACCGCAGTGGCGCGACCTGCAGAAGACCAGACCCGTCTTGGTGGACTTCATTCGGGCCGCCCAGCAGCTTTACGAGCAAGCCTCGAGCAAGCCGGCCCAGTAGTGTCGCAACCACAACGACGCGAGGTGTTATTTGCCGTCAAGAAAGACGGAAGTTTCTCTCTTTTGTTCGACAGATACTGCTGTTAGCTCATCTCGTATTGTTTCGAATTGAAGTTCTTTGTTTACTTTTGTTGTGCGTTCTTGCTTGCACACAAGAAATACGGTAGTTTGTCTCTTTTGTTCGACACTTATAATAGTGTGTATTCCCGTATTGTTCCGAATGCATGTTCCTTGTATACAAGTCAACTATGTTGTGCGTTCTTGCTTGCGCACAAGAAATACGGAAGTTTCTCTCGTCTGTTCGACATGTAGAAGAGTGTCTTGTTTCATCATGTTTTGTTTCGAATTAAAGCTTTTTGTATGCTTTTGCCAAATTTGTTTCGCGTTCTCACTTGCGCCTTCCTCCACGCACAAGAAGCGTACCGTAGAACGGGGTAATATGAGACATGAAGGAAAATCGAGACAAAGTGCACTTTTTTTGGTTTTTGTCGTGTTGCTCTCTAGCGGTTGTTCAGAAGATTACCGTGAATTTTTTTTCGTGATCTAGGAGGCCGTGGCAGCTCACAGGAAACGCACGGAGGCTATCAGAGACTCGCCAGTGTTATTTAGAACCAAAGGAAAAACCTGTTAATTTTAACAAGTTCTATAAAGTTCGTAAAAACCTCCCCAGAAACCTCGGTTAGAACTTGGGTTCTCGTCCGAACGAGGTTTAAATCTGTAGGCAATTATGTCAACATAATCAGGACAAAATTTGGTTCCGATATGTCTACTCTCGGGCTGCCTGTTCCAGATGGAATACAATTTTGTTACCTTGCAGGGAAAATAGAGACACCTCTTTTCGCTTGAAACATGAGGCCAAACATACTCCACTGTTAATAATTTCAAGTAATAATGATTTTAACGCGAATTTGTTTTACTATCTGACCGGCATCTATGCTCTTCGTTTAGTATTTTCATGTGACAGGCACAACTCATGACTTCTTATACATTTTTGAGCTCTCTTTAGTGGCACCCATATTTCTCCCCTCCAGATTTTATATCGTCTCCATTATAGGTTCCAATCATCTTTAAAATGAATGAAAAGAACTTAAAAAGCTCCAAACCCGCCTAAATGATTAATTATCCATACTTCTTTAACATTTCTTTCTTTTGTCTCATATTACCCCACATTGCAGGGAAATATGGGACGGCATTCCGAGGGTTATTGAAAGGTCCCTACTGCACCTAAAAATCTGTAATTTGGTGGGAGTGTAGCCAAAGGGTCAATGAACAAGTGATGAACACCTCAGTACCTCAAAATGAAATTGAAAGGGGGAAATTCACGAAAAACCTCGAAATTTGTCTCATATTACCCCGTTCTACGGTATGTTACCAGCGCAGTCTGAAGAGGACACTGTGACTTCAGCTCTCCAGAAGTTCAATCCGGTGTCTACGGGAGTCTTTTTATGAGATATGAGTAGGCGTTAAAAGGGTAGAAATCAGTCTATATTCACGTAAAATTTGCACGCAGAATCGCACAAATTCGTGCGAGGGGGCATCGCTCCTCCCCCTTCCTTGGATCCGCGCCTGGAGGAGCTTCAGCGGAAGCTAAGCTTCTCCAAGCGAGTACACTGTTACTCATCGAATGTTAGGATGTGAATTTTGTCACCGTTCGGTTGGATATGATGTCACATTCGTTTAAATGCTGATCCCCGTTCAAACGAATCTGGCATCGCATTCAGACGAACCTGACCAAACCAAATTCACTTTCTGACGTCACATTCCTTGAACGACAGTGTACTCAAGGCCGCCGTATCTTGTTCAAATAATGTGCCTGTTGTGGAAAGCGCGCTCGGAGAGCAGCCATTGTCTGGCTAGGAGACAATGGTGGTGACCCACCAAGATTGTGCGTCGGAGAGCGCGGCTGAGAGGGTCGCAAATACCAGGAGCCCTGTCGGTGCTTGAACCCGGGCAGCCCACATCCAGGCAGTGCGTACAAATAAATGGCGGGCACGCAGTCGGGCGGCGCGCCACATCCACTCCACCATGAAGCAGTCCACCGCACTCCTCTGCGTCCTGCTTGTCGCGGGCATCACCGCCGGCATGGCGGAGACGACCGCTCGCCGTGAGTCCTGCACACTGGAAAACCGAACTATAGAGCTCAGACGGGCGGACACTTCGGACGACATTTCTAGTTCGCTTTGGAGCCGCTAGTACACTGCAAAGGCGATACCTAAGTACATTTTATGGCGATACAATTGAGTATCTCCAACGAACGGCCTTACGGAAAAGTATTGCCTTCAGAACGGCGATACACAGAAGTATCGCCAAAATTTGGCGATACTTTTGCGATACTTTTGTGTATCGCCGTTTTGAAGGCAATACTTTTCCGTTAGGCGGTTCAATTGTATCGCCAAAAAAGGTACTAAAAGTATTGCCTTTGGATTTGCAGTGTAGCGCCACCCGTATGAAACTGGCGGTTGGCTAACGAGAGCAGATAACAAAAAAAGTCCAAAACAGCTAAAACAACGGCATTCTTCGGATAGAAGTGCCTATCCGATGCGGCCGCAAATTTTAGGCATTCCAGTATCATGCGATTCGTTGCGGGCACGGTTTGGCTCTCTAAATTCAAAGTTTGTCCGCGTGGACAGCCGGACATCCCGGTGCCCGGCCCGGCCCGAGGTGTGTCGGACGGGCAGACACGCAGACAAATAGGTGCCATGTTGGCTGCATCAGTTGGTGTGGTCCACTGCAAGAAAAAGTGTGAATAGTACATCGAAAACTGTACAACAAAAGTACAACGGGTATTGTTGAAAGTACAACGAGAATGGCGCAAACTACAACGACTGCACTGCACTCGTCATGCCGGTTCCACTGTACTTTGTACTACAATTACACAACAGCACTGGTAAAACTGAAGCGTAGTGTTACCCTCTGTTTTCAAGCGTAATCAGGTTACGCTTGAAATCAAGCGTAACAGGCTCATCCGCCCAGATTCCCCCCATCTAAATGCATGGGGGAGTTTCCAGGGTATGCTTCATTTCAAGCGTAACGTCTTCAAGCGTAACTTTATGCTTGACTCAAGCATAGGGTTACGCTTTAGTTTTACCAGTGAGTTGTTGTCGTCTTAAAGTACAAAAAATTCCTGATAAAAAATTTGCCTGGAATTTTTGTAAGTTTGTCGTGTTTTTTTCTAGCAGTGTCTAGACCACGAGTAAGGTGTGGTCATTGCATGCAAAGACCACACCAACAGAAGCAGCCAAAATGGCACCCATCCGACAACGCCAGTAGTGTTGTCTAGACCACGTTTGGTTTTTCTGTGCCTTGAACTGAAAAAAAAAAACGAGATCTATTTATTTCGCTTGCGTGCCATGTTTGAGTTAAACCAGTAAAAATTGTCCAGCAAAATAGAATCTTAGACTACTTGATTGGTTGATTGCCTTCAACGTTTCACGCAAGCAATAAATAAATAGATCGCTTCTTTGTTCGCACCTTTAGGGGAGAAGTCTAATTTTCCCCGAACAAAACATGGTTTTGACTGGTGGGTGGCAACGCTGTACACTTATTCTGGCGCCAAGTTCGACCCCCCCCCCTCTTTTTCAATCATGAGGGAGATACTCAAAGGAATTCGAATGAATTAGAGGTGAGGCGTCAAGTTTAAAGGTCATATTAAAGTAATAATTAAACGTAAGTACACGATCAATGCACCCCACGGCACCGCATCGCAAAAACACGAGAAATACGGGGTTTGGTTTAAAACGCTACAAGAAAAGGGTCAAACCGTTAATCTGGGAAAGTTTTTGAGCCTTTAAGTTGAAACCTGGCCTTAATACTTTCCTCAATTCATACACTATCGTAATTACGAAACAGCCTAGCCCTCTTGGAATTAGTATAATTTTGGATTTCGACGGTGCAAACTAATGTGCAAAAGGGGGAGGGGGGGTCGAATTCGTCAATAGAAAGACGGAGGGCGTTGCCACCCCTTGGTTTGGACATTGATAATAATGAAGGAGGGGCCAGGGCACACTGCAAGAAAAAGCCACAACAAAAGTACACAAATTCCTGGCAAATTTTTTATTAGGAAAAAATTGTACTTTCCAAAAAACAACATGTACAAAGTACAGGGGAAGTGACATGACGAGTGCAGTCCAGTCCAGGCCTCGTCGTAACTTTGTGCAATTCTCGGTGTACTTTGTACCAGTCTCGTACTTTCTTCAACCCTCGTAGTTTTCTTTCACAGTTTCCGTTGAGCTTTAGTTGCACTTCTCACAAGAAATTTTTTTTGCAGTGCTGTATCCATAGGGAACAAGATGGATCGGGCCAGTAAGGGCTGGACCAAAGGCGTCCTGAAACTCAGCGCCTTAGGCGCTCCTAAATGATCCAGGAAGCGGAAGAAGGGAATAACTTGACTTGTCTTCAAATTGAGTTTTTATCTTGTTATTGTGCCTTAGAATGGTTTACATCGTTACACCAAATTATTTGACTTAATTCCTTGTAGTTAAGGAGAAAATCCACATTGAAAAAGGATATAACTCAATTTGACCCCTTTTACGCTCGAAATTTAGCGGAAAATGGAAACAACTCAACCGAACTCCGCACATGACTCCGTTTAAAATATTTCCAATAGGAGATAACTCAACTTGTAATTTAATGAATCTAGTGTAAAAAGAATCAAGTCAACTTAAGCTCTCTTCATTTTAAAAACTGAAATGGAATAAAGAGCGAAGTCCAAAAAATACACCAGAGTGACAAGCACTTTATGCTGACTAAAGTTCCACTTGACTTGTCTCCAAATTCCACTCCGTTTAGGAAATACAAGTTGAAATGTCTCTGTTTTCCATTTCAACGGGAAGTGATAAGTCACAGAAACCCTCTACGGAGTGATCTGACACTTTTGATGTTTTTCTCAAAATTTAACTTTTGCTTTTTGAACTTGATATAATCTACAAAATTCATTTGGTTTGTTCTAGTTTTCCCACAGTTTTTTCTTTCTCCTGATAAATGGCCGAAATGGACTTATCCCCTTCTTCCGCTTCCTGGATCAAATAAGGAGGCATCTATAGGCGTCTGCTGACGAGGCGCCTATAGGCGTTACAAAAAGTTTTTGACTATGGGCTAGCTTGAGTATAGTCAAGCGTCGAAAGGCACTATCAGAGCACCCCTGAATGACAGCGCAGATTTTAGTCTACCTTGGGATGGAGTTGTAGTCTATATAAACTATGACGCAACGAGGACCCTTGTCATTTTCGCAGCGTGCCTGCTCCCCATCTACATTTCGCTCAACCCCATCCTCTGCCCGCTGCTCTGCAACACGCTGTGCAACACGCTGTGCACCGAAGGCGTCAAAGGTGTGTGCACTGTCGGGACCTGCACGTGCAGCAGCACCGCCACCACCACCACCACCCTCGCGGGGTAGCCCTCTTGCAATGTTGTTGAATGTAGCCTGTGGATAATAAACTTTTTTGGACCGGACCTTGTTAGGGGTTCCGACGAAGGAGGACCCCTATTGCCCGGGACGGCTCAGATTCTTATCTTTTTTCCGGTATCCTGTGATTGGAAAATGGATCCCGCCAAATTACTCGTTATCGTAATCAAATAAAAATTCCTGAAAATTTCAAAAATTTATCGTGAGAATTTAACGTGAACGACTAAAACATAAATTTGCAACAATCAAGCACCCTTATCCGTTTACATTTTCCAGAAACGTTTCAAAGAGAAAATGTGCCACTCCTCAAAACTAAACCTCCTGCCTCATCAAGGTGACAAGAAATCGTCTGTGTTCTGAGAAAATGGTTAAAACATGAAAAAATAGTCTCCATGGCAACGACACGGTGCCATCGTACCAACTGTCAAAATTTAAAGTCGCTGATAAAAAGAAATAAAAACGCCGTGAAATTCGAAAATGCCAATGCTAACGCATCGCACGGTGTCCCGACATTGGAACATCTTTGAAGTCTGTCAGTAAAAAGTTCGTAGCAGAAAAGACGCAATAAATTAATTTTCGGGGGTTGGCAACAATTTTCTCGGCGTCTGCGCCCTTTCGAAAATCGCGAGGCTGAAAACACGAGTAGTCGCGCATTGAAACTGCCCCTACATTGTTGCTGAGGTTGGATTGTTTGGCTTGCTTTTAAAGGCTGCGGTTCTCCTGTGATGTTTTCCTCAATTCTGTAACCAGCACGACGGTTGGTTTGACAAACCTTACAAACTAGGGAGGGGTGGTTTCGGAACGCGGATGACTTTCGTTTGACGAACATGAGCACTGTAAATCGCGAGATCGCGAGATGGATTGAGATGGTCATTGTGTTAACTGAATCAGGTTTGGGGATGTAAAAATACCGGTAGGATTCAAAGTTACGTAAATAATGGTAAAATTAACGTGATTAACGTTTAGACGACAGACTTCAAATTGACTCCTACAACCGGAACACCGTGCAATGCGTTAGCATTGGAATTTTTGAATATTGCGCGGTGTGAAACGGAGTGTGGAAAACTTCACACTTGAAATGCGGAGGAGTGGAATTTACAGTCCCCGCACTTGGAAAGAGCTCAGTCATTGCTGACACTTCAAGTGTGGAGTTGTCCACGGGTGCTCCATGCTGGATAGTGCTCTGTGAGCTTGAAATGTGAATACTGCAGAGTTTCTAAGTGTGGAGAGTAACTCCGCTCCAGGAAGTGTTGAGTTGGTTTAAAGAGTGGACAGTATTTATTTTATTTTGCCTCAGCTGTTGATAAGTGCTGCACTGTTGAACATGTAGTTCAAAAATTGCCACGCTGTCACCTCTCCCTTCTGGTTTTTCAATTCACTGCGGAACCAAAGGAGGAAAACTCAACGCGTAAAGTGAGGCACCGACACACTTAAAACCTTACGAGGTATTTTTAGCATACATAATACAAATTAATTTACTTTGTTATACGAGGAAATAGTTCGTAAATTACGAAGTATTTTCTTTGAAAGGTCATGTATGCTCACTTTGTTATAACAAGCTGCTTTTCATTGTAAGGTCCAAAATACTTAAGGTTTTCAGAGTGCAGAACTTTGTGTGCAGTTCACCAGCGTAATGACGTTCATAAGTTCAACATGTTAGGATAAAGAAATTAACGTCACATACCTCAATTACATCCACGAATATATTTTCACAAAGAACGTCAACATTACAATAAAAAGGTCAGAACCTTTTTATTATAAAAGAGTATTGCGTAAGCAAACAATTGCGTAAGCAAACAAACTAGACAAGCAACAGAGTAAAGAAGGCAGAACTGCGCATAAAAGAAAAAAAACTGACACAAATTAACATTAAAGTAACACACCAAAGTTTTTCTCGTAAAATCGTGTTGGTTTTAAAACAAAATCGAGGAAAAACTGAACATAACCATGAATGCTGTGTTAGATTGCTGTTTCGTTCCCGCTAAAGGGCAACTAACGTCTCCACCCCATTGGCCCTCCTCCCCGAAAGGAACAGGCTTCAAATCAAGAAATAGACAATAAACACGAGACAGGCTTCAAATTAAGAAATTGACAATTAACATGAGACAGGCTTCAAATCAAGAAATAGCCATTAGACATGCGGCAGGTTTCAAACCAAGAAATGCATAATAGAAGACAGGCTTCAAATCAAGAAACACACAATGGACAGGCTTCAAATGAAGCAGACGCCCTGCGAGCACTCCGTTTATTCGGGAAAATCCCCTTCGAACATACTCATTCAAGTAGCGTGACATCACGTTGAAACGAGCGTGTCTTTATGTCACGCTTCTCCGGGCATTGTGTCACATTCGTTTGGATGTGGATCAGCCATAAGTTAGCTTATTCCCATTCAAACGAATGTGACACAATGTTCAAAGGAGCGTGACACTCAGTCACGCACGTTTTAATGTGATGTAACGCTCCCGGAAACAGAGTGCGGTGCACAACAAATCCAAGTGTGGTACAGGCATGCACTTGATCACGTGGGACGCGTTCCACGCTTGTAAGCGTGAGACACACCGTTTCCCACGTTATCTAGTGTATGAATGTCTCAAACTTGGATGTGCAGTGTGGCCGCGAGTCTTCTGCTGCACCGAGAGGTAAGACATAAGGTAGAACTTGACCTAGAAATTCCACTCTAGTGACCGCTGGTCTTCTGTTGCACCGAGAGGTAAGACAAATGGGAGAACTTGACCTTGAAGTCCCACTCTAGGGACCGCTAGTTTTCAGCTGTACCGAGAGGTAAGACATACGGGACAACTTGACCTAGAAATTCCACTATAGTGGTCGCTAGTCTTCTAGTGCACCGAGAGGTATAAGAGAGAACTTGACCTAGAAATTCCACTCTAGTGATCGCTTCTTTTCTGTTGCACCGAGAGGTAAGATAAATAGGAGAACTTGACCAAGAAATTCCACTCTAGTGACCGCAGGTCTTCTGTTGCACCGAGAGGTGAGTCGTAAGGGCTTCTGTTGCACCAAGAGGTGAGACTTAAGGGACAACCTGACCTAAAAATTCCACTCTAGTGTCCGCTGGTCTTCTGGTGCACCGTGAGGTAAGACACGTGGGAGAACTTGACACCGCAAACGTCGCACTTGAGATGCCGCGTCCCCGACTTGCGTGGACCGTGACTGCTCATGTGGCGCTTGAGGTAGATCGCCAGAGTGAACTCCATGCGGCAAATGTCGCACGCGTAGGGCGTCTCCTCCGTGTGGAAGATGTCGAGGTGGCGAACGGCCTCCTTCTGCGTCCGGAAGCGCTTCATGCAGCCCTCGCACTTGTACGTGGGTCGGGCGCGCGGGGGCCTCCGCTCCCGCCTGTCTCTGCGCGCTCGCGGACGGGCGTTCTCGGACAGCATCACCTGACGCGTTCGGACGCAGGCCACCGACTTCGCTGCTCTCCTCGGCGGCCTCCTCACCTGGTCCTCTGTCTCAGCATCAGCTTCTGCAACGGAAACCACACCGTAAAAGTCTCCGAAATTTTATATACAAGCCGCAGGGAAAACAAAATTTCGCCAATTCAGCGAAACCGTGTTTGCTGGACTAAATTTCGCCAAAGTGGAAGAAAGAGAGGTTAACACGAGGATCAAGGACGCTAGTTCAGCAAACCGTTTGGCTGGTGTAGGTAACGCATTTTCACTCTCATTCCAGGAGCGCGGGTGTAGGTAACGCATTTTCACTCTCATTCCAGGAGCGAGACAGACATCAAGTTGAAACGAACGTGACAAAATGCCACGCTCGTTTGAGCATTGTGTTACATTCGTTTGAATGAACGAAGGTACACTGCTAATCGAAGTGTGGATCAGGTCCACGCAACGAAACGTGGGCCACGAATGGCCGACGCTAGGAAACGTGGACCAAGCTCTATGGTCCACGCTTCACAGCGTTTAACTTCTCATAGGCCAGTCACACTTCCAAGTGTGGACCACCGTGGTCCACGCTACCTAGCGTGGACTGGTCCACACTTGGATTAGCAGTGTATAATTTTTGGCCGATTAACATCCCAATGAATGTGACACAATGCTCAAACGAACGTGACATTTTGCCACGCTCATCACGTTCCTGGAATGAGAGTTTTACCTGCGAATATATAGGCTAAAATGAAAAACACTAACCCGAAGAGGCTGCTGGACCTGGCTGGACCTTCATTGAAATGAAAGTGACATACGTAGTGCATTCACGAACGTGACATCACTTTCTTGGAGTAATCGCGTCACTGGCGGACGAACGTAACCGAACGAATGCGACGTCACTTTTCGTTGAAAAACAGCGACAAAGCATAATATCCGAAGTGCGACTCACCGCTAAGGGCGTCCGGAGCGTCGTCTTCACCATCCACATCCCGTGTGACCGCACTGCGAAAACCGTTAGCCACCTCAAAGTGTTGCACTTGACCTGTGACAAGGCGACACGAATCTTTACGCCCGTTTTGGGAAAAGGGAGACCACACTGAGTTGAGTAACCACACTTAGCTCTGGTAACCAAAATATCTGAGATTTCTACACTTCGAAAACCTTACAAAATACCTAAGCAAGTGAAGGTACTTGGAGCAAACTCAAGCTTACAAATTAAACGCTTCGTAATTTTCGAACAATTTCTAACCGTTAAAAACTCAAAAGTGTGTACCTTACATATGCTAAAAATACTTTTTGCGATAAACGTGAAAATTTGAACTGTGTGGCTGTTTCAGCTTCTAGAACTATGCTCCTCAAGTGGGTCTCATTGAGGTAACGGTAGCTCCTACTCTACTAAAAATAATTTGTTATCACTACTCACTTGTAGCGCGGCGAGTCTCTCTTGGCGTTCCTGATGTCACTCCTTCCGCGACACATCCAGAAATCAGTGAGCTGCTGACCAGCAAACACGGAACTCCATCCTGGACGTGGCCGGGACCTGGGCAAAAACGAACTTCGCAGAGAGAACTGGCAGAATACGGAACGTGGCCTCCTACCCATGAAGAAGAAAGTCGCTAAATTGTCTTTCTAAAGAAACAAAATTCTAAAACATATATTTTTTTCTCCGCTACTTTAGTTTTATCAGCAGCTTTAACAACCTCCTACCTACGTGGGCATCTTTCTTAATAATAACGAAGATAGTGGAAACCCTAGCGGAGGTCAAGGCGTGAAATGAATGAGCTCAATAATAATTGTTCCAAGGCAGGAACATTGTTGAGAAAATGAACTGGCACTTCAATAGCACTAAGACAAAATATGCCACGTACCTTTGAGCATTGAGTCACACTCGCTTGGATGAGAATAAGCTACTGTAAGGGGAGGTTCTGGTGAAAATCTTGCCATTTTCCAAATGGATCCCACTGTCATAATTTGTTCGGAATATAAAATCTTTCTCCGAGGAGACTAAAATTGGACTTTCGTAAGCACATCCCAGGCTCTGAACCCAGTCGAAGAGTCTTTTTGAGCCTATTTTGGCTGTATCTTAAAAAATCTCCTTGCGCATACTACTTTGTCGTAAAAGGTTGATCTTGACATTTTTCACTTCTTCAATTCGTTTTCAAAAGATTCCAGCATGCATAGCTCAAAATTTCCATTCCATTAATAATTGTAAGCTTTTCAAGCTGAAAAGTCCCTAAAATTTTACTATTTTGTACATTTTTGATCAATTATAGTGAAATGCTTGGTTAGAAAGCTTGCAAATAAAAATGTAATTTACATTTTGAGTTGTGCATGCCGGCATCTTTTAAAAATGAATTGAAGAAGTGAAAAATGTCAAGGCCAACCTTTTACGACAAAATAGTATGCGCAAGAAGATTTTTAAAGTTCAAGCATAAATAGGAGAAAAAGGCACTGCGACTGGGTACAGGGCATAGAATGTGCATCCCCAATGAAAATTTTTTATAATTGCTTGGTAAGACATCAAATTTTTAACTAATTTTCACAGTGGGACCCATTTAGGAGGAAATAGCATTTTCACCAGAACCTCCCCTTAAGGCCGATTCACGTTCAAACGAATGTGGCAGAGTGCTGAAAAGAACGTGACATTTCGTCACATTCGTTTGAACGTGATGTCACGTTCCTGGAATGAGAGGTGTTGCAGTGCAATGAAGCATCAAAAATTGTGACGAGGCGATTGCAGCGAAGTGAATATGGTTTTAAGCAACCGACTCTCTCACCTCTAACGATGCACAGCACACACACGGACGACTCGGCATGCTGGATGATTGGCTGCGGACTTTCCTGTGGACCTGAAAACGAAGCAGTGCACGTGAACCACAACTCCTGGCCAGTCATAGAAAGAATCTGGGAACTAATCGATGCCCGTAGAATCGATATCACCTTGAGGGTTTAAAATACGTCATTTTTGAGTAATATCAACTCTAATTTTGGTACTGACACGAAATCAATCCGACGTCGAATTGATTTCAATGACGTACAGTACAGCGTATTTAAAACCACAGGGGATTTCAACCCCACTCACATCGATCCGTTTCGAGAACCTTATCAAGGCTTCGTCAACACTACGAGGATCTACCGATCTAACAGAGCGATGCAATACCGAAACTACAAAGCGTGCAAGCGAAAGGACCACACGGTTCATGCATCCTAAAAAGCTCGCCCTGACCCCTACCCTACTAACTTTTTATGGCACTAATATATTAGTAATATTAGTACAATATTAGTAATATTGCAATAAAAACAGTGTTGCTTCTGAAATGAGTTCATTATTACACTTCCAGTAGCATTGCACACACGGGCAAGAGATCAAGACCCTAGGGAAAGCATCGAGCATCGTTAGCTGTGTTCGTGCCGCAATAAGTCCTGCAGCATAGTTAACATGCAAAGAAAGTCACAGACGTAAGCAACCCGAAGCAAACTCTGCTAGAACTAGTAAACACGTCCATCTATCGCATGCACAAATAAAATAAATCAAGAATTCCTGATCATTGGAACAGACCGTGTGGTCACGCCAACCTGGAAGAAAATGGAAAAATGACAAGATATATTTCGGCACTTCCAGAGAAATCTCTCACAAGCACTACAGAAATAAAGTTGAACACAACATTCTGATTTCTTTAATAAGACGAATAATTAAACGTTACGTCACTAGAAAAAGAAAGAAAAAATCTTTCATTTAGAATCAACAATCCAACACATGAAAAAAAAACATCAACATATTAAAAAGTACGTTCAAACGAAGCGTAGTTAAAATCAGACACTTTACCACACGATTTAAAATATACAGGATACGATATATCATGTAGACATAGAAAATGTTTTTGCAATATTTTGACACGACAAATATGGCAAAAGTCTTAGACTTGGCATTAATCCAAGGAGACAGCAAACGACAATGTCTTATATAACACTGGTTTGTTCCGTTTAGGTACAATTGGAATTCTCACGTGACAATGGCCTTTCGACAAGTAAGTCCCTAATATGACACTTGAGATGAGTAATCATATAAGCCTGTGACGAAAGCCTCTTGTTACAAACTGTGCATCTGAAACGCTTGTAAAACATGTGCCGTCTCAAATGATGTGACCGATAAAACTTCTTATTACGAACAGAGCACTCGACAGGCTTCACCCCGGTATGGGTTAGAACGTGACGTCCCAAATGTTCTGACCGATAGAATTTCTGATCACACACTTTGCACTCGAAAGGCTTCACCCCGGTATGGGTTCGAACATGACGTCTAAGAACACATTCGTCTGTAAATCTCATATTACAAACTGAGCACTCATAAGGCTTCTCCCCGGTATGGGTAAGTAGATGAGTCCTTAGATATGATTCGCTCGACAACTTCTTCCTGCAAAGGGTGCATTCGAAAGGCTTCGCTCCTCGATGAGTGCGAAGATGGGCTGTAAGTCCACCCCCAGTGTTGAATTTTTTGTTACGAACTGTGCACTTGAATGGTTTCTCTCCCGTATGGACTCGAAGATGACGTATGAGATCAGAGGACCTATAAAACTTATCATTGCAGACTGTGCACTCGAAAGGCCTCTCCCCAGTGTGGGTTCGGACATGTCGTCGCAGATCACTTGCCGTGGTGTACTTCTTGTGACAAACTGTGCACTCGAAAGGCTTTTCCCCAGTATGGGTTCGGGCATGAGTTTCGAGATCACGTCGAAAAGTAAACTTCTTACTACAAACCATACACTCATGGGGTTTCTCTCCTGAATGTATTCGGAGATGACCTTTAAGCCCTCTTTCCGTGTTGAACTTTTTGTTGCAAACTGTGCACTCGAATGGTTTCTCTCCAGTATGGGTCCGAAGGTGGTCTCTTAGAAAGCTAAGCCGATTAAATTTTTTATTGCAAGCTGTGCACTCAAAACGGCTCTCCCTAGAGCTGCTGGCTTGGACATGATTGCTCGGAATAGCTCGGCTCGTCGGCTCCTCTTCATTGTCCATGTCCGTCGGACTCGTCATTTCGCCGTCACTTGATGCTTCGTCGTCACAAAACTGGAAACTCTTGATCAGGATACATGGTGCACCATCCATGACGTGCTCGGGACCTGCACAAGCAATTCAAACACCAATTGTAGAAACATAAACAACTAGGGGCAAGCAAAAAAAAATGTTTGTTCAAAAACGTTGGAAAAATTAAATTGGTCGATTGGTTTGGCGGTACGGGGTCACTACCAAAAATGATCCAAAATTGCTGCCCTGATCCAAGTTCACACTGAATGTTGTACAATTTTGTACGTGGTGGTGCATAATGTTAAACCTGTGTACCGTCGTGCATAAAATTGTGCTTGAAATTGCAAGGATTTATTCATATAACTTATAATAATATGAAAAATCCACGTGTGCAGAAAATCGTGCAAGTTGCACGTACAAAATTCTACCCTAACATTTAATGTGTTCGGAACTTTACCCTAGATGTGTGTTTCTAACTACTGAGAACACCGTCCTGAGATACAGCTACCCCTGATGCTTCGAGCACGGTGCAAACCAGTCCAAATTGGGTTCAATGAATGTCAAAAACGAAAACAAAATAATCGAACCCCAGTGCGGCCATTACTGGGCCGAGACACTGGCTATCACTGGTGAAAAGGTGGCCGTCACGGGGCAAACTGTACACTGATACTTGGTTAATTATTCCTCAAAGGGTAAATTTTATTTTGCTGGTTTACAAAGAGAATCTTTTCTATACTCTTGTATGTTCCTGAAGATTTTAATACCGGTACAATGTAGGGAAACTTCGTAAAGAAGTGCGCTAAAAGTGGCCATCACTGGGCACCGTGCCCTCCACACATTTGATCTCGGAATGAACCAAAATTAAAAAGAAGGTGCTCCCTTCTTGTTACTTGGACAGAACACAAGAAAGGGCGAGCTTCTTACCTCTCACAACGCAGAGCACACATTGAAATGGCGGCGAGTCCTCCAACGGCAGGCCCGATGATGGTGCCCGTTTTCGCGCCGACCTGCAGAAGAAAAAGGGCACTGTGAGGAAAAAGTACGGAACATGTCTGGTCAATAATTGGCCTGGAACGTCCGTGCTTGCCAACTACGGAACGTTCCGTACTTTTTTTCCGTACCCATTTACATGGGTTATTATGGAGCAAGTACGGAACGTTCCGTACTTTTCTCCATACCTCCGTCCTATATTTTTCTCTACCATTGCCGTACAAAAGTTCGGAATTTTTTTACAGTGGGCAAGTTACCTCAAAGGAGTGGAATGTCAATAGCTTCTAACTGGACAAATCCGAAGGCAGCTTCTAGCCTCCGGGCAAGCATAAAGCCTGCCAAGATGGCAGCCTAACAGTGCCATAATGGTCCATGTCCGCCCGAACTGCATACAGAAAAGTCTACCCCAATGCGAGAATTAGTGCTGACATCTAGCAGGTAATGGCCGGACGTACGGCCTAAGGCCGTGTCGACATGTCTCGCATTGGGGCTTTGTTATGAGCGTGCTTGCGAGCTTTTTTGTCTCCAAATTTTGGCGTACCATGGTACAAATCTTGGATTGTAGAGTGGGCAAGTTACCGTCAAAGCGCAGTGGAACTTCAATAGCTTCCAATCGACAACATTCAGGTTATTGCAGAGCACTCCAGCAGTGAAACACACTCTGTAAATATTGGTATCACTTCACGACAATATCAAGGCTAATTTTCCTTACAAGGATGTCGTCAAATCATTAAGACATAGTTGTCACGCCCATGCAAAATGAAAAAGAGTTAAAGCTCAAAGATCAATCGATCTTGGCTTTGATGAAAATGTCGTCACTTTGAGACGGCATCGTCATCATTTGCAAGTGATGAAAATGTCATCCACGATTTTGTCATAATATGACAACAAATTGATACAGTGCACACACTGGTAGCCAACGAATGTGACGTCATATTCGTTCGAATGTGAATTTTGTCACGTTCGTTTGAATGTTGATCCACGTTCAAACGAATGTGACACCCTACCTGAACGGACGAGTCACGTTCAAACGAATGTGACATCATATTCAAACGAACGTGACAAAATTCACACTCCAACGAATATGACGTCACATTCGTTGGCTACCAGTGCAGGTGTAAGGTAAAACTAAACATGAGGCCTTTTGTGAAGCGTAAATAACTACGCTGCGCATATGCTTCACTCCTCAGAAAAGTCTAGAAAGACTTAGCTTCGCAATACCAAGAAAACGAAGGCATTGTACAATTGCTTCGTATCGTGAAGAAACGGTGTATATCGTGAAGGATTTTGCTTCGTAACCCAAAACGTTTCTTCGTAGAATTTACAATGCCTCCGTTTTCTTCGTACACCGAAGCCATGCTTCGCAGACATTTCAATGTGTTGAGTATGTACCTGCCAGGGTACATTTGGAAGTGCGTACTTGGCCACACTGCAAGGCAAAGTGTGACTAATACAACAAAAGTATAACAAAAACTGTACAATAGAAGTACAACAGGGATTGTAGAGAGTACAACGAGAATTGTACAAACCACAACGAGGCCTGGACCGCACAGCACTCGTCATGCCGGTTCCATTGTACTTTGTACAACAATTGTTGTACTTTGAAAGTGCAATAAATTCCTAATTAAACATTTGACAGAAATTTGTGTACTTTTGCTGTGGTTTTTTCATGCAGTGCAAGAACACGTTTGAAAGTAGTGCGTTCTTGCAACCATGCATTTGTAAGTGTGGACAAAGCAGATAGTTCAGTTCGTAGCGTGTTGCCAAAGTCTTACCTCTCACAACGCAGAGCACACATGGAAATGGAGGCGAGTCGTAGGACTGAAAATCAACAGTAGCTCGATTCTTCCAGCGACCTGCGAACGAGAAAAAGAAAGTGAGTGTAGGGGTCAAAGACTTTGGAGCCTGTCGACAGGTCCACAGCCTGTCAACTTCGGTTAAGCGTGTAACGCAGACACTAACACTGTATTAAGGGAGGCAGTATCGCCGATTGAACGTACTACTGTGATGATTTCCGAACCTGTTCAGACCTCAATAAAAATATACTAGTGGGAATGCTTAAGACAAACGGCAGGCAATGTGTTCAAGTGCGAAATTTTAACAACTATTGGAACAAAACTTCTACTTTTCAGCGTCAAATAACTATTTTAGGGTAACCATATCACTCGAAAAAAAAAGGTCTGCAAAATGACGCATTAATGTGTGCACGATTTCAGCCAAAGTTTTGATCTTTTGCTCCAATGCATCTGAAAATGCGTAAAATTGTCCACAAAAGACCCTTGTGTTTCAATATTGGATAAGAAAAACCATTAAAACAGCAACGGCCATCTTCAGTTTTGAATAATTGAAACAAAACAAACACGAAAAAGATGCGAGTGGAGAACCCTGCGTACACTCCCAAGATAATGCTGAGCTTTTTCTTCGTTAAACGAACAAAAAGCTTTAGTATTATGACTCCACGGCATTTCTCTGTAGGAAAATCGGGAGTGTAACGAGACCTTCCCTTACTGTTAACATAGAGATGCATAATCACCTGGCTTCAATCCTCCAGCGTTGACAGCGAGCGCAGGATGCACAGCCAGTGTCGATCAGTGTACAAAAGAACACCAGGCGAAGAAATCTGCGTTTCGAAAGAGCTTCTTCTTGAAATCTTTCTTGGTTCTTCCTTCCTGATTGGGTTAGGCCATCATGACATCACTAAAGGAGAAAGAAAATGGCAAGATTAGTTTTGACACAGCGGGTACCTTGAATCACTCTTCAAACGCGGTGACGAGATTCATTTTCACTGCGACCAATGCAACCTCTTTTTTCGAACGAAAGGAAGGTCACCAAGGCTATAGCACATTTTGAATTTATTTAGTTTCTTCAGGAACGACAGAATCAAGTACAAAAGAAAACTTCAAATACATTTTAGGGTCGCAAATAACAATAATAATAAACACATATAATCAGGATCATCCTGGCACAGCAGGAAAAACTCGGGATCTCAGGTGGCACAAAATAAGGACGATTCTGACGTGAAGAAGTAATAACAAAAAAAGACGATACGATGCTAACAAAAGAGGAATTAATGAAGACACTTAACATTATAACCACAGTGAGATAGATTAATACAATAACAATGCAATAGCAATAACGATAGGCAGCAAGACAAGAATTTCGAAGCAGTCAGCAAAAGCCACTGGCGTGCTACAGCGACCTTTCGAAGTGCCAGCAGAATTGACCAGTCTGCCCTGCCCCTGGGATAGCGAAAAAAAAGAGGGATTTGGGGCAAGATCACTCAGTTGATTTAAAACCAACCATTCAACAGCCTACACCCCAATATGGCACTTTAGGTGAGTTATCAGACAAGATCCGGTCGCGAACGTTTCGTTGCAAATTGTGCATCTGAAACGTTTCTCTCCGGTATGCTTTCGGAGGTGTCTTCTCAGCTGCTCCGACCGATGAAATTTCTGATCACAAACAGTGCACTTGTGGGGCTTTCCCGGAATATGGATTCGTCGGAGATGTATTCTCAAAAGACCTCCGTCGCTGAACTTCTTATTGCAAACTGTGCACTCGAATGGTTTCTCCTGAACATGCATTCGTTGCAGATGGCTCCTCAAAAAGCTTCCGTCACTAAACTTCTTGCTGCAAACTGTGCACTCAAATGGCTTCTCACCGGTGTGCTTACGCAAGTGAATCCTTAATGAAAACTGCCTTGAAAACTTATGGCCGCAAACGGAGCATTCGTAAGGCTTTTCACCCGAATGAGTTCGCAGATGAGATTGAAGATAAACTCTAAGAGCAAACTTCTTCTTGCAAACTGTACACTCGTAGGATTTCTCTCCGGTATGGGTGTCAAGATCACTTCCGGTAATAAACTGATGAGTTTTCAACGTTGATTTTGACTCGGCCTCGTCCTCGACGTGTAAGTCCCTCGAACTAACCATTTCACATCCATTTGCTTCACTCGACATCTCTGCCATGTCGACCAGCATACATGGCTCGCCTTTCATGGCATGCTCGGGACCTGAACAGAAGTCCATCAGAACAGTAAGCGAGATAAAACTGGCGATACAATGTGAACAGTTTAGCTCAGAACTGCGTTCATCTGATAAACTAAAAAAAAACCTTGCAAAGTATCCGGCATTGCATTGCAAACTCTCACACTAAATTACTATGTAGGTTTTTCTGCGCGCCAGTGCACGAAATCAAACATGCACTTCAAAACGCACGAATTTGTGCGCAACAATGCACGATTTCGTGCGGAAGTACACACTAAACTTCTTACGGATACATCCTATCTGTATTACGGACATTTTTGTGCAATTGCAATTACGGATAGATTTTGCTTGTAATACGGATGAAATCATCCGTATTACAAAGAGTTTTACGTCCGTACCATACGGATATTTTCGTCTGTATGTTACGGACGTAAAACTCTTTGTAATACGGATGATTTCATCCGTATTACAAGCAAAATCTATCCGTAATTGCAATTGCACAAAAATGTCCGTAATACAGATAGGATGTATCCGTAAGAAGTTTAGTGTGTATGCAGAAAATCGTGCATTGTCGCGCACAAATTTGTGCGTTATGAAGTGCATGTTTAATTTCGTGCATTGGCGCGCAGAAAAACCTACATAGTAATTTAGTGTGGCTCTTACAAACTTTTTCTTTGCATTGCGAAGTGTTACTTTGCAACAAAGAAAATGCTTCGCAACTTACAAACTTTGTCTTTGCAATGCGAAGAAAAGAGTTCGCAAGGGAGTTCGTAATACAAAGCCGGAAAATACTTCGTACTGCAAAGCACTTTTCTTTATAAGCTTTCAAGAGTGTGAATTTTAAACATCTCAGTGAAGGACGGTGTAAAAGTTGCTCTATTTCTATGGAGGCTCTACGGAGGAGTTCTAAAAAAGGCGCAGAAAGTTCGTTCGCAACGTCGACTTTACGCGTTATTTCGGGACTTTTATTTTATCTACGGACTAAAATGCAATTTGACCACCCAGAGTCCGATCCGGGACGGGACCAAGCAAAGAACATTAGACGCAAAAGATGCCACATTAGGCAGGGTTCTTACCTTTCACAATGCAGAGGACACATTGGAACGATGGGGAGTCCTCAGACTTCAAACCCGAAGACGCCTCCGTCTCCCCGAGACCTGCAAAAGAGAAAGGCCAAGTAAGTGGTCCATAATCGTTGGCTTTAAAGCGGTCTTGCCAAACGCCCCAAATCTAATACAGCTGTTCTGGACCCAACAAGCTGCCTCTAACGCATCCACGTGCACAGAAAAACCTCTGCCCCTTCCGCCACCAATGCCTTCCTAAGCATGCATTGCATAAGCCCCACACGCAAAGCGATTTCACCGCACTACACGACTTCATGGCAAAATTTCTGGCACTGGGGACTTCCGGTGAAAAAGTTTCTTTTGTGAATTAATACACGGGACGCGCCAAAAAATCGGTCCCACAGTGAATTCGTTAAAAATAAGGGCTTCTCTGTGAAAGGTGAAATAGTTTACAGGCTCATGTTTGTTTGGACCGATTTCAATAGCCTACATTCAAGAGAGGCTAAAAAAACGTCTCTTAAGAGGTCGCAATAAATTTGTTCAGTTGAAATTACCTTCTTAACCTAGTAAAAGGTTAAGAAAGTAATTTCAACTGAACAAATTTATTGCGACCTAATGTTAGAAAATTGTAGGCATATCTTATGAAAGAAAAGAAACATTTTCACCAACTTCTACCCTCGAGCAGGGGACCACGGTCGCGGGCGGTAACGTGGGTTCTCGTGCCCAAAAGTTAGTCATGAAACTATTTTTCATTGAGAGCTCAAGGCTCAAGAATGCGCAGTGTTAGGCTTGACTTCCGGCATAGGTGGATAGCCCTGTAAACAAAAAGTTATAGATCGTTAGAGTCAAGAAAGACACAACTGCAGACAATGAAACGGCCAAGTGGCGGTGTACTGAACAAAAGCATCAACGTCGGTGGCTACTAAAGGCGGTCGGTCATCGGCTCTGGCAGGAACGCAGGTCCCTTTCAAACGTTCTAATCCTACCGTTTCCCGGCCACCGCCGAAGGCTCCTAGCTTGATAGCACGGGAAGCTGTGAAATTTGATGATGGGGAAAGGTACCGAAAAACAGAAGTCATAATTTAACCTGCATTAAATAGCAGAGGGAAGAACAAAGAAAGACCACTGAAACCTGGAATAGTCGAAGAGAGATGTACTGGTTAAACCGAACTCACAGAAATTCACACGCATTCCAAATAAGATTCTTTGAGCAAAGGACCTTGTAAAAGCTTGTAGCAGCTTTTGTATGCTCATATTACTTTGTTGTAACAAGCTATTCTTAGGAAGACCTACAATAGTTTATACGGTTTTCAGCGTGTCCCTCAATGCAAGCCAGCACACTAAATTAATATGTAGGTTTTTCTGCGCGCCAATGCACGAAATTAAACATGCACTTCGAAACACATAAATGATCCAGGAAGCGGAAGAAGGGAATAACTTGACTTATCCCCAAATTGAGTTTTTATTTTATTATTGTGCCTTAGAATGGTTTACATCATTACACCAAATTATTTGACTGAATTCCAAGCAGTTTAGGAGAAAATCCACTTGGAAAAAGGGTTTAACTCAACTTAACCCCTTTTACAGTCTAAATTTCATTGGAAAATGGAGATAACTCAACCTTAGTCTACATGAGTCCGTTTGACAAATTGGCAAAAGGATATAACTCAACTTGTGTTTTTTATGAATCTAGTGTAAAAAGAATCAACTCAACTTAACCCCCCTAAATTTTAAATTTCAATTTGGAAAAAAGAGCTAAGTCCAAAAAATACACCAGAGTTACTTACACTTTATGCAGACTATTGTCCCACTTGACTTGTCTCCAAATTCCTCTTTGTTTAGGAAATATAAGGTGAGCTGACTCTGTTTTCCATTTCAACGGAAAGTGATAAGTCGCAGAAATCCTCTACGGAGTGACCTTACACTTTTGATTTTTTTCCCAAAATTTTACTAATGCTTTTTGAAATTATTAACATGTGCAACATTCATTTGTTTTGTTTTAGTTTTCCCTGCTAACAGTTTTTTGTTTCTCCTGAAAAATGGCCAAAATTGAGTTATCCCCTTCTTCCGCTTCCTGGATCAAATTTGTGCGCAACAATGCACGATTTTCTGCACACTTGCGCACGAAATCGTGCGTTGTCGCGCTCAAATTCCTGCGTTACGAAATGCACGTTTAATTTCGTACATTGGTGCGCAGAAAAATCTACAGAGTAATTTAGTGTTAGTGTTACGCCAGACTAAGTGCACGCATCGTTTTGCTTGACCTGAACAGACTTTTCCACCAGAGCGCCGAATAAAGAAGTAGAAGAATAATAACAAAACCCGGAAACAGTCCCTGCAAACACGGTAAAAACGGAACCTGGTTTTCCCAGGAAGCCTATGGAAGAGACATAGGCGATTTCCAGGGAGTTCCTGGGAAAACCAGGCTCCGTTTTTACCGTGAATAGCTACGTTCATAATAGACCTTTCCGGGCTAAGCTTCTTGTACAATAACCCAATCTTTGCGCCGCCACATTGTAAGACCCAACCTATTTGCAGCGAAATGGCATTAAACTCGTTGTTGTTGATACTCCAGTAGACACAGAGTTCAATTCCGTTTCGCCACAAATGAGCTGGATCTTAAAGTGTGGCGGCGCAAAGATCCGAGTGTACTGAACAAGTTGCTTAGCCCGGAAAGGTCTATACTTAGTAAGTGCGTCTAGTTATTATGAAGTTGCCCGCACCGTTTCCCGGTTGTGTAATTCTTCTTGTTCTCCGATCGCAGATGACTTAGATTTATAAAATGCTCTATTTACGGCGTTCTACATTGTGGCTGGGCTTCGGCACGCCCTGGCGTAACACTACTAATTGTAAAATTATCGCACTGGAGGCATTCTGCTCTGAAGGGTTCACTCTTAAAACCTACAAACTATTTTCGGCATAGCAAAAGGTGCTACCACAATGGTCTCATACTTAAGCCATATCATAGTTAGCATCTCATAGTTAGTGACATATGGGCCTGTAGCACAGGTTTGAGTGTTTTAAGCCGAAAATTTCCTCATTAACTTTAATCTGAGGATGGCTCAGAACACTCAAACCTGTGCCACAGGCCCTTATCTCACTAACAATGAGATGCTAACTATGACATGACTTAAGTATGAGACCATTGTGGTAGCACCTAAAGGAAAGAAGCTTGTCAGAACAAAGTATTTTGAGCTTACATAAGCTCACAAAGAAAATAATTCGAAATTAACAAACTATTTCTTCGTACAACAAATAAATAAAATAGTTTGTGACTATCATAGGCTCATGATACTTCCTAAGCTTTTCACCGCTTACTGCACCGGAAGTTGGAGCTTCGACTTCAAGTCACATTGGGCAAGCATAGAACATGTTGACATTGTTTCATTGATGAACAGTGCCTATTTCCTCGAAGCAGCGCCATTAGACCATACTATTCGTGAAAAACAAGAGGATCCCTTAAACCGGAAATGTCGCTGGCAACCTAACTTAAAATAGTTGAGTCGAAGTGCCAGTGAGCGTCATTCTATCCAGAGCAGTTAAGCCTGTTTCAAGACTAGTTTGGTTTAGGAAAACATTTATGTTCGAAAATTTATCCCTTTGAAGAGCCTGGTACCCTTTTCAAACTCACTCCGTTTCCGGTGTTGCGCGTCTCTCTGTTCTGGTAGTCAACGTATGTGACAGTATATTCGTTTCGTTTGAATGGGAATTTTGTAACGTTTGTTTGCATAATGTGTCTAATTCGTTGGAACGTAAATCCACGTTCAAAGGAATAGACCTTTCCGGGCTAAGCAACTTGTTCAGTATACTCGGATCTTTGCGCCGCCACACTTTAAGATCCAGCTCTTTTGTGGCGAAACGGGATTGAACTCTGTGTCTACTGGAGTATCAACAACAACGAGTTTAGTGCCATTTCGCTGCAAATAGGTTGGGTCTTACAGTGTGGCGGCGCAAAGATTGGGTTATTGCACAAGAAGCTTAGCCCGGAAAGGTCTATTGGACATCCTCATTTAGCGGCCACGTCACGTTCTAACGTATGCGACACTGAATTCAAACCAATGAGGTATTTTGCGATAGTGAAGAAGAGAAAGAAGAAGATGCGGCGGTGGGGGTAGAACATCACAAACCCTCATTTGTTTGCCGGCCATGATGCCCCCCACCCGCCCCCGCCTCGCCCCGCAAGCAGACGAACTGCCTAAACAAATGAGGGTTTGTTATGTTCTACCCCCACCGCCGCATCTTCTTCCTTCTCTTCTTCACTATCGCAAAATACCTCATTGCAACGAATGTGACGTCAGAGTCTTTGAATAACAGTGCCAATCGATGAAGGCCGAATACGTCACATTGGATGAAATCAGTACACTCGAAAGTAAAATCATCCAGCAGTGTCGTCATACCGCAGCCGCGTCGTTCTTCATACACCACTTCTTGTAGTTTGTAATTTCGTTTCAGTGGCTGAGTGATGACTTGCGCCCGAGGGATGAAAACGGAAGTCTACGTGCTAATTTTGCTGTGTGTTGTTACTAGGTACCGTCCGCGACAAGAGTGAAATCCGGGTTGAGCGCCTGTCTGTGCTGCGGCCGTGGCTGTGGCTGTACGCGGTTGCGCCACCACTACGCTACGCCAGGAGGTGAGCCTGAGGTGAGCTGGATTCATTGAACGAGCGTGTTCCGGAAACGAAACGTCAACCAAATACTCCACTATCGTTGCAGGAGCGTGACATCAGCTCGAAACGAGCGAGTCAAAAAGTCACACACCTCTGAGCAATTGAGATATGCTCGAAAGAGCGCGACGTTTTGTCACGTTCGTTCCAGCGTGTTGTCACTCTTGGAATGAAGTGTTTCCTGGCGCACTGGGAATGTTGTTTACTCGGCATCCCAAAGTGGCCTTGTAAAAGTTGTTCTCCGGTTGTGCCGTACGAGTGGAGCAGTTGTCGAGCAGCGCTGCGCTTTCTGCTGACGCTGCTCGCAGCTGAGGTGTCGTGGTGTCGTGGTCGTCGTCTGCTGCGCGTAAGGGAGGCGGAGGGAAAGGGGGAGGGGGGGGGACGAGGCGAGCCGCGGAACAGGAAGAGCACGCTATTCGCACTGCTGGTATTCGCAGTTCACAGTGCTGCTGTTGTAAACATAACCCCACCGGCAGCCTAGACCCTCCAGTTTCTAACGTTTGATTTCTCAGTTTATTTAGAGGTATCCGGACGTGGGGAAGATTGAATGCTGAATGACGTAGTAGCCCACGCTGAAGAACGAACTCAGTGACAGGCGTCGCGTGTTGCGAGTTTCGGTGAGCTTAGTTTGCTGAGACTGTCCTGACAATCCATTTGTCGTTTCGCCTATTTTTTCCTTGCATAATCGTGTGGAAACCTAGTGTTTATGGGCAAAGTACAGTACTAGTACACCTGTGATAGTTCAGTGAAAGTGTACTCTAGTCATTGGTTTGGTCCGGTTTTTTGTGTGTATGTCATGAACTCAAAGAGGTAGGTGGCTGTAGCCATACAGGTTGAGTTTAAGTCTATAACTTATTTGAAGTAACTTTGCATAGATTGAAGCGATTGAAGGCGATCTGTCTTGCATTCAGTGCGTCCCTTCTTCATCCCTCTCTTTCCATCTGAAAGCTCACTGGGTGAGTGTGCTTTCCTTGCGTTTATGTCCCTAGCCCTGCGACAAGTGGAATCCCATGGTAATCTACATCCTACAATTAATGGCTCTGTGTCACCGCTGAAAGCAGTGCTTGTAAGGCATATGGTGGTACTCCACTCCAAGACAGAATTTCATGTCAATTTAAGTTGTGTCCTTTTTGTGTTTCTTTTTCTATGTTTGGTCACGCAAATTATCGGTCTGTATTAACCCGTACCCATTGACCAAGGGAGATTACGTAATCAATCTTGGTTGTGTTGCGGTCATATTGGAACTATTTTGTGTGTATTGTCCTATTCTCTTAAAGGGACAAGCTCTTACAGCTACTTTCAACGGGCTTCTTTTCTATTGTGGACACGTATAGGTGCTTCCAATATAAATATATTTTTTAGGGTACGGTTTGAAAAGAAGGATGGAAAGTAGCTCAACAATTTAAATGACAAAAATTCCTACTTCATCATATAATTTTTTGTAAAAATGAACAGGTACTTAAAATGGAGCGCCTGGTATTTGAATATGAAGTGGTTGTTTTGAAATGGTTTCAATGCCATCTTCTTCAAATTACGCATAGAAGTGTGAGATGTCATCTTCAACTGTTTGCGTTGATATTTTGAGCGGAATAGTTGTTTGAAAGTTCTAGCATAGTAGCAACCAAGAAAAGCCTCATTGTCTGGTGTTGAACTTTAAACTGGCCTGTATTTGAGACTTTCAGACTTATTATGATTCTTTCTGTAGAAACTCTCGATTTTTGTGTGTTTCTTATAAAATAGGAGTTCGATATTTGGGGATTGGGATTGGGAATGTTTGTGACGGCTGGACTCAGTGTCCACCTCAAAATTATGGGTGGCTCCCTTGTTTCCTAGAGGAGATTGTTCTAATTGTACTTCCGTTTGTTCTCAGATTCCATCTTTGACTGATTAATGGCGATTTACAGTGAGTACTCTGACTGCACTGAGAAAACCTTACAAACTAGTCAGGCCCTTACAAAGCAAAGCAGTTTGTAAGAACAAAGTATTTTGAGCATACAAAGAAAATACTTCGCAATTTAAAACTATTTCTTTGTATAATAAAGTTAATTAGTTTGTACGCATGTATGCTCAAAATACTTCATAAGGTTTTAAGGGTGTGCTTGCGGCATCGTTTTTCCCGTTTTCGGGTGAGTCATGGGAACTTTGCTGGGGTTGCAGAGGACCCGCTGTTCCCCACGCCAGAGGACCTGAACTCGGACCGAAGCGGAGTGCAGCTGCCGAAGATCCACAAGAAGGGGCCGTTCCTGGACCACGATGACCTGCTGCAGACGCACATCGACCTCCTCTCGGAGGACTTCCTGCGCTCCCTCAGGGAGCAGCTGGACGACATCCGCGCCAACCCGCGCATCCTGGACAGCACGGCCTGCTACACCGTCAAGGCCGCGCGCGTCATCAGCAAGGAGCGCAGCCGCTTCGATCAGGAGGTGGTTTTTTAAATATTCATTTTATGAGTCTAGGGTCAGTTTAATTATAGGACACAGGGTAAAAATGGGACAGCTGATTCTTAGTCAAGAATCGAGATTTTAAAACTTGTGCCGTAGCAAGTCTTATTTTCACAGTAAAAACATAACATTTGGTATGTTATTTGTTCAAAAATGTCAAATCCTGACTAAGAACCAGCTGTCCCATTTTTACCCTGGGTCCTTTAATTACTCCAACTGACCCAACACCAGTAAAAGTAAAGCAAAGTATAACCGGCTGTTTTCAAGGTTTATCCTTTTAAGCTTAAAATCAAGCGTAACAGGGTCATGAGTCCACATTCCAGCAATGTAGAACGCATGGTTGAGTTTCTTGTCTATAATTCTTACTTTCAAGGGTGACTTCTTCTGGCGTTACATAATACTGCACTCAAGCCTATAGTTACGTTTTACTTTTATCTGTGGAGGGATTTATGTATTTCTTGAAATGTCAAGTAAAGGGTTTTTCCATTTTAAAAATGTAGTGTTGTCTCAGAATATTCTTCATTTTGGTCAGTGTGAAGTGAAATAGCAGAGAGGTAAACTAATTATTATGTAATAACTGTTTCAGAATTCTTTGTTTATAAGTTCCTTTCTATTTCTTGAATTCATTCCTCTAGAGGGAGACCATCCTTATACGTTATAGAGCCATGAATGTTAATGTTACAATTTAGTCGTTCATCCCTAACTCTGGTCACAACAAAGGCAAAGGATCCCGTCAATTGGACCTCAAAGGACAAAGGAAAAAGATAGCGTAGCCCCTTTTGGAAACATGAGGGGAGTCTTGGCAGTTCAAACTAGTTTTTGTAGCACTGTTTTTATTTTATTCTATTTTTTTTATTTTAATGCATACTTTGCATACTATGTTGTGACAAGCTACTTTTCCTTGCAAGGCGGAAGAATAGTTAGTGGGGTTCTAGGAGTGCAGATCAAATCGAGCATGTCAGACTGCACCCAGTGTGGAGAACTCCACATTTCAAATGCGGTGGTGTGGAATTTTCTATCTTGTCTCTTGGATGCGCTGAGTTTTGCACTCTCCACACTCCAAGAGAGAGTGCATGGAAAAAACGAAATGGCTGTGGCTGCTACTTTTTTTGGGGGGGTGGGGTAGAAGTAAGTGGTACAACTACGTGCAGCTATGGCTCTGGGAGCTCCTCCACACTTGAAGTGGGGTGACTGCAAACTCTGTGCTTTCAAGGGTGGACGAGGGGCAAATAACTTGAATTTGGGTGTAGATTTTCCTTGCAATAACGTGAAATAACGTTGAAATAACGGTGTAGTTACGCGCAATAAGGCGAAATAACGTGAAATAACGTCGAAATACCCTCTAGTTAACGTTGAAATAACTGTGAAATACCGTGAATTGGAAATAACGGCGTACAAATTTTGACTAAGTTGTTTGCCCCTCTAGTGTGGAGAATTTCTCCGCACCAGCTAGTGTGGAGTTGTCCACACTTGGTTTGACCGAATGGTTTCTGCTGCAGGCGGGCGTGGAGATGCGGTTCGACCCGACGCGCTACCAGCACGTCCGCTGGGAGGAGGACCAGCGCTTCCTGACGGGCAACATCGTGCTGCTGACCCAGGACAAGAAGGCCCTCAACGACTTCGTGGTGGGCGTGGTGCACGAGAGCAGGCCCGCGCTGCTGCGCGACGGCCGCGTCGTGCTCAAGCTGGTGCGCGGCGTGACCGGCAAGGGGGACTTCCTGCTGCTCAACCAGGTGACCGCTCTGAGGGGCCCAGAGCCCCCTGCGGATCATAGTGTGAGACGAGAGAGTCTCACACTTGCACGTGTGAACCGGTATGTCTCTGTCTCACGCGTGCTAGTGTGCACGGACGAGTGTGCAAGTGTCCATGGGCAACGTTCGTCCCACACTTTCAAAAGTGTGAGGCACGGTTTGTCCCACACTTGCTACCCATGGTTTCCATGGTTCCCTGTGGGTGAGTGTCATGGGTCGGACGCTCGCGGTGTGAGACAAACCGCCTCACACTGGCAAGCGTGAGACCGAGACCCACGTGAGTGTGAGACATTTGGGTTCACGCCAAGTATTGTGAGACTGTCTCACACTTGGACTTGGATTTGCAGTGTGCACGGTAAAATCGTCCCCTGTAAGCCCAAGGGGAATTAAGCATAACCAAGGGAGTCCCGTGAAATTTTTGCATGGTCCAAGCGAGTCTCTTGGAATCTTTGGAAGTTCCTCTTTGGAAGTTCCTAGGGAATCCCTTGGAAATCGGTCGCCAGCGAAAACATGGGACTTCCTTGACATGAAGGACGATGTCTTCAAGCGTAGATCCACACTCAAATGAAGCGAGGGGGTATAAACACTAGTGTAAAACCCTGTACACCAAAACCGCGTATTACACGTAATTGTAATACTATTTTTGAGCCAAATGTGCCATATTCTGGCATTTTAATGCCGTTACACAGTGTACTATCCCCGTTATACAGCGTAATACCGAGCGCTCTGTTCACGATTTCTTTGAGTGTTCACCCCCTCGAAATGAAGCGTTACACTGTTAAAAATGAATGAAATTTAATGACATTTGTGACATTATTTTTCATTAAACGTCATTATTTTTAATTACATCTCCACATTCATTACATTGTAATGAAAATTTCATTACCTCGGTCATGAAGTTTAATGACATTAGCCATGTAATGAAAGTTTCATTACACTATGAAGCTTGTCATGAAATTTTCATTACATGTCATTAAATTTTTCAAAAATATTTAAGCATGACTGATTTTTTTCGGATTTGTCTAGGATTTAAGTTCAGCTTACTCAAACTAATTTAGCCTTCTATTGGCCGCCAACATCAATTTTTCTCCTACAGTCGCGTCCATTACGGCGTCATATGCCAAACCTGTCATTCGCAAGTCTGCCGCTAGGTGTCGCATGGTACACGGGGATCACTCTCAACTCTGTATTTCGTATTAAAATATTAAAACGTGAGGAGATATCCTGAAATGTATCCGTGATTCATGCGAAGTGCTGGATTGTTAAACTAATGGCGAAGAGTTTGGAGGAATAGAGCGATATTTGAAGTGACCAAATAGGTTTGTCTGATGTTGCTCGAAGGCGGCTACGGGCTGCCGTTTGGTAGGGTCAGCACCCGATCTCTCTCACTCAGGCAACTAAACTGCCTCAGACCTGAGTTGTCCTGGGTCACTCAATTTTTACCTCTTCTCTGCTGTCAGAGTCGTTGAGAATTCACTCTAAGTCAAATCGTGACAAAAAGTTGCGTAATTTGCGTCAACTTTGATCAATTCCATTATGTTTTTGTCATTAAATTTTTAATTACATTCGTTCATTACACTGTAATGAAAATTTTAATAACATATGTGTAATGAAATTCTTAATTACATTGTAATGATTATAGCTTCACTACCATGTAATGAAAATGTAATCAATTTTTTTTAACAGTGTAAACTATGCTTCAATTTTACCAGTGTCTGTAAATTAGTCTGTCATGTCAGAGAATCTGAAAATTCCACACCTCCACATTTCAAGGGTGGAATCCTCAGCACTTGGTCTCACAGTGTGTCGTCCGTCCTTGTTGGGTCCAGGCCTCCTTCGTGGGCGAGACGTTCACGCTGTTCGAGTCGGCCCACTTCTACTTCCCCTACCTGCACGTGACCAACGCGCTGCGGCAGGACCTGAGCAACCCCATGCGCACGCTGGCCGACTTCGAGGCCGAGATCGTGCGCTGCAAGCTGCCCTCGCGGCCGCCCAAGTACCACTCCTACATGAAGGCGCAGGCGGTGAGTTTTGGACGCATCGAAATACGAAGGCAGTTTTGATTCGTATTGCGAAGGTTTTTCTTTGTATCTTAAGATATAGAAAAGATGCGTTCTACGATGGAATATTGATCTGTCCATCGTCGAATTAACTGTAACATAGCTCAAAGGCGTAAAATGTGCGTCTCGTGGGGCCTAAAACCTGTGGCATTAGTTTTAATGCCCTTTAGAAATGCATTAGTTTGAAGCCAATCCTATGTTGCTTTTCACCAGTCAGAAGGGTATAATTGCGAAAGTTTTGGATTTGCATAGCTTTAAGTCACAATAGGAGAAAATTTTATGTTTTTGCCTGACCAAAATATTGCACGATTGAGTGTGAGTGTAGTCAATTGCCTACTTTAAGGCGTTTTTAGGGATCAGATTATTGCTAACTGTTTGTGAGTTCAGGCTGGGCATGACTGTGTGCAAGCAGTGGTAGCCGGGCCACCAGACCTCCTGCGACCCTGTCTTGTTTGGGAATTGAATGTGGATTCAACTCCATCAGTTTGCTCAACTCCCACTACTTCAAGAAATCGAGGGAGATTTTCTTGCATAAGAACATGTGATTCATTCCAACGAAATTCCTTGAACTGTGAAAACCTTTCAAACCTTACAAAGAAAAGCAGTTTGATATGACAAAGTATTTTGAGCGTATATAAGCTTACAAAGAAAACACTTCGTAATTTACGAACTATTTCTTCGTATGTCAAAGTAAATAATGTAGTTTGTGCTATGTATGCTAAGGTTTTAAGCATGTGTTTTTGGAATGACTTGAATGTCGTTGGAAATATTTTTTATTTCGTACTGCAAGTAAGGGTATGTTCAGAAAGAAACGAGCCCTGAAAACGAAGCTGGTGGTTGTTTTCTTCTTTCATTCACCCTGTTCAGAACCACGTCTTTGACCCTTGCCATGGTGCTGCAGGGTGTCCTGGGCGCCTCCAACGCCCCCGCCACGGACAACGCCGACGCCTTGCTGGAGCAGTTCAAGGACGAGCTCAACGAGTCGCAGATGGCGGCGCTGGAGAAGGTGCTGTGCCAGAGGGTGGCGCTCGTGCAGGGGCCGCCCGGCACGGGGAAGACCTACCTGGGCTGCAAGGTGAGCTTATGAGCCTTGAAAGTATGTACACTAGTAAAACAAATGCATTAAAATAATGCAGCAGCAGGGTTTGATTGATTGACGCCCCTGGAAAGGCGCCGATCGATCAATGCTCTTGGAATTTACTCGCTCTTGTGCAAGATGAACGTCTCGTTCAATTTGCGAACAAAGAATCTGGATATATCCGAAGTTTCATGCTAAATTGCCAAAACTTCATTGGGTCAAAGAAAATCTGGAAGAAAAACTGGAAGGGTTATTTGGGGTAATTATGGGACACGGGTTAAAAATGGGACAGCTGTTTCTTGGTCAAGATTTGATTTTTTAGAACTCATGTCATTCCAAATGTGATGCTTTTATTGTGAAAAGCATATTTGGTATTGCATGAGTTCTAGAATGTCAAATCTTCTCTGCAAACTCAACAGTGTACTCAGTACACTCTAGTTGGAGTATGCTCATGAGTACACTCTAACTAGCGTGTACTCGGATGAGTACACTCTCTAGCGTGTACTCAGATGAGTACACACTTTCAGCTGCATAAATTGCCAGGCGTGCGTAGGTGTGTACTCATCTGAGTACACGCTAGTCAGAGTGTACCCATCCGAGTACACGCTAGTTAGAGTTAACTCATGAGCACACTCTAACTAGAGTGTACTGAGTACACTGTTGAGTTTGCAGAGTTGACCAAGAAACAGCTGTCCCATTTTTACCCCTTGTCCCATAATTACCGCAACTGACCCTATTGTTAAGTTCGTTTCGAGATGGCGTTCACTGAAAATTTTCAGTAATAGAACGTCGGACGTACGTTATCCTTCCCGGATTCCCAGTGTGCTTGCAGATGTCCTAACAATTGCCTTAACCTCCGTGTTCTGTGTGCAGATAGCGCAGTACTTCGTGGAGCTGAAGAAGGACCGGCCCTACGTGTTCCCCGGCCCCATCCTGGTGGTGACGACGACGAACCACGCCGTGCACGAGTTCCTCACGCGCTGCATCTCGTTCACCGAGAAGGTTCACGCTCTTTCCATCGAATATCTGATTATGTCACTAGACGCACGCAGTGCTTGGGGGACCAGTGTATTCTTTATTTCAAGCGGAACGTCTTCAAGCGCAACTTTACGTTTGACTCAAGCTTAGAGTTACGCTTTAGCGGAAGGACTTTGCACTCTTCAAACCAGTGACCTGACCATTAGGTTTTTTACGCTCTAATACGCGTCAAAATTACCGGAAATCAGCCTCTTTGTATCAGTAACCAAAAACGTAGTACGTGCCTCATATGATTCTAATACTTACAGTTTTCAGCGTGCACTATTACGCGTGCTGTCGCGCATGGAGTGACCCTACTATTACTATGCATAGCCCCTCAGCTTTGGTTTTACCAGGGCTTCGTTCGCAGTTCTCGCCTGTTATAGGACGTGTCGGGTTGTTTTTGTGCGGACTGACTCACTGTCTCTTAATTCTCTGCAGATCATCCACGGCTACTCCGACAAGCACGAGCAGACGTCGTACGGCCCCCTGCAGGAGCGCTACGACCGCTGCCAGTCGCTCTCCGGACGAGTGTCCATGATGAAGACCGCCGACATCCTGGCCATGACCACCACGCGCGCCGCCTACATGCGCTCGGCCCTGGACAAGCTCTCCGTCAAGATTGGTGAGGCTGTGTGTCTGTCCACACTGATTGTGCCCTCTGTACATGAAAATGCACAGTGGGCCAGTAGACCGGTGGAGCGGCCAAGGGAAAATAACTCCAGCCAAATTTGTACACCAAAATTCATCAAACACGTAAAATTCACTGAAATTCGTTAAAATGCATCGAATTTTGACTGAAATTCGCTAAAATTTATCGAACCTTGAGTGAAATTCATCGAAATTCTGCTGAAATTAGTTGGTTTTGTACACCGACATTCACCGTGATATCCCCTTGGTGGAGGCGGTCGAAATCACGGACGCGTTTTGAGCTCCAGAGTCGCTAAACGGGGCTCGAACCGAACGTGTGACCCCACCAATAGATTGCTTCCCGAACGAGGAATCCATTGGTAGGGTCAAACGTTTGGATCAAGTGCCATTTGTTGACAGCCTGCAACGGTCTTCTGGTCCACTGTGGAATGATCAGACACAGGACCACTGAAATTCGCGTCTCAAATCGGCCTAGCTTGAAAGCCACGCCAGAAAATGGCCTGACGTGTGAGTCACGCCGTTTCCTGACGTGAATTTACCTTGTGTATCGGTGCCCGCAATGCGTTTAACGGGATCAGTCATGCATGCGTGATTGGCGTGTCAGGGGAGACATGCCGAAATTTGGCCTGACTCTGAAACTTGGCATTTGTGAGGTGTTTGTGAAAATAAATCTATATTGCTCCCGGTTTTTGTCAGTAAATTGGAGACGAGCGTTGACGTGTCGTTGCCTGTTTGCAGTGATCGTGGAGGAGGCGTGCGAGGCCCCGGAGGGCTACATCCTGGCCTGCATCCCCGACAAAGCTGAGCACCTCATTCAGATAGGTACGGCATGGAACCTACCAGGTTGCGAAGTAAAGTCCTTCATTTTCTTCGTATTACGAAGCGATTCTTCGTATACACTCTAAATATGGGGTGCCCAGCAACTGGGTGCCTTTGTCGCCCGCCCCACTTTTTAGGGTGCCAAATGTCGCCCAGTTTCTGGGCACCTTTGTCGCCCAGTCTCGGGGTGGACTAATCATGCACACTCTAAAAAAAATGCTTCTGAAATTTCATAACCTGGTTTTGGACCTATTTGTAGAACTATTGCTCTTAGATTTCATATCCAAATAGTTCTTAAGTTTCATAACTAGCTGTTCTTAAATGTCATAAGTGGTTTATGAAATGTAAGAACTCTATTATTAATTTTCAGAAGCAATGTGTTATGAAAACTTATATCCGGTTCTTAATCTCTACAACCAATGCTATGAAACATCATAACAGTTTTATTACTTTTTACAACGAATGTATCGTGAAATCTTATATCCCGTTCTAAACTTTTATGTTACAAATACTGAATTCTCAGACAGGTTTCATTTCTTTTCACACTCAATATCTTGCAGCACTTATGCATCGTAGCGCACCAATTCGGGCTACTAAAGCGGAGTTTCATTTTTCTCCGAGAGCTACGCACAAGGAACATCACAGTTTAACGTGAGAGCCAAACCTCAGTCGACGTGGTAAACAGCGCAGCAGCGTTTCAGATCCAGATGAAAACTTTAGGGAAACTCGATCGACAAGAAGAAAATACTTTGGGAACAAAGATGAAAGAGGAGAAGCGAATTGAAATAATACGCCACCCACACGTTCATCGCCCGTCCCTGCAGTTAAAAAGATGGAGTTACAGCATTCAGCTGCGCCGCTTGTAACGAAAACAGTCATTTTCCCGGAGATCGCCAATCTAGCTTCAAACTCTTGAAACACGAGTGCTGGCTGTTGGGCACCACGAGCAACACTTCAACTGCACTACACGCACTGCGCCGAAATAACACTAAACGGTCCAGCGAAACTAAATTGATGGCGCGACCGACTTGCTCTCGGACCCGGACGCGATGTGCACAGCTCTGGAGACACAGACACACTAAAAATGACGCAGTCCCTCAGTAATCCGGAGTGGCCGAGGGATTTCGCGACCCTTCGGTCGGTGCAGGTAGCCTCGGCCGGCCGGCCGGCGAGCGGTGATTTTCCGGGAAAGCAGCGCCCGGGCGCCGGCTCGGCTCACCCTGCCCGGCTCGGCTGGCCACCGACGGGGCGGCTCGGCTCGGCCCGGCCCGACACGGCCCGGCGTATACACTGTTTGAACTAACTGAAGCATGCCTGCAAGCACGCTCTGGTTCTGGTTAGCGCATACCCGCCAAGCATGCACTTATCACAGTATACATGACATGTACGAGCTAACTGAAGCAGACAACTCCCTGCCTCTTACGCACTAGATGTAGTAAGCGGATACGGTATGTATGCACTAGTAAGTGCATGCTTCATGCTTGGCGGGCATGCTTCAATTTGTGCATACAATGTAAGCTTTTCGATTTCTAGCTGTGCCCATCAAGATTCCTATCTAATCGGATAGGAAAATGTAACTGCTTGCCGAAGAAAGAGAACTTTACCAACTGATTTAGGGTAATTGTACACTGAAAAAAAAACTATGGTACATTTTAAAAATACTTGTGTCAGATGTCTCAATTTTGGGGTAAAAGTTCCTTACTATTGCATAAACTCATACACTGAGAATAGGCCCCCACCTCTTAATAGTTTCTGAGTTATGGATGTTTACGTTAACTTTTAGTCGTTGCTCTCAAATTCTCCTCACGACAAAGTAAAAGCTACCCATCCTTCAGATTCTGGCAATTATATTTATTTTCGCATTGAAAATAGATGGTGTTGGCCTTTTCTTAATATCTCTCTTAGTTTTACTGTAAAACTAAAAACAACAAAAATGAGGCAAAATCTCTCAAATTTAAAAATGAAAATGGGCCAAGTAAAATACCTTTTACAGCCTCTTCTGGACTGATATATTCAAATGTGCCAACGCTTTCTTTTTCTTATATCTTGAATGCCAGAATCTGAGGTTTGCATACTTTTTCCTTTGTCGTGAGAAATCTTGAGGGAAACGGCTCAAAGTTTATGTAAACCTCCATAACTCAGAATCTAATGAGAGTTGCAGCCCCCAACTTTGAGAGTAAATTCATCTTACAGAGGTTGGATTTTGACCACAAAAAGAACTTCCTGTGACAAATGGTTCTGTTTCATGCTATTTTCACTTCACAGTGTCCATAAACTGAACACAAACGGGACTTGGCAGCAGAACGCAAATGATTAAAAATTTCAGATCCTCTGTTCTAAAATCAGCAAGCGTTATAAATTTTCAAAGTGAAAATCTAGATATTAAGAACCGGAGTTATAAGATTCCCGGTTCTGAAAATTTATAACCAGTTATTCTTGAAATCTATAACCCAAATCTTAAAATTCATTACAGGATCTTAAATTTTATAAGAATGTTATGAAAATTGAGGTTTGGAACGTGATTATGAAATGTCAGACCTATTTGGATATGAAATTTCATAACTTTTTTTAGAGTGCAGTAACCGGCCCTCTCCCATTGTAGAGCACGCACAGGTGTCCAGTTCCTGGGCGACGAAGGTGCCTAGATTCTGGGCACCTTTGGCATTTTAGTCGCTGCTGAGCCGTGGGTGAAGGCAGGTTCCTTAATGGTTTGTCCACCCCGAGACTGGGTGACAAAGGTGCCCAGAAACTGGGCGACATTTGGCACCCTAAAAAGTGGGGCAGGCGACAAAGGCGCCCAGTATCTGAGCACCCTACATTTAGAGTGTAGTTTTTACTGCGTTCGTATCAACGTGGTGTCACGTACACTAAATTACTATGTAGGTTTCTCTGCGCGCTAATGCACGAAATTAAACATGCACCTCGGAACGCACAAATTTGTGCGCGACAATGCACGATTTCGTGCGCAAGTAGGCAGAAAATCCTGCATTTTCGCGCATGAATTCATGCGTTACGAAGTGCATGTTTAATTTTGTGCATTATCGCACAGAAAAACCTACATAGTAATTTAGTGTCACGTTCCTGGAAAAGAGTGCGTCCAAAACGGCAATTGCTTCTGCTGCAGGAGACCACAAGCAGCTGCGGCCGAACTGCGCGCACCAGCTGCTGTCCGCGTCGCACCACCTGGACGTGTCGCTGTTCGAGAGGCTGGTCAACAACGGCGCGGACTGCCCCATGCTCAACGAGCAGCGACGCATGCGGCCGCAGATCGCCGACCTGGTGCGCTGCATCTACCCCAGCCTCACCGACCACGCCACCACCCTGGACAGGCCGGCCATCATCGGCGTGGACCTCGCCGTGCCCGTCTTCTTCTTGAGCAGGAGCGTGCTCGAGACCCAGGTCGGTCATCGTCGGTGGAAGTTCCTGCGCTGCATAGAACACGGTGAAAGCTGTTCCTGGTTTTCCCAGGAACCCCCTGGAAATCGCCTATGCCTTCACCATTGGCCTCCAGGGAAACTCATTTCTCTGACGCTTATGATTTTCTTTCTGACGCACGTCGGTACCTACCCCTTTGAGTTTATTTTCGACGCCCTATGTTGGTGTGGGCATGTCCGTTCGAAATTGATCATTTGCTTTTCCTATGGGCATTAGAAATTTTCATATAGTGATATCACCTTTGAGCGATTTGCGTTTAATTTTGTTCATTTTCTTTGTGTGTGTAAGTGCCTGCCTGCAGGCAGTACGTACATACTAAGACTGTGCAGTTGCTGAAGTGGTTTGTTTGTCTGGGGTTTCATAGCCTGTAACGTTACATGAAATATTCCGGAACTTCAGGCGAGGTTCTGGTGAAAATCTTGCCATTTTCCAAATGGATCCCACTGTCACAATTCGTTCAGAATATAAAATCTTTCTTTGAGGAGACTAAAATTTGACTTTCGAAGGCACATGCCAGGCTCTGAACCCAGTCGTAGAGTCTTTTTGAGCCTATTTTGGCTGTATCTGGAAAAATCTCCTTGCGCATACTATTTTGTCGTAAAAGGTTAATCTTGACATTTTTCACTTCTTCGATTCATTTTCAAAAGATACCGGCATGCATAGCTCAAAATTTCAATTTCATTATTAATTGTAAGCTTTTTAAGATCAATTATAGTGAAATGCTTGGTTAGAAAGCTTGCGAACAAAAATGTGGTTTACATTTTGAGTCGTGCATGCCGGCATCTTTTAAAAATAAATCGAAGAAGTGAAAAATGTCAAGGCCAACCTTTTACGATAAAATAGTATGCGCAAGAAGATTTTTAAAGTTAAAGCCTAAATAAGAGAAAAAGGCACTGCGACTGGGTTCAGGGCATAGAATGTGCCTCCCCAATGAAAAATTTTATTAATTACTTGGTAAGACATCAAATTTTTAACTTATTTTCACAGTGGGACCTATTCAGGAGAAAATAGCATTTTCACCAGAACCTCCTCCCCTTCAGTGAATACTTAAGTGTATTCTCAGTACCGAGTTGCACTCTCAAAGTTCCAGTGTTTCAAATCATGAACCCGTAAGAAATTTCAAGGTGTGGCTGTGACTGTTTTTCCAGGACGGCAAGGGCTATTTCAACAGCACTGAGGCGGAACTGGCAGCTGAACTCGCCAACTACTTCCTCATCATGGGCTATCCCCCCACCAGCGTCACCATCCTGACCACCTACAGGAAGCAGATGAGCCACATTCTCAGACACGTGAGTCCCTTTAGTGCTTCTGTGTTCACTCTCATTCTGAGAACGCAGTGGCGTGCGCAGAAATTTTGATAGGCGGGCAGGCCATGCATTTGCCTTCTTACTGGGGGAAAGTGACACAATTTGCCTACCTTTCACGCGGCTGTCTGGTGGCCGGGGGGGGGGGGGGGGGGGGTCAGGACCCCCTTTCCGCTTTGCGCACTCCTCTGTGAGAACGTGACATCACGTTGGAACGGATGTGACAAAATGTCACGCTCCTCTGAGCATTCTGCCACATTCGAGTGAATGTCAACAAGCCAATTGGCTGCTTTACATTCAAACGAAGGAGTCACAATGTTCAAAGTACCGTGACATTTTGTCACATTCGTTTCAACGTGATGTCACGTTCGCGGAATGAGACTGATTTCAGTGAGAATGCTCCCTTTTTATCATCTTGTGCGCTGTCAACGCTGTACTTGCCAAGGGCTTAATATATTGATCCAGGAAGCGGAAGAAGGGAATAACTTGACTTATCCCCAAATTGAGTTTGTATTTTAATATTGTGCCTTAGAATGGTTTCCATCATTACACCAAATTATTTGACTGAATTCCAAGCGGTTTAGGAGAAAATCCACATGGAAAAAGGGTATAACTCAACTTAACCCCTTTTACGGTCTAAATTTCATTGGAAAATGGAGATAACTCAACGGAAGTCCACATGAGTCCGTTTGACAAATTGGCAAAAGGATATAACTCAACTTGTATTTTTATGAATCTTGTGTAAAAAGATTCAACTCAACTTAGCCCCCCCCCCTTAATTTTAAATTTCAATTTGGAAAAAAGAGCTAAGTCCAAAAAATACACCAGAGTAACATACACTTTATGCAGACTATTGTTCCACTTGACTTGTCTCCAAATTCCTCTTTGTTTAGGAAATATAAGGTGAGCTGACTCTGTTTTCCATTTCAACGGAAAGCGATAAGTTGCAGAAATCCTCTACGGAGTGACCTTACACTTTTTATTTTTTTTCCAAAATTTTACTAATGCTGTTTGAAATTATTAACATGTGCAACATTCATTTGTTTTGTTTTAGTTTTCCCTCCTAACAGTTTTTGGTTTCTCCTGGAAAATGGCCAAAATTGAGTTATCCCCTTCTTCCGCTTCCTGGATCATATCATCTCAAACTTTGAGTCATATATTTAATTTTAAATCAAAATCAATGAGTTTGTGCTGCCCTAGCTCAAATTAATCTCGTTGCTCTTTAAAAATTTTTTTTTTATTATATGTTTGTAAATCGTTTTTGTTCGTCCTCAATGTCCCAATTTCTGTACTCGTTAGGTTCGTCAAATCGGAGGCGATGCCCGGAGCATCCGAGTGACGACGGTGGACAACTTCCAGGGCGAAGAGAACGACATCATCATCTTGTCTCTGGTGCGGAGCAACAACGGAAGTGGCATTGGCTTCTTGAAGCTGGAGAACCGAGCTTGCGTTGCGCTGAGCCGCGCCAGGGATGGTAATACTCTTTGAATACTTGGTCTTCAGAAATACGCTAAGCTCTTCTTAAGGGACCTCATACAAGTTAAAAGCACTTTGTTCAAACATTTTTTGATGTTAAGGCGGGTTTATGCTGAGTTTTCCTTACGCTAATACGAGTTTCCTTACGCTACGCGAATAGTCTTACGCTACGGCAACATTCGTGACCATTTATGCTGGTCCTCACGCTAATACGAGTTTGCTTCCGCTACGCGGCCTTACGCGGCCCTTACGCGGCCGTACGCGGCTCCCCATTGGTCGGACACGCGAACTTGTCATAGCGTAAGGGCCTGTTACGCCGAAAAATACATCCTGATGGATTAAGGCATAAAACCAACAGTCCGTCGTAGCCGTTCTGCGTAGCGTAAGGGCTTGTCATAGCGTAAGAGCACTGTAAATGCCCCCATATAAACACACGCGATGGAATTTTCGTTTTAGCGTAAGAATCTTGTAATAGCGTAAGGAAACTCGTATTAGCGTAAGGAAAACTCAGCATAAACCCGCCTTTAAGGATCAAGATTTTATGATTTCTGTATTTAAACCTCTTAAGATAATTGAGTAAGCCTCGTTTTGGCATAAAGTAAAGTGACTTTGGACACTTTTTGGAAATCAAATAGAAACGTATAAAATTTTGGTTCTTGTAAGATTTAGTTTACATACTTGCTCAGATCTGTGGGGAAAAATCAGGGAGACTCATCCCTAGTAGTACCATAGAATTGACTAGAATGGGTTTTTAATCTGCAACAGTTAAAAAAAAAACAAAAAAAAAAAAAAACAATTGTTTGAACAAATTGTGGATTAGCAGTGTGAGGCCTTAAGGGGAGGTTCTGGTGAAAATGCTATTTTCTTCTAAATAGGTCCCACTGTGAAAATTTGTTAAAAATTTGATGTCTTATCAAGTAACTATTAAAAATTTTCATTGGGGAGGCACATTCTATGCCCTGAACCCAGTCGCAGAGCCTTATTCTCCCATTTAGGCTATGACTTTAAAAATCTTCTTGCGCATACTATTTTGTCGTAAAAGGTTGGCTTCGACATTTTTCACTTCTTCCATTCATTTTTTAAAAATGCCGGCATGCACATATCAAAATGTCAATTGCATTTTAATTCGCAAGCTTTCTAACCAAGCATTTCACTATAATTGATCAAAAATGTACAAAATAGACAAATTTTAGGGACTTTTCAGCTTAAAAAGCTAATAACTAATAATATAATAGAAGTTTTGAGCTCTGCATGCCGGAATCTTTTGAAAATGAATCGAAGAAGTGAAAAATTTCAAGGTCAACCTTTTACGACAAAATAGTATGTGCAAGGAGATTTTTTAAGATACAGCCAAAATAGGCTCAAAAAGACTCTTCGACTGGGTTAACAGCCTGGCATGTGCCTTCAAAAGTCAAATTTTAGTCTCCTCAATGAAAAATTTTATATTCCGAACAAATTATGACTGTAGGATCCATTTGGAAAATGGCAAGATTTTCACCAGAACCTCCCCTTAAATAGTTTGTAAGCACTGGTGAAACAAAACCACTAAAACTATGCCCTGGGGCGTAAACGATTTACGCCCCTAGAACGCCGTGAATCGTTAATGCTTTTGAAAGGGCATTAAAATCTCGCCTGAAAGGCCTACAGAATCATTTACGCCCTTCCTAAGGACATATGAAACTTAGCGCCGTACAGGGCCTCGGTCTTATGCCTGTGTTACCAGTGAGATTTTCAGAGTGAGGCTAGTATTTTGTAAAAACCGTGGAGGCTGCGACTATGAGTTGATAGCTTTGTTCCCCCCGCAGGCTTCTTCCTCCTGGGCAACCTGGACTGCCTGGCCGGGTCCGGGGCGCCGGTGTGGAGGCACGTGCGCAGCGTGCTGAGCGAGGCGGGCCGCGTCGGGGACGTGCTGCCGCTGGTGTGTCCCCACGGCAAGAAGGTGGCCGCCAGGTGAGCTCTCTTGCATGCGTCTGTCTCGCCGAACAGAAACCCCGGCAGCTCTCAAAATTTTGCGTAGCATTTGTTTCGTCACAACACTTTCAGAACTATATGGACCTCTCTTGCTTACAGCGTTTTTTGAGCTTACGTAAAATGTACTATTTTCTCATAAACTATGCACAATTTTGATCGTTTTAAAGATGAGACTGTCATTAGATCATGTAGAAATTGAAAACAAAAACAGAAAAAAAAATTGCCCGACAAAAAGTCAGGTTTAATAGACTGAATTCATTATACAATGAACAAAATAGTTCATAGCTAAAGAGAAAAAAGTACAGACTACGTTTTTACAAAAAACTTTTTGGCAAGAGATAAAAAAATCAATATGAGACTGAGAGTGTACGAAGGAAATGAAGGCATTGCTGAATTACTTCGTATTATGTAGATATGCTTTGTGTTGTGAAGTGCCTAGTATTATGAAGTTATGCTTCATATTATAAAGAATTTTGCTCCATGATGCGAAGCATTTCTTCGTAGATTTTACAATTTCTTCTTTTTCTACGAATTATGAAGCGATGCATCTCACTTTTTTTCTGCGAGTGGCCTTTCCTGTTGGCGTTTTCGAAACCTTTGACGGACCATAAATTTTTTATTTCGAGTCTAAATCCTTTCCTTTGTCGTTCCTTTCGTCAAAGATGAATCCATTTGCAAGTGCGATCCACACCTATGTGGATCGCATAGGTCCTCCGCATAGACCTATGTGGATCGCATAGGTCCTCCGCATAGACCTCCGCATTCCAAATGAGAAGTTCTCCATACACTGACAACTTACATGTGAACTCAGTACGCACTTAGATGCTTTGTGTGTACACACTAAAGCGCTCTATGTGTGTACTGAGTGCACACTTAAGTGTTCTGTGTCTGTACTGAGTATACACTTAAGTGCTCTATCTGTGTATTCAGTACGCTCTAAAGTGCTCTGTGTGTGTACTCGGTACACACTAAGTGCGCACCAAAGTGATCCATGTGTGTGCTCAGTACACTCTTAAGTGCTTTGTGTGTTTTCGTACTCAGTACACACTTAAGCTTCCAGTGCCCTTGTGTCAGTGTTCTTGAACAGTGTGCACCCCTCGGTCCGCAGGTGCCGCGCGGACGTGCAGCGTGCGGGCGTGGGCTGCGCCGTCTGCCAGGCGCACTCGGTGTTCGCGGCCGCGATGCGGGAGCTGCGCCTCACGACGGACAAGATGGCGGCCGTGAGCGGCGAGGTGGACGCGGCGCGCGAGCAGCTGGACGGCGAGTGGGTGACGGGCAGCGACCGCGCCGACGTGCAGGAGCTGGTGGCGGTGGGCGAGGCCGAGTGCCGGCGCCTCGGCGAGCGGCTCGCCAAGCAGCGCGAGGCGGTGCGCCTGGCCGAGCGCAAGTGGGCCGACTTCGACCTGCTGCACCGCGAGGGCCGCGTGGACGTGTACGCCGACTCGGTGGAGGCCGTGGAGCGCAAGCTCAGGGCGCCCCCGCAGCCCGACAAGGCCGGCAAGCTCAACGCCGCGGTGGCCAAGCTGAGCCTCGGCAGGGGCAGCAGGTGCTGACTTGCATTTTGCATTTTTTGGCGCTGACCAGGGTGTCACTAACTCAAACAGCAATGCACGTTCCCTCATGCGACTAGGCGGTGTGTTTGTTTTCCTGAAGAAACACTCGAGAAGTTGTTGTCATCAGTGGATTGTCGTACCTGTTGCCTCGTACTTGTTATGCTCATTACGTTCCCCAAAGACGACTGTGCTGTTCTTTCCCGAAGCGCACGTCAATTTGTTACGGAGTGTTTCTCAGGTGCTCCTGTGCTTTCAGTTACGATAATGAATTCGGGTAAACCCCTATTGTTTTTGGCATGCTCTTCCGTGCGCTTGTTCTATCTAATTTGTCAGTTAGTTGTTTGTAATCATTTATTTTAAGTTAAAAGTGGAGTTTTTCGTTTGAAGTTAATGAGTTGTTGTCAGAGCTTTTATTTATCATTTCTTAGGCGTCGCTCTATCATGTAATTTAGGGGCTGTTTGACTTTATAGTTAGTGTAGTATTTGAATAAAAATATTTTTCCGTATCGTTTTTGTTGCTTTGTTCCTCAAGCTTCAGGCCAAGCTACAAACGGAGTGAATTTTTAACGGGACTGTAAAGGAGGTGGATACTTCCGATTTCATTCGGTCAATGGTCAAATTACGGATTGGATATTTGCGCTATTTGTTGAATATCCTGAATAAATGATCAACTATTTGTGTGTTGCTCTACAGATGACCGATTCTCACCTGTCTGTTCTCTTCTCAAGGGAGTTTTGAGCACAGGTAACATTCAACGAGTCAATGTGGGTCATGCCGCTAAATAAAACTGTCAAAGATTTCAAAGAGGTAACATTGTAATTACTGACTTATCACAGATCAGCATTTTAAACAACAAATTATATTCTTCTTAAAAACATTACGTAAAAACGAGCAAAGCCGAACAATATCATTAACAAAGCGTTCACCATTTTAAAACATCAGTCGAGGAAGCAGTCGCAGCGAAGTCGCAGCTACTCCACGCAAATATAGATACAACCTTTCGATGTAACAGGCCCTACGTCACAGTCAACATCTGCCGAGTGGCTGGACACGACGACAGTACAGAGACGCAGGCACGAGTGACAGACGTGCTCCGCGCAATAGGCACATTCGTCCTTCGGTTCCTCCCAGTGCTCATGCATGGCCAAGCGCAACCCCGGGCACCGCTTGAGCAGCGACCGCACTTGCTCGCTATGCGCCCACTCGTGCATGCAGCCCTCGGAAGGCAGAGCCCGCAGCTCCTTCAGCTTGGGCACGGCCTGGCGGTCCAGTGCCTCCAGGAAGGCGTCCGTGCCTTGAAGCCTCGTCGGCTCGCCGATCTGGAGCTTGACGAGGTTGGGCAGGCGGTGCAGCGTGGAGGCCAGAGGACGCAGAACCCCGGCCGGCCCATCCACGGTGAGGGACTTCAGCGCCGCGATCGTGGACTCCACACCCGCCACGCACGACACCAAGTCCGCGGCCTCCTCGGCGTCATCGTCCACGAACACGAGGGTCACTTCCTCCAGGCGCGGGGCCGCGGCCAGAAGGAGCGCCCTGGTCTCCGCGAGGTGAGGCCGCGTGTCTTCCCGCACGCGGATTATGAGTTCCAGCGACTTGAGGGCCGGACACCGCAGCAGGGCGAGCAGGTCGGGCATGACCGGGCACGTCAGGTCACGCAGTCGGGGCAGCGTGGCGAGCAGGGACGCCGCTCCGGGGAACGCGTCGCAGAGCTGCACAACCTGGCGGACAGAAAGAATAACTACTGTCATCTCTAGTTTGCAATAAAAACAAGAAGGAAAGACATCAAAGAATTGATATCACATGGGAGGGACTCGTTCTTTACAAAGCTAGATTGATGTGTCAGTCGCTGATCGTTACATGAATTGTCCTCAGACGATTTGTAATTTTGCATTTCAACGAACGCTTCCGGTTGGTTCTCCTCTCAGGCAGGGAACATCGATGCATCGCGATATCTCGAGATATCGATTCTCGTGCATAATCGAATTTACACTAGAGTCCGTGAGTCCGTGCCAAAAACCTGCTTTTTCCATGACCAAAACCCTCAGAAGGACACATTTCTTAAAAAAAGAAGTCAAATGAAACTCATTATTTCGTCTCTCATCTCCAACATAAGACATGCAACACCTGCCAAGAAATTTTCATTAGGAAGAAACCGCTAGCAGTTCTGAGACATATATCACGATTAGCGTGAAACGATGTTTCTTTATGACCAAATTTCTCAAAATTATCCATTGTCACTTGGAAAATACCCTCCTAGTTTTTTGTTGGCCAAAGATCTCTGGTCGTTGTCGTTGTTGTTTGCGTTCCAGTGGCGTTCTATATCAAAAGATGCAAACACTTGAAAAGAGGTTAGTTTCACATAATGCACTAAAACCGTCTCTCTTTCATGTTTATTTTCTCAGTATTTCTCATTGCAAGCAAAAAAAAAGTTCATTCACGATCTAGCGACTGACACTCCATCTTTCATTTGATACCACTCTCATTTTCCCACATGCTGTCAGATCTGAGATGAAAGATGTCCCCCCAAAACTCATTTTTGAACACAATACTCGTTCTCTTCACATAGAGTTTTGTATGTTAGTGAGTGGTGTGTAAAGAACGAGTAAAAAAAGTTTATCACAATGTTGCGCATTGTTGAATAATGAAAATCAGCAATAAAAATTATTGCTTAATTTTGCAATAATGCTAAGAAAAAAATTGAAATAAAAAGTTATGGCAAAACATTTGAGATAAAAGACTACAAAAGGCTCTTATATAAAAAAAAAAGACCCAACCAAGGGGTGATTACTGCCAAATAATACGGTAACTGAATTATTGCGCTCCAGGGTGCGATAAATAGTGGGAATCGCAAACTCGGTTTCATCGCAATAACTTGTAGATAAAGTATCGCAAAATGAATGCCAGGGCGCTTACACTGCAAATCCAAGTGTAGGACAGGTCGACACTTTAAGGGGGGACATCACTCCAAAATGATCAAAAATTGCAACTTTTTTTAAATAGTTTATATTATAGACCATTCCTTTCTGCGTCAAATGGTAAAAACCGCATCCCGGAATTCAAAAAATTGCAGTTTTAGTAGGTTGTGCGCCGCAAACATGCATAGGGGAAAAGCCCAGTTTCCCCAACTTTGATCGCGTTTTTCTCGGAACATGAAATTGCAAACGGTTGCAGGCCTCTAGGGCGCAGTTTTTGAGCTACAACGGGGAGATTTAGCATGGAAGCTCCTACAATATGCCGCTATGGTGGGTAGCAAAATAATTTGCATTGGTCAATTTTTATTATTTTTTTAACGTTTAAAATTAAACAATTTTGTCCAAAAAAAATTAACAATAATTTTTGGTCAATAACATACACAACTTAAAATGATTTTTTAAATGTGATTGAGGTACCCACCATAGCCAGACATCTCAGGAGGGCTGTCACCAAATTTCAATGTTCTAGGTCAAACCGTTTGGCGTCCAGCGCTGCAACAGTGCGAAATGGTCTAACCTAACGCTCAAAAATGTGTTTTCAGCGAAAGCGCTGTACTGCCCTGGCGGATTGACTTTGTGTTGTTTTATGCTTTATCTGTTAAAATATGAACAATTTTTCTCTTTCCGTTTGGTTTTTATGACGTTTTTACAAAGGCACTGTTTTTGGAGTGATGTCCCCCCTTAAAGCGTAGACCAGTTTGTCCTACGCTTTGAAGTGTCGACCACACACTGTCCGACGCCTGCAAGTGTCGACCACAGAATGTCCGACGGCTGAAGTGTGGGGTCACCATAGGAAACTCAGTGTAATTTGCCGTAGGACAAACAGTGTCCTACACATGCAGGCGTCGGACAGAGTGGTCGACACTACAAAGCGTCGGACACAACTGGTCGACACTTGCAAGCGTAGGACAAACTGGTCTACGCTTTAAAGTGTCGACCTGTCCTACACTTGGATTTGCAGTGTAGTTCAAATGTCGGTCTGCTATGGGACGCTCACTCAATTAAATCAAACTCTGATTCGGACACTCCAGTTCTACTAACACGTGAGTTCATCGCAAAGAATTACTTTCAAGAATACTGTCAAGTAATATTTCGATGGCCCAGAAATACTTGTGACACTAAGTTTGTATAGTGTGGTAAAATTCAACTATTGCTAGATGAATTCAATCCCGAACTCTGAGGCCCTACTACCTCGCTCCGCTAGTTTATTAGATATGATATGCAAACCTCACAACAAAGCAATAGTTACCTAAGATTCTTATCATTATTCTAGCATTAGAATCATCAAAGACTTAATAAAAAGATAGTGTTGGCGGTGGAAATATGAGCTCAGTAGGCTATAAGAGCTGTTTTCCTGGACTCTTTAATTTTTTTTTAATTTAAGAGTTTTTCACATTTGGGTCTTATTTTTTGTTTTACGAGGAAACAAAGCGAGATATTGAAAGAAAGGGTGACGCTATCGTTATCCTGTGACAAAAGAAATAAATTTCTTGTCATTTGAAGGCGTCCTTTGACATGAGGAAAATTTGAGAAAACCGACTAAAAGTTTCCGCAAACTTTCATAACTCTGAAACTAAAAAGAGGTGGGGACCGTCTCTTAGGATAAGAGTTACTGGAATAGATAGGAACTTTTGCCCGTAAATTCATACATCTAAAACAAGTATTTTAAAAAAGTTTTATTTAAACTAATTTCAGATACGAACATCCTTAAGATTGCAGGAACTTCTTTAAAATTTACTTCCCATAGCAGGCTATTAAAGCATGCTCGCCACGCCAAAAAACAACTAAGTCATGTAAACATGTAGTCGGCTATGGGTTGCACTCACCTCCAGCGTGGTGGCATGCCACTCAAAGAACAAGGGTAGTAGATAGACCAACTGGATGGTTAACCCTCGCAGGGATGCTGGTGGCGGGGCTTCAAGACGCTGGGCGGCGTTCAGAAGAGGCGCCGCTTCCACCGCGAGGTAGCTTTTGTCTGCTCCAAGAGTAGTCATCAGTTCAACCTTCTTCAATCCTAATCAAAGAAAAACCGGGAAGCCTGTAGTACACAAACATTACTCATGGAATCCTCGAATTAAACACACTTCATGTCCCACTGTTACCAATTAGAAACATTTCTGTGGCCTACCAAATCTAGTGACAAAATTGTAACCAGCTAGAAACTGTCGTCACTAGCTGGTTACAATTTTGTCGACAGATTTGGTTGGCCACAGGAATGTTGCCAGCCACTCTACCAAAAATGTCCTGTCAATGCCGTTAATTTATTACCAGTTTTCACTGTAGGTCAATTCACAGCGTTTACTGTGATCTGCTCACGCGATTCACTGTGATCTTGTTCACGATGTTCACTGTGATCAGGTCCACAGTAAACACTGTGACTTTGACGCCGCTGAGCACCGAAAAGCTGCAAATCAGGCTCCAATTCACAGCGTTTACTGTGGCCAGATCACAGTGAACACTGTAACCGAGATCACAGTGAACGCCGTGAACTAGTTCACAGCAAACGCCGTGAATTGCATAGCAGCAAACATTGGTAATAAATTAAGGGGGGACATCACTCCAAAATGATCAAAAATTGCAACTTTTTTTAAATAGTTTATATTATAGACCATTCCTTTCTGCGTCAAATGGTAAAAACCGCATCCCGGAATTCAAAAAATTGCAGTTTTAGTAGGTTGTGCGCCGCAAACATGCATAGGGGAAAAGCCCAGTTTCCCCAACTTTGATCGCGTTTTTCTCGGAACATGAAATTGCAAACGGTTGCAGGCCTCTAGGGCGCAGTTTTTGAGCTACAACGGGGAGATTTAGCATGGAAGCTCCTACAATATGCCGCTATGGTGGGTAGCAAAATAATTTGCATTGGTCAATTTTTATTATTTTTTTAACGTTTAAAATTGAACAATTTTGTCCAAAAAAAATTAACAATATTTTTTGGTCAATAACAAACACAACTTAAAATGATTTTTTAAATGTGATTGAGGTACCTACCATAGCCAGACATCTCAGGAAGGCTGTCACCAAATTTCAATGTTCTAGGTCAAACCGTTTGGCGTCCAGCGCTGCAACAGTGCGAAATGGTCTAACCTAACGCTCAAAAATGTGTTTTCAGCGAAAGCGCTGTACTGCCCTGGCGGATTGACTTTGTGTTGTTTTATACTTTATCTGTTAAAATATGAACAATTTTTCTCTTTCCGTTTGGTTTTTATGACGTTTTTACAAAGGCACTGTTTTTGGAGTGATGTCCCCCCTTAACGGCGTTGACAGGACATTTTTTGTGGAGTGAGTGGCTCAGAAACATAGACCACAGATATTTAGTTTAAACTTCTGACCCAGCTGAACTTCTGACCCGGTTAACTCCATCCAATAATGAACCTATATCCAAGAAAAACCGATTCTGCAGAGTCGGTTCAATCTTTGAGGATTCACATTGAACAAAGAGGCCCTAAAATAAGCAAGAAGTAGAGAAGATCACTAGAGTACTGGGTGGTTTGCATCGAAACGTGCATTTTCGGGCCCCGAATTCCGTGAAAATGAAGTTGGTCCAAACTACATTGATCTGGCAAATTTTTGTTTAAGTCCGCCTAGAAAAGATATACATAAGCCACCAACGCTCAATTGTGACTTAAGGAAAATGCAAAATTCTCATGTATTTGATATGGGAATTTTCAGAAAATCGACCAAGTGTTGCGGAGTTAAGATGTTGCGGAGTTTAGAATCGCGACTTTGACGATACGTATCGGTCACTTCTATGCCAAAAATATTTATTTTTATCATTTTGCGTGATATAGGCACAACCTACTGAAAACTTCCTGGGGAATACCACATAAACAGTTTGGGGTCTGGACATGTGACGCAGTTTATAATTTACCTTTTTCCGTGTTTCTCTGTAAATGCTTTAGGGCAAGCACCAAAACTGATTTTAGTGTCACAGGCGACGCGGCAAATTCTCCGTCCAAGTATTGGCTACAGAATCTATTCGGAGAAAAGTATCGAAATTTTCGTTTTTGGCCCTCCAGCTTAGAAAAAGGGTCAAAAAGCAAGGGACAAAAATTGTTTTTTTTTTTCATATTTCGGGAAAGTTACTTTCACATAGGCTGCGGACAGAATATTAATATAAACGTTATGAGCTTTATGAATTGACCCTCCTGAAGTCATGCACACGCCTTAAATCTCTAAAGTGAACCGGCACCATACCGTCAAACTAAGTGGGGAGGACCTCACTTACTGGTGCCGCGTAATTCTACACACCTGGACGTGAGGAGCCCTAATCTCCCGTATCTCCACTGGTCAAACTAAAGCGTAGTATTACCCTCTCCTTTTCGCTCATTCACCAACATTCGCCCCATTTAAATGCAAGGGGAAATTTCTAAGCTATGCTTCGTTTCAAGCGTAACGTGTCCAAGCGTAACTTTATGTCTGACTCAAGCATATTAACGATAGTTTCACCTCTATCTCGGCATGGTTCCTGAAGTATCGAGACTGCAAGCTTTACTTATATTTTCAATTGCGGAGATTGCGGAGATTCAAAGCCTCCACATTTCAAGTGTAGAGTTCTCCACACTTGAATTCACAGTGAGCCTCGATCTCACTCACCCACCTTTGGTATAAAGAAGCTGTTGAGAGAGGTCGTGGAGTCTGCTGTTATACACTGTATATTCCTCCTGGGTAAAAACTTGAACTTCAACTTTAACCTCCTCGAGCCGTCCAAGTGACCCCTGCCTGCCAATGAAACACATTTCAGTACTGCAAATCGAAGTGCAGGACAGGTCAATACTTTTGGGCGTAGACCAGTTTGTCCTACTCTTGCAACCACACAGTGTCCGACGCCTGCAAGTGTCGACCACAGCATGTCCGACGCTGAAGTAGGGCCACAGTGTCCTACACATGCAGGTGTTGGACAGTGTGTGGTCGAAACTTCGTCGGCACAACTGGTCGACACTTGCAAGTGTAGGACCAAGTGGTCTACGCCTACGAGTGTCGACTTGTCGTACACATGGATCATTGAGTTTCAGTCCGAGAGTGGTCGTGGCAAGAGCACTGCTAATCCACACGGTAAAAACGGTACCTGGTTTTCCCAGGAAGCCTATGGTAGAGACATAGGCGATTTCCACACTGAGAGTCCAAACGCTATGAGTATAGCGTCAATTGGTGCAATGCAAAAGCTTTGCACATGAAGTGCAATGCCTCCCATTTCCCATGCATAAGCATAGGGCCTTTTCGGGAAACATTGCACCAAAGGTGCAATATGGCTGTGGCATTGCACGTATGGTGCAACATCACAGCGCATTGCGCCATACGTGCTAAACTCATAGCGTTTGGAATCTCAGTGCAGGGAGTACCTGGGAAAACCAGGAACCGTTTTTACCGTGCAAGTGTGGACCAGGTCCACGCTTCGAGGCGTTGCTAAAGAGGTGACCACGTTCGAAAGGTGATCCGCCTCCAACGGTGGACCTAGTCCACACTTGAATAAGAGATGTCTGCACTTCAATGGGATTGCTCTGTGCGTACTTGGCTACCAGCAGCGCGGCAATCGTTGCATCAAACACGAGAAACGTCATGTCGAGTTTCCTGACGGCACAGCTTGAAGTGGCCAGTAAAACCCCGCAGACACTGCTGAACTTATTCCACTCCTCTTCCCCCACGGACAGCCGGCGGAGGCAGGGGGCCAGACGCAGCACGGACGCGGCAAGCTGCAAACTGAAACGGGGCGGTCAAAATCCCGGATGCGATTTGAGCTCCACAGTCTCCAAAAGGGCCTCGAACCGAACGTGTGACCCCAACAATGAAAAGGTTGCGCTCCGAACGAGGAACCCGCTGGCACGATGGCGGGCACGATGTCCACATGCTCGGCTCGCTTCGAGTCCTGTTTAGCGATCCTGGAGCTCAAAACGCGTCTACAGTTTTGCTTTGAGGGTTTTCAGAATTCTTTGTGTCAAACCCTTGCATTGGGTGGCTGGCTGGTTTCGAAATTCAAAACCCTTTGGCCAGAGGATTGTAATTTATTTTCCACAGGATGAGCGACCGATCAAACTTTAAGCCATTGTACTCGATTGCAACATTTTGGGTCTTGCGCGCAAATTCAGAGCGTTGGTTCTTTTGACTTGACAATTTTATTTAATGTTTCGCCTTCATAAAGCCGCCACTCTGAACTAGGATGTCTTCAATCAGGCAAGCGGATGTGGCCGAAACCAATCATTCAAATGTCTAGGTTTTGATACTTTGTATGGTAAACTTAAAAATAGCAAGTTGAAGCACATTGGAATCAGCTATTTCAATTGATCCAGGAAGCGGAAGAAGGGGGTAAGTCGAGTTGAATCCGTGCACTTTTGCAAGGCCTAAACCTTGCAGGTGGGAGAACAGGTGGGGAATGTCATCTAAAAATAGATGCAAGAGGATGGGACTTGTCTCACCACACTTACTTTTGGACCGAATTTTCGCTCATGTTTACTTGATAGACTGATAAGAGGTCACTGAATCAACTCGACTTAACCCCTTCTTCCGCTTCGTGGATCAATTATCCTAGTTCAATCCAGGGTAGCAGGAGTCCTCTGCAGGGAGGAACAATGACATTCATGATATGACGCCGCATTCTCTAAAGATCATGCGCGTAAGTGGTTTAGCCAAAAGATCACAAATCCTAAGTTATAGGGCCCACAGTCAAACTTTCTTTTTCAAAATAAATCTTTAAGAAGAGTTTTTTGTTGTTTCTTAAAAAAAACAACACTCTAATCTTCAAATTAAGTGGAAAGAAATTTGGTAAAATTTGGATGTTACAGACGAGGCCCCCTTCACACTCTTTAAAGCCTACGAAGCATTTGCTTCATAAATACAAAGAAAATGAAGGCATTGTAGATGTGCTTCGTATTAAGAAGAAATGCTTCGAATTTCGAAGGATTTTGCTTCATAATACGAAGCATTTCTTCGCAGATTTTACAATGCCTTCATTTTCTTCGTATTACGAAGCGACTCTTCGTAGAGTTTTTACTGTGCATCAGCCGGCGACTGTGCTTTGACAGCTGGCTTACTCGCTCGCGCAGACGTCCTGGCACTCCCAGACCCAGGGGTCGAGGGCCAGGTCCCTCCACTGTCGGCAGACCCTTCGCACCAGGAGCAGCTGCCGCGGGGACAGGAAGGCCAGCACCTTGAGCAGCACCTCGTCGGGCAGCGTGGCGAACCCCACCTGCAGCACAAGAAGTTCGTTAGCCAAGGTCGAAATGTCTTTCAATGAAATTTGAGCTACATTGCAAAGAATTCGGCGCAGGCACAATGCGAAGGAAAACTACGCAAGGATCCGAGTCCTTTAAGATATTTTCGCTACAACATGAAAAGATAAACTTTGGTAATACGAAGAAATAACTCCGTATTCGGCTTGAGCCATTTACTTCGTATTCTCGGAAATTTCTTCGTAACATTTTGAGTGCAGAAGGGAAGGTAACTCTAAAATCCTTGGACCCTCAACATCGCGCGGCAAGAAACGGTTTCTGTGAAAAATTATATCAGATGTCAAGAAAGTGCTGTCATCGCGGTCATCGCACAAAAAAAGAACAACAAGTTCATGTTTTTCCCAGGTAGTCCACACACACACTAAATCCAAAGGTGACACTGTATGTTTTTAGGCGATACAATTGAGTATCGCCAAAACAAAACGAACGGTCTTGGCAAAAAAATTTTCCTTTCAGAACGGCAACACACAAAAGTATCGCTAAAATTTGACTATACTTTGGAGTATTGCTAAGATTTGGCTAGAAACTTTGAACAAATTATTGAGGGGAATACTCTGCAAACTCAACAGTGTACTCAGTACACTCTCTTTAGAGTGTACTCATGAGTACACTCTCTTTAGAGTGTACTCATGAGTACACTATCTTTAGCGTGTACTCATGAGTACTCTACAAATCAAAGAGTGTACATAGTATGCTCTAACTGGAGCATGCCTGCAAGCACGCTCTAGCTAGCGCAAGCCTGCCAAGCATGCACTTACTAGAGCATACATGCCATGTACACACTTCCTGATGCAGAAAACTCCCTATCCCTTATGCAGTAAATGTATGCTTCAGTTAGCGTGTACATGGCATGTATGCACTAGTTAGTGCATGCCTGGCAGGCATGCGCTAGTAAGAGCGTGCTTGCAGGCATGCTCCAGTTAGAGCGTACCATGTACACTCTTTGATTTGTAGAGTACACTCTCTTCAGCGTGTACTCACGAGTACACTCCCACGAACGTGTACTCAGCTGCATGAATTGTGCAGACTTAAGCACACTCTCGTTAGGGTGTACTCAGCTGAGCACACTCTCACAGGAGTGTGCTTATGAGTACACTCCAAATAGAGTGTACTGAGCACTCTGTACAGTTTGCAGAGTAGTTCCTGGATTATTGCCAGATTCTGGGGGTTCTCGGAAGTATACGAGGGGGCCACCACCCCCGTAATCCTGTGTACAAGTTTGCTGGTAATCTCTGGTAATCCATGGCGTAATCACGTAAACCTAGACAAAATTCTGTCATTTTTCAACGTTTTTGAGTCGTTTTCCAACGTTTTCAAGCTATTTTTCAACGTTTTCGAACTAATTTTCGAAAATTTCACGCGTAATCCCTGGTAAATATCCCGTAATCCCGTAATCTTGTGTACGCCTGAAATGAGAGTGGTGGCCTCCTCGGAAGTATAGCTACATTTTGGCGATACTTTCATGCATCGCCGTTTTGAAGGCAAGATTTTCCAGTGAGGCCGCTTGTTGGATACTCGATTGTATCACAAGACAAGATTCTGAAGCATCGCATTAGGATTTGCAGTGTAGTGAATCATTTCCGGGGAATTTCCTGCGAAAACCAGGGACCTTTGTTGCCGTGCGGAATCCCATGTTGAGCGGATGGTTGCTGCGGGACTCCCATCCCAACCCATAGTCCTGTCTTGTGTATTGAAAAATGAGAAAAAAAAGGAAGTGGGCACTTACCGGTGAGCAATAGCCGGTGATGAGGTCCTGCCGAAGTGATGCCATGTTACCTAAAAAAGAAAAGCGACCTTTCAAGCAGCGCTCAAACTTGGTTCCTACCGCGTAGTGTTAGGTTCCAATAAGCTTTGCACAAAGTTGAGCATATAGTATACGATTAAGAAATGAATTCGTGCGTAACTAAGTACGAATGTGCGTCCACGTCATAACTCGTTCGTTATAGGCAAATGCTTGAGTAAAAAAGGGTACGCACCACTAAAACTTCACAACAATTTACACTTATTCGTGAGACTAGACGTTCTAGACAGAGCCCGGATGCACACTGTCTCAATGCAGAGGGGGGTGGGGGGGATTCGCGTCCGCGGGGGGGACGTCCTCTAATGGCGAAGCGCAGTCTTGCATTCACCTTCCTGAAGAGGGACGTGGCGTCAGTGCGCTGGCTCAGAATCCCGTAGTGTAATTTCACAGCCAAATTCCTGAAGGCGATTTTCACTCAACTTTTCTGTTAGCGTACCGTTACGCAGGCTCCGACTCCCCACCCGCGCCGCACAAACTCAGAACCCCCTCCACCGAGTTCGTAATGGTAAAGCACACTAAACGTTTTGGTACAAATTTTGTACGAGACATCACAGTTTTTAGCGCACACGAACTTTCCGTACTAATTGGTACGAAATTTTGCACAGAAAGGGGGAAATTTGTGCAGTTTTTCGTACAAAAATTGTACGAAAACTTCGTGTGCACAATAAACTGTGATGTTTCGTACAAAATTGTACATATAATTTGGTGTGGAACGGGCCACTCATGCAGCCACGACGAATAATCACTTCACCGTACTGACCTTTGAGTGGGTTTTAACAGGAAGTTGCCACGAAAAACCTCAACCTTTGCACTGCAGTTTCAATGTTGCAGTGGAAAATACTTTGAGTGATTTGGCGAGAGAGAGAGAGAGAGTAGCTCGACGCACTTGAGACAGTCCATTAATGGCTTGGGCTGCAGAATGGAAGCAAATAGAGCGAGACCAGAAATCAGTGGTTGGAACTGACTGCTAAATTATGTAAGGAATGACGTTTAACATCACGAGGAGGAGAAGGGTTTGCAGATTGTTATTTGTGAGGCGATTTCACAATAGCCTTGGGCTTGATCTAACGTTGAACACACAGACACACCTTGTACGATTTACGAAAGGAAGGGCTTAGAGGCGAAACGTTATCAGTTTTTCCAACCTCCGGACGCAACGATTGGCGTCAGCGGGAGATCATTTCCGACAACTGATCTCTGACACATTCTCACATCCGTGTCTCCGCTTCAAACTAGAAGTCCCAACAAATATTGGTTAGAACTGCACGTACCTGATACAAGCCAAAGGTGCTTGATTTGTTACGTGAGACACTTCGGCGCTCCAGGGAACCAGGAGCAGAAGCAACAATCCTTAAGAAGGAAGTACGGAATGGTAAAGCTAAGCACAGTCGAAGCGAAAGGAGCGTTTTCCGACTTCCGCTGATGTTCCAGCCGCCGGCAACCATTGAGCGACATGCAACGTGCTTCGCACTCCTGCCGAGTCAACGGTCGGCCAGTTTGGGGATACTTGTGACTTTCGTTGCAACCATGGTGTTGTTACGTCCAGTCCTCACCTTGTCGGAGTAAATTCCTTCGTACAATATTTATACCTGGTGTCTCACAATTTTGAGCTTACGTGCTTTTCGTACGAAGTTCTTGATAAAAGATAAAGTATGTATTATGGTTAACAAGCAAAAAGTCAGAACCGTGCTAAGAGTGTACTGAAAAACACCTTTTCAATCAGTTTTCCAAGGTCCGAACTCAAAACCTCGGATTAGACATTCCATTATCGGAAAATCTGGATGCTGTTTTTGAGTGTCCGCAAAATACGAATATTTTTGTCCATATATCTCGAAACAGGTTACTTGTGAAGTGGCTCTTGGAGGCTGTTTCGAGGGGTTACCCACTCCGGGAATCGTGTGTACACTCAGTCCGGGAATCGTTCGTAACTTGCTCAAAATTTTATCGAAAATCTTAAAAGTTTCAATGGAGAGGGATATGTAAGAGACACTAAACACTCAAAAGCTAAGAAAAATCTTCAAAAACCTCTCCTTTTATGCAAGATTTGTTCAGGAATCGCGGGAATCCGGAATCGTGTGTACGCCCTAGTACCGAGTGGCTAACCCCTCGGGCTGTTTTCAGCACGATGCAAAAGAAAGGAAATCTACCGGATAGGTCGGCCTAAGACAAACGAATTTTTAGTGAAAGTTTCAATAGTTTTACATGATACGTGTTTTAAGCTTCGGCCAACCAAAACAGTTAAATATTTTTTCTGAAGCCTTCTGCTACGTAAGGAACACGGTGATAGTAGGGTATTACCGAAATCGTAATTTTTAACCTGGACATCCCAAACTTCGTATTTCGGCATAGTTTTGAGTCCCGAATGCGGTGTGGAAAAAGGCGATCCACAAACTTTTAAAAACACCCAAAATGTATGGCAAAATACGGTGCGCGACGGAGGTAGGGGGTCGGGCACAACAGTGGGATGCAAACAAATAGAAGGGTGATTTATTGGGGGACGGATCAACTGGAGGGATTCTACACTTACCAGCAACAAAGAGTTTCCCTTCTATTGAATGACAAGCTGTTCTTGTTCTGGTAAGGTTGTTTACAGTGCCACATAACCTCTGTTCGGAGCCGTATTTTGCCGTACACTTCGGGTATTTTTAAATGTTCGCGGATCGCCTTTTTCCACACCTCATTCGAAAGAGGACCCAAAACTATGCCGAAATACGAAGTTTGGAATGTCTAGGTTAAAAATTACGATTTCGGTAGTACCCTACTATTACCAGGAAGGTACCCACAAACTTTCGTGCGAATCTGAGCCATCGATTTCGGGGTCTCCGGTGACTTGGGGAAACAATTGACATGTTACGCTCGGCTAAGTGCAGTTTTCCGTTCCACCCTTCTCCCACCTTTCCATGCAAGGGCGAATTTCTTCGCTACGCTTAACTTCAACCGTACGCATCATGGGGGGGGGCAAAGATCGATGGAAATAAACTTCAAACAAATGATTTAATTATAATTTTTAATATTCAAATCAAGTTGTATTATCAAATGCGAAGCGGCAAAGACTCAATTAACAAACAACAATTTCACTGCTTCTTAATCCATTCCCAGTTTTCGTGTGGTTCAGAAGACTGCCATATGCTTCACAGCCACATTCTCACTGACACAAAACATTTACATAAGTAAAATTCTTCTGATGAACCGCGATCGCCTACACCAAGACAGCATTTAAATTTCTCGGTGCACCTGTGCATAACTAATTTCAACAGGTACAAGATGGGCTTACGACCAACTCCACTATTAATCTCAGCTGGTAAGTGCATCACAAAGTCTCTTTCTCATCTCGTCTGTATGCGCTCACCGGTCTCTCTCTCCATCCCCGCTCTCTTTCTCTCGTTCGATGATGCACTTTATAATGACAACTGCTCGGTATGATGGGCTCGAAAGTGATATTGCAGACTTTGGCGACGACTAAACTTTCTACTGCACACTATGCACTGGAACGGCTTCTCGCCAGTGTGGGTTCGGAAATGTGCCTGGAGGATACTTGGCGCATAAAACGTCTTCTTGCAAACTGTGCACTCGTAATGCAACTCACCCAAGTGTGTCGTTCGAAGATGCTTCTTAAGACTACCTGCTTCAGCAAACTTCTTATGGCAGAGGGTGCACTGAAAACGCTTTGTCCCTAAATGGGAGTAAAGATGTCTCATGAGATGTTGACTCTGCCTGAACTCCTTTCCACACAACGTGCACTGAAAAGGCTTCTCCCCAGTATGGCATCGACTGTGTACATGAAGATCACTAGATATGGCGAACCTCTTATTGCAAACTGTGCACTCGAAAGGCTTCTCACCTGTATGGGTCAGGAGATGACGTTTCAGATGACCTTCACGCCTAAATTTCTGGCTGCAAGTTGCGCAACTGAAAGGCTTGTCGCCAGTATGGTTCCAGTGAATTTGAACCGTACCAGTTAGCCGCTACACTATACACTGAACTTCCCATCCTTAGGCGTAGAGATAGTTCACAAAGCCTTTTGTAAACTCACATTGCCAAAGGCTTCTTCATTGGGGGTGAATGTGTGCTTTCGGCATGCGACCGAACTTCTTTCGAAAAGTGATTTTCAAGGGACTCAAACCGTGGAGCTTTCATTGAGATTGAGACACTTGTAAATTTACTAGGGCTTTCTGTGCCTGAAACGCTTATCAGGATTAGAGATGCATTACAACTGGCCCTTTAAAAATCTTTGTAAATGTGAATTCGTAATCTTACAATTGTTGGGAATTTGCAAAAATCTATACGCATGGCTTTATCAAAATTTTTGACTCATCCGTTCCAAATGCAAGTCCAATTTTTCCTTTTAACTTGAAAGTCATTTTAAAAGCCTCAGTGAAACAGGAAAAAGTCCGTGTGATTTAGTTACTGCCAATTCAGGAAGAAGTTCCACTTGCAGTTTTTGAGGGGTACCCGCATACTTTGCAACTAAGAAACTTGTATGTTGGCGATACGGACATGTGCTTGCAAGTTTTGTCAGATTATCGATGAATTGTAAACTACACGAACATAGCGTTTTTTCGAATTAGCACTAAATCGCGTACGAAATGGGATTATTGCGTAAGACACTGTGGTCCAAACGCTATGCATATTAGTCACTAAAAAATCCCGTACAAATGCAACTGAGATTAAACGGGACATTCTGCAAAATGCTAGTCATATTACATTTTCGTGCAATGTCAGCCACACGGTTTAAAAAATCTTTTAAAAATCTGTACACAATTGTAAGTTCAAAAAGTTTACGAAATGCTTTCATAAAAGAAAAACACACCTTCGGAAAAGAAAACTACCCAAACTTTTTCCGTTGTTCTTTGAGTCTTTTAAAAGCCTCACCAAACAAAAAATTTCGTAGTGATTTGTGTGTTACGCCAATTTCAGAAGATTTCTCATTCTTCACTAAGTGATTTTGAAGGGTTACGATACATTTTGTAAAGATTTTGTAGGATTACGATGAATTGTAAAGTGACACAACAAAACGTTTTTTCATTACACAAATCGCGTACAAATAATATTTGGTATACACTGTGATTCCAAACGCTATGAATATAGCACGTATGGTGCAATGCACTGAGATTTCGCACCATACGTGCAATGCCTCAGTCAAATTGTACCTTTTACGTGCAATGCGCCCCGAAAATGCTTTTGCATTGCACACAGTAAAAACGGTTCCTGGTTTTCCCAGGAACTCCCTGGAAATCACCTATGTTTCTACCATAGGCTTCCTGCGAAATTCAGGTACCGTTTTTACCGTGCACCAATTGACGCTTTACTTATAGCGTTTGGATTCTCAATGAATTCACGATATTTTTTCACAGTGATACATACCTTGCGTGGTGTGGTGGCGGCTCTCGCAGAAAGAAGACGCAGACTGTTATTCTGCCGGCCGATCGAGGCGATGTACCCTCTGATCTGAAAAGAAACAACGGGAAGTGGGTAAGACATTGGTTTGCATCAGCAGCGTTCGGAGCACGAAAACGGAAGACAGAAGCGTTCATTCGCTGCGCATAAGTCCCCCAGTCCTGGCAACTCTGCAAACTGAAGTGTGTACATAGTACACTCTTATTAGAGCATGCATCCAAGTACAGTCTTATTTACAGCATACTTGCTAGGGACACGCTAAAATCGAGTGTGCCTGGCAGGTACACGCTAAAATACACTCGATTAGTCCAATCTAAAAGCATGGGCCAGTTTTAGTGTACTTGCCAGGCACACTCTTATTTAGCGTGTACCTGCAATGTACACTCTATTTTAGCGTGTGCCTAGCAAGTATGCTGCAAATAAGAGTGTACGTGGAAGAGAAGCTCACTTGCAAAGCGTGGAGCAAATCGTGTCTCACAGTTGCTGCCATCGTGAGATCTCCATGTCTCTCTACGTAGCTCGTACTGTCTGAGACATTTTGGTTCACGCTAAATAGTCCGAAACTATCCCACGCGTGGGTTTGAAGTGTAGGGTATAGTCAGGCACTATGAATACGTACACTGCCAATCCAAGTGTGAGACAGTCTCACACTTATAGATGTGGGACAATTTGTCTGACGCTTACATGTGTGAGCCACGTTTGTCTCATGCTTGCAAGTGTGAGACACGGTTTGTCCTGCACTTGCAGGCGTGGGACGCGTGGCATTGAACCACAAAGCTAGCATAGGCAGCAAGTGTGGGGCAAACCGTGTCTCACATGTGCAAAGTGTGAGACTTCGTTGTCCAACACTTGCAAGCGTGAGACAAACGTGGCTCACAATTGTAAGCGTGAGACAGAATGCCCCACACTTACAACAAGTGTGAGACTGTCTCACACTTGAATTGGCCGTGTAACTAACTTAGGCTGAGCGAAGCAAAGCACGCTGTTGCGGGTTTGGGCGTTCGAGATCCCCTTCCCCTACCCCCTTAGTTACTAGGGGCACACGCCCAATGTCTTTGTGGTGCGAGTCTTTGTGGTGACAAATCTTCGGATCATGGTGCAAAACCTTCATATTGTGGTACTGCGCTCACTCCGTAACCTATGAAGTCAAATTCTTTGAGAACTACGAAGAAATTGACGTATTTTCTCTATTACAATCGATTTTTGCACCGCCTATGCTTGCACAGCCTTTCTTCTTAAGGAATTAAGTGTGCATCCACCTGTTATTGTAACTGTGTCTTCATTTCTGTTTTCATAGGCTGCGCTGGTAAAACTAAAGCGAAACTCTGTGCTTGAGTCAAGCATACAGTTACGCTTGAAGACGTTACACTCGAAATGAAGCATACTCTAGAAATTCCCCCATCCATTTAGGTTGGGGGAATCTAGGCGTATGAGCCTGTTACGCTTGGTTTCAAGCGTAAATTGATAACGCTTTGAAAACAGAGGGTAATACTACGCTTGAGTTTTACGAGTGTAGGGTCTATTGCAGAGGACCGGCTGCTCCTCTTTTCACAGCTGCTAGCGCCTGCGGGCGGCAGGGTAGGCATCCCAACGGACAAGCGCGCTCGACGGGACGGCCTGCACTCTGGGCGCTTCCGGGGATTCACAGTAAAAACTGTTTTTACCGTGTCATTGCTAATGGCGGCTGCTGTCGCTTTGGCTTGCAAGCAAGCACAGGCCCTACAGAACCAGGATACAGCCCAGGCTGACCCAGGCAGCACCGGCCCAAGCAAAGCCCGTGGCCGAAATTTGGAGTTAACTCCCTCATGATCGCGTGCCTTTTGGCCACGCTTTCGGTCCCACCGGTGCCTCTTGGCCGCGGTGCGATGGGAGTGTCTAGCGAGGGAACGCCCGACAACACTATAATTAATGCGGAGTAATATTTCTTCATTGTGCGAATCTGTTTTGTATTTTCCTGGTAAGATATGTATTTTCCTGGTGAGATATGACGAAATACGTTCTGAATGCGAACAACTAGCTTCGTATTGCTTGCGCCATTTCTTTCGTACTACGCAAAATTTCTTCCTAAGACATTTAGAGTGTCTACGTCCTCATGGTCGTAACAACTTAAAAGCCTTTGGAAAGGCATTAAAATATTGCCTGGATGCCCAATGCCAATTTATTCCCAAACATGAAACGATTCTAGGGGTGTAAATCGTTCACGCCCTGAATGCAGGGATGATACACAAATCGAAACAAAACCAGGCTGTTATGCCAGCAGATCGCATTCATAACTTCAAAAACTATGGCAGCTAGAACAATGGGAATAGCTTTACCTTGGACTGCAAAGCCGGAGTTGTGCTCCCATACGGACCAAGTCGAAATTCCGCTTCCCTGAGTTTTGTTATTTTTGGGACCTAAAACACAAATGAAAGGAAGCGGTTGGATTCGGACCACATTGAAAATAAAATCCGGTATATTTCGCAGATCAGAGAAAAGCTGTTTCCTTGGTTCGAGCTGCGATGCTGCATAGCTTTTCAGTTTTAGGGCAAACGATTGTCGGAATAACGGCCACGTTACGACCTGGTTTTGATTACTTTTGTGTATCATTATCCCTGCCTGCACAATAAAAAACGTACTTTCGTACAGAAAATGTACAGACGAATATAGAACGGACGTGCGAACCTGTCCTATGAGAACTCATGCAATCGGGTACGGAGAACTGGTACAAACAAATGTTCCGCAGTAGGACAGGTACGGACGGTCCGGGCAAATGAATGATCAGACACGTTCCGTTCTTTTTCTGTACTTTTTTCTCGCAGTGTGTAAGGGCATAATGTCTTTGTTTCACCAATGTGTCGCTGCACTGCATGATGGCGGTGAACAGCCTAGGGCACTGCTGCTTTCCTCACTATGAAATTGAGCAATGCGGTTCGTTTTACCCCCCTTAACGCACCTGGATCCGCCTGCAAGGGTGCCTTTCACGTTCAAATCTCTTAGGTGAAATTTGGTGAAGTAAATAATTTTGTGCGACTTATCTCAGTTCTGCCCCACTGTGCGCCGGCTCTACCGCGAAAGACCCACATGTTTTGTTGTTGTTGTTGTTGTTGGGTGCCGTCCGTCGTATCGCCAGGCAAACTCATGTGCACTTGAGCCGGCAGGCCGCATGACTTCGCCTGGCGATGCGACGGACAGCGCTCAACAACAAAAAACAAATACAGGAAAAGTAGCGATATACATCGCCAACTTTTGGCCCGTCCCGTACATTAAGAAATGTGCGAATTTCGCGAATTTAACCCAGACGGGCTTTGAACCTGAGTCTAGGGTCAAAATAGATGTTATTTTCGTCATCAGCACCTTCAAAAACATCAGAAACAATGCAAAACTTGAATAAAAAGAATGTTCAAAATATACCCCAATGTGATTTCAACCCGGGTCCAAATTTCTCCGATTCGCTTGAAACTGGCACCGTTGGTTTTGTCTTGTCGCCCTGATTTCAAAAATACCCCTCATGCCCTGCTAGCTGTATCCGTTGCCGAAATCCTCCTCGACCCCATGTAGACCATGATGCACCTGCAGCAGCGCCCCCGGGGCCGGATCGGATTTGCTGCCACTGGGCGGTTCTTAGGATCACCCAAGGAGGCTGCATACCAAATTTGGTCAAGATCGGGCCACGGGAAGTCCTGGGACGGACGGGCACAGCATGCATCATACTCTATGCCCGTCCCTCCGTCATTTTTTTTTTTTTTCAAAAAGATACACGGGACGGGCCAAAAACATTCGTATCAGTCTTTCGCATTCGGGCCGGCGGGGAATACTAGCGTTTGTGAGCTGCGTCCTGCCATCGCGAAACGCTTGAGACCGATCGGGACGTTTCGCTGGTCCGCTCACTGTAATTCAAAGGGTGAGACATCTCACCAATTTTCGGTGATACAAAATGTATCACCGAAAAAAAGGTCGTACACGAATGATTCACCGAAAAAATGGTCGTACACGCATGTATCACCGAAAAAAAGGTCGTACACAAATGTATCACCGAAAAAACGGTGAGACATCAGTGAGATTGGCCCTTGTTTTCCTGGGGAAGTATCACCCTTTTTCCGGTGATACATTTGTGTACGACCTTTTTTCCGGTGATACATTCGTGTACGACCTTTTTTTCGGTGATACAGGCGTGTACGACCATTTTTTCGGTGATACATTTTCGTATCACCCTTTTTTCGGTGAGACAGTTATGTCTCACCGCTCAGAGAGTGAGATGTATCACTATTTGATTTTCAGTGCTGAGGTGCGAGCTCCTTCGCCGCGACATCTTGATCAGACGAATCGATTTCTATAAATAGATGTCAGTTTTGTCCATTTTTAAATTCCACCCAAACCCCTCGCATCCAACGTCAACGCGCGTGTAACAAACGTCGACGTAAATGTAACTGTAAAATGTAACTTTCCACATTTAAGCCATTTGAAACATGGGACCATTCAAGAGCCATCTGCAAAATTTTATCGGAAAAGCCGGTCATTAAAATCTGGGATTCCCGTGTCTCAAATTCTCACAAATCGGCGAGACAGTCCATGAGCATATTTTTTCAGTATCTATGGTGAACCACAAATCTGGAGAAAGACATTTCCCTTGGAAGCGCTCTACATCAGAAAGCCAAATGCTTGTGTGAGATGTCAGAAGCTTAAATACATGGCGGTGGGGAATGTAGTAGGGAGTGAACATCAGGCCGTTAAGAACCAAAATTACAAAATTAAGATTTTTTACTCGTTCTTTACACACCACTCACTAACATACAAAACTCTATGTGAAGAGAACGAGTATTGTGTTCAAAAATGAGTTTTGGGGGGACATCTTTCATCTCAGATCTGACAGCATGTGGGAAAATGAGAGTGGTATCAAATGAAAGATGGAGTGTCAGTCGCTAGATCGTGAATGAACTTTTTTTTTGCTTGCAATGAGAAATACTGAGAAAATGAACATGAAAGAGAGACGGTTTTAGTGCATTATGTGAAACTAACCTCTTTTCAAGTGTTTGCATCTTTTGATATAGAACGCCACTGGAACGCAAACAACAACGACAACGACCAGAGATCTTTGGCCAACAAAAAACTAGGAGGGTATTTTCCAAGTGACAATGGATAATTTTGAGAAATTTGGTCATAAAGAAACATCGTTTCACGCTAATCGTGATATATGTCTCAGAACTGCTAGCGGTTTCTTCCTAATGAAAATTTCTTGGCAGGTGTTGCATGTCTTATGTTGGAGATGAGAGACGAAATAATGAGTTTCATTTGACTTCTTTTTTTAAGAAATGTGTCCTTCTGAGGGTTTTGGTCATGGAAAAAGCAGGTTTTTGGCGCGGACTCACGGACTCTAGTGTAAATTCGATTATGCACGAGAATCGATATCTCGAGATATCGCGATGCATCGATGTTCCCTGCCTGAGAGGAGAACCAACCGGAAGCGTTCGTTGAAATGCAAAATTACAAATCGTCTGAGGACAATTCATGTAACGATCAGCGACTGACACATCAATCTAGCTTTGTAAAGAACGAGTCCCTCCCATGTGATATCAATTCTTTGATGTCTTTCCTTCTTGTTTTTATTAAACTTATCACTGGTAAAACAAAGGCATAAAAATTACGCCCTTTAGGGCATAAATGCTCTTTTACGCCCTTGCAAGGGCATAAATCGTTTTATGCCCTTGGGAAGGGCGTAAATGGTACGGGAATTTCAAGCAAAATATTAATGCCCTTCCCAAAGGCATTAACGATTTATGCCTTTGTTTCACCAGTGATGTTACATGATTTTTTTACATGATAGTTTTAATGTTGATTCTTTGGTACAGAGGACTACATAAATTCAAATTTTGTTTGAAGGAAATTAGGCTCCAAAATGAGATTGTTTAGACTCCAGAAAGCAGCCTTAAGAATTGCTCTAAAAGAGCCATATGCAGACTATTCTAGAACAATCCAGAAAAAAAGCCTTCTAACTCTACCTGGTCTGTATATTATGCAAACAATCTTATATGTAGTTGAAAAAAACAGAAAACCACTACCCATAAACATAAATACTCGTATTAAAGACAACTACTACCATGTGGCTTTTAAAGGCAGTTTCGCAAAGCTCAATCGTTCACACACTGGAACGCTACTGTTAAATGGGTTGACAAAATAGCTAAAAGAACTAAAGAATAGTCCGAAAATGTTCAGAATTAAAGAGGCTGAAAGAATATCTAATTTAAGTAGAACCCCACAACTCTCCAACTTTGTAATTCATCACATTTTCTGTGCTATGTCCTTTGGTTTTTGTTTGACCTGCAATAATGGTGCTTGTTAGCTCTGACGAATATAAGTGTTCCTTTATCACTCTGATATTGAAATACAATATATTTTCTTTTATTTATAAATAAACTTACAAATTTGCAGTGATATTACAAAACAAACAGTAAAATTGGTCCAAATAAATGCCGGGCTGCGGTAAGAGAACCATTCCGAAAAGCTAATTGGAACCAATTATGTTCTTTAAATTGAACACGCTACACCTGTGCGGTTGATACCAGGGTGTCGTCTTGGATTGTTTCCCTACTGTCGGAAGGTATCCCCTCCATGTGCGAGCGGACGTGACTTTCGAGCTTTTCGGCTTCATTGAACTTCTGATTGCAGACCGAACATTCGAAAGGCTTCTCTCTGGTGTGTGTCCGTTGGTGCTTACTAAGGTGCCCAGCTTGAGTAAACTTCTTGTTGCAAACTAAACATTTGTAAGGTCTCTCACCGGTGTGGGTGCGGATGTGTCTTTTAAGGGGTGAGACATCACTGAACTTCTTGTTGCAGAGGATACATTCGAAAGGCTTCTCCCCAGTGTGTATGCGTAGGTGAATTTTGAGGTCGTCGGGTTTTCTCCACTTCTTGTTGCAGAAGGAGCATTCGAAAGGCTTTTCACTGGTGTGGATAAGAAGGTGCTTCCTAAGGACTGTAGCTTCAATGAACTTCCGGTTGCAGACCGAACATTCGAATGGCTTCTCGTCGGTGTGGTAACGCAAAAGGTGATTTTTTAGTTGTCCAGCTAGACGCATCTTCTTGTTGCAGATCGAACATTCGTAAGGCTGCTCGCCGGTATGGATACGAACGTGCCTTGTCAAGGTACCAGACTCACCAAACTTCATGTTGCAAACCGAGCATTCGAAACGCTTCTCGCCGGTGTGGGTACGGATGTGGGTTTTTAGAGTACGATCCTCTCTAAACTTCTTGTTGCAGACCGAGCATTCGAAACTTTTCTCACCGGTGTGGGTACGGATGTGGGATTTTAGAGTACCACCCTCACTAAACTTCTTGTTGCAGACCGAACATTCGTAAGGTTTCTCACCGGTGTGGGTGCGAAGGTGCCTTTTAAGGTGATCAGCTTCCCGAAATTTCCCATTGCAGATCGAACATTCAAAAGATTTCTCGCCGGTGTGGGTGCGAATATGCTTTTTAAGATGTCCCCCATCCTGGAATTTCTTGCTACACATCGAACATGCGTAACGCTTGTCGCCGGTGTGTGTACGATGGTGCATATTTAGGTGTCCAACGTGAGTAAACTTCTTATCGCAGACCGCACATTCGTAAGGCTTCTCTCCGGTGTGACTGCGAAGGTGCACCTTAAGATGTACACCTTGAAAAAACTTCTTGTTGCAGACCATACATTCGAAACGCCTCTCGCTTGTATGGGCACGGAGGTGACTTCTTAACTGTCCAGCCGTACCATAATTCTTGCTGCAGACTGAACATTCGAAAGTCTTCTCGCCGGAGTGGGTAAGGACGTGGCTCCCTAACTGCCCAGCCGTTCTATATTTCTTGCTGCAGACCGAACGTTCCAAAGTTTTTTCCCCGGTATGAGTGCGGCGGATGTGCCTTATAAGGTTTTCAACCTTAACAAACTTCCTGTTGCAAACCGAACATTTCAAAGGCTCAACGCCGGTGTGTGCAAGGAGGTGCTTACGGAAGTGCCCAGGTTGAGAAAACTTCTTGTTGCAAACGGAACATTCGTAAGGCCTCTCACCGGTGTGGGTGCGGATGTGACTTCTGAGGTCTGCACCTTGAATGAACTTCTTGTTGCAGACAGAGCATTCCAAAGGCTTCTCCTCGGTGTGAGAGCGAATGTGCCTTCTCATCGATGACAACAAGGTGAACTTCTTGTCGCACATGGTGCACCGATTAGCCATTTTGGAGACCTAAGACAAAGAAATGCATAGCCTTATTGGACATAGCTTAAGGGGATTACCCCCGTTTTTGCTCGACAATAACGTAACAATCATCCGTAAGGCTGTTTTTTTTTCTCGTAAAATAAGGTTATTGAAATAGAGCTTTCACCCTTGAAGTCTATTTCACGGAAGTGTGCAGGGCATAACCTGGCACGATTATATTTAAACAAACTCAGACGACGACGGTTTCTCCTCTTTGTTTTTCTCCTTCACTGAAAAACCAAACGTGGTCTAGACTACACCAACTGGTGTGGTCAAATAGGTGCCATTTTGACCACATCTGTTGGTGTGGTCTAGACCACGTTTGGTGCGAAAGACCACACCAAACGTGGCCAAACGTGGTCTAGACCACACCAAACGTGGCCAAACGTGGTCTAGACCACACCAACTGATGCAGTCAAAATGGCACCCATTTGACCACACCAGTGATGTGGTCTAGACCGCGTTTGGTTTTTCAGTGTTTTCGCGCCCCAACTTTCGTTTCTCGACACCTTTTCCCCAATTGGTCGAAAATTTAATGCGCGCGTGGAATTCCTTACGTTATTTTCGATTCGTACGTTACCGTAGAACGAGGTAATATGAGACAAATTTCGAGGTTTTTTGTGAATTTCCCCTTTTCAATTTCAATTTGAGGTACTGAGGTGTTCATCACTTGTTCATTGACCCTTTGGCTACACTCCCACCAAATTTCAGATTTTTAGGTGCAGTAGGGACCTTTCAATAACCCTCGAAATGCCGTCCCATATTTCCCTGCAATGTGGGGTAATATGAGACAAAAGAAAGAAATGAAAAAGAAGTATGGGTAATTAAATCATTTAGGCGCGTTTGGAGCTTTTTAAGTTCTTTTCATTCATTTTAAAGATGATTGGAAACTATAATGGAGACGATATAAAATCTGGAGGGGAGAAAAATGGGTGTCACTAAAGAGAGCTGAAAAATGTATAAGAAGTCATGAGTTGTGTCTGTCACATGAAAATACTAAACGAAGAGCATAGATGCCGGTCAGATAGTAAAACAAATTCGCGTTAAAATCATTATTACTTGAAATTATTAACAGTGGAGTATGTTTGGCCTCATGTTTCAAGCGAAGCGAAAACAGGTGTCTCTATTTTCCCTGCAAGGTAACAAAATTGTGTTCTATCTGGAACAGGCAGCCCGAGAGTAGACATAACGGAACCAAATTTTGTCCTGATTATGTTGACATAATTGCCTACAGATTTAAACCTCGTTTGGACGAGAACCCAAGTTCTAACCGAGGTTTCTGGGGAGGTTTTTACAACTTTATAAAACTTGTTAAAATTAAGAGGTTTTTCCTTTGGTTCTAAATAATCCTGACGAGTCTCTGATATCCTTCGTGCGTTTCCTGTGAGCTGCTACGGCCTCCTAGATCACGAAAAAAATTCACGGTGGTCTTCTGAACAACCGCTAAAGAGCGCCACGACAAAAACCGAGAAAAGTGCGCTTTGTCTCGATTTTCCTTCATGTCTCATATTACCCCGTTGTACGGTATTCTTTGCTTATTTCCGATCCTGTCGGATCTTCCGACACGGCCAGGAATGACGTAAGAGGCCTCTTCCGTAACGTAAGAAGTCTTCCGTAAAATAAGCAGACGGGCAATGCTCCCGTCACGCGACGGAAACCTTACGTTACGGAAAATCGTTACGTTATTGTCAAGGGCAATCCCGGCTTTAAGGGGGAAACTCGTCATTCTCCGTAAAAAAGAAAAAACAGGGATAGGCTAGATAGTTCGAACTTTGAAGCCACATTTTACTCAATTGCAATACTTTGGGTCTTGCACGTTGATTGTTTCGACTTCATGACCTTATCAGTGCTTCACCTCTATAAAGCCGTCACTCTGAACAGATATCTTCAATCGGACAAGCGGAAGTGGCTGAAAACCAATACTCAAATGTCTCAATTTAAATTTAAAAAAATTGTTCACTTAAAAATGTAACTTTGAGGCACTTAGGAACCAGCTATTTCAATTATCCTAGTTCTATCTAGAGTGCCAGAAGTCCTGAGGGAGGAACAAAGATATTTAAGATATGATGCTGAATTCTCTAAAAATCGTGTGCGCAGTGAATTAGTGGCGTACTTTAGTGGTTTAGCAGAAAGTTAAAAGATTCATGGTTTTAGGGCCAAGAGTCACACTTGGAAAACCCCACTAACCTTCAAATTTATTCAAAAGAGTTTTGCCTGAATTGTGTTAAAATTTTGGTGTTAAAGGCAAGTGTCCCACCTTAAACTTCGGTTCTGCGAACCAATCTGTAGGATGTTCCGACGCAACATCCGTCAGGTACTTTACCTCCAATAGTGCAGGCGTGTGCAAGAGGCCTAGCAGCGTTATGATGACGTGTGCAGTGCCTATGAGGACCTCACCGAGCGACGAAGCTGTACCGACTCGACCTTGATAAGTTGAACTCTGAAACATGCCAGAAATTTCAGAACGCCGTGAGATAAAAAAATAAATCCTGGTACACTTTTTCAAAAACAAATTTAGGGCATCATTTTTGAGCTCGTGGTCAAAAAGGCTCGGTGGCGTTTAAATTGTGACTTCCCGCCACTTCAGAGACGAGGCAAATGGTCTAGCCAAGTTTTGGAAAGACCAGAAAGTATCGCCAAAATTTGGTCGGAGAATAATGTCGACTTTTATGTCTGACCACAGTGAGGTCAGCATTTTGAACCCAGTCAATCCTACGGTCCTTGTGGCCTACACTCTAAATGTCTTACAATGAAATTTGACCTATGTTATTCGTATGTTACAATGAATTCGGCGCAAGCATAATACGAAGCAATATTCCTTCGTAATACGAATCGTTTTACCTTTTTCATTGTAAGATACAAAGAAAAACCTTCGTAATACGAAGAAAAACCACCTTCGTATTGTGCTTGCGCCATTTCCTTCGTAATATGGGAAATTTCTTCGTAAGACATTTAGAGTGTATACCGTGGCTATTGCCTGACCACGGAACAGACAACAGTCACCATTTTGTGGCGAGACACATTTGTCTGATCAAACTTTGGCGAGACTTGTACAGCGGACCAAACTTGGTTCGACTTTTTGACTTGCCATATTTTTAAGTTACTTAATGGTCGGTAGCATATCAGATCAGTTAGAGCTAGAACTTCAGCGTCCGAGTGACTAAATTCCTGAGTTCAATATTTGTCCGTGATCTCACAATTTTGCGCACGCGAGTTTTTTGTACACTGGTAAATCTAAGGCGTAGTATTACGCCTTGTGTGAAGCTCACATTCTGTGCGCCCTTCTTGAAGCGTAACAGAGCTCATGCGCTCGTTTCCTCCAAAGCGTGAGGGAAATTACCCTAAAGTTGTGCGCTTCAAAAAGGGCGTAAAATCTTGAAGCGTAGTTCTACGCTTGAATGAAGCGTACAACGACGCTTTAGCTCTACCAGTGTACAAATGCACTCCTGCTTCACACAATTAGTCAGCGAAAACCGTGGATCACACTGCATCGGTCTGCGCGCCATTATCGGTACGATCCTACCTTTTCACGCCGTCATTTAGGGACGGTCCCCGTCCCCCACGGGGCCCCAAATTTAATAACTGGTAGAAGGTGGGACATAGTTCACCTCCCGGTGCGTGCAAGAGTCGACTGACACTCCTGCTCCACGCAATTAGTCAGCGAAAACTTCGCATTGCACTGCCGGCTGTCTCTCCAATCCACCCTTTTCGGGCCTTCATTAAGGGACGGTCCCCGCGCCCCGCGGGGCCTCAAATGCGACAATAGGTGGTAAGCGTGAGCCAGTTCAAGGCCCAGTGCATGCAAGTGTCGCCCGACACTCCTGCTCCTCGCAAATAGTCTGCAAAACCGCGCATCGCGTTGTTGCAGCGGCGGCCGGTCCAGCCCGCGCTGCTGCGGGCTGTGCTGCTGTGCTCCCTTGACCGCAAAACCGGAAACCGAAATCTAGGGGTCCTAGCGAAAATCGGCCACCAGGAGGTTGTTCCTGATACTCCACTTAACAAGGGACAAGGCTCAGGGTGCCTGCATTTTGACTTTAACGGTTTTGCCACTCTAAATGTCTTACGAAGAAATTTCCCATAATACGAAGGAAATGGCGCAAGCATAATACGAAGGTGGTTTTTCTCCGTATTACGAAGGGTTTTCTTTGTGTCTTACAATGAAAAAGCTACAATGATTCGTATTACCAAGGAATATTGCTTCGTATTATGCTTGCGCAGAAGTCTCTGTAACGTACGAATAACATAGGTCAGATTTAGAGTTTGACTTTCAGGGCTTGCCAAGAACGACGGTTTCTCAACGTGGTCGTGCTCTATGGACCCTCCCCAAGCTAGGCTAGGAGTTTGCTTCGAAGATTCGAATTCTGAATGCCATTTCTGATTGAAATTAAACCGGGACTGCGCGAAAACTCCCGACGTGCGCAGCGAGTTGCCTACCCGGGATCCCCGTAAGGCGCCATGTTAATTTCTAACCCTTATAGCTTTTTTCCTAAAGTACAAATCAAATGCCTCTGCGGGTCAAAACCTTTCTTTTGGCCCCAACTATCGAGGTGCAAAGCGGCATCAGAGTACAATCGTTTCCAGTATCCGTCCAATTTGCTTCACGTTCACCAGGCACTAGAGTACTTTCAGGCAGAACTGAGGCTCAGTCCCCCCCCCCCAAATGATTTTTGGAATTAAAAATAGGTCAGCTTGGTATGAAGCTAGAATTTGGATGTGATATGCTAGAATACATGTACAGGATTGAGACTTCAGATTGTAAATTGTTTTGTTTTTTTTTGTTTTTGTTTTTTTTACATATATTCTGATAGGATTTTCAGCACCCTATTCAGATTTAACTTTATCCATAAGAATGCAGGAATTTCAAAACAAAGTTCACTAACTTCAAATAAAACAAAAAGAAATTAATGAAAATTTTAGACAAATGGAACTAGATTTGCTGTTTCTCAAATCAGCCTTTAAGGATCTCCCTCCACGGGTAGAGAGTTCCTCAAAGTTCTTCACACCTCCAGCTATTACCTAAGGGGTGCTGGAGGACATGACTAATTTGAGGAAAAACTGTGAGAAAAAGCACTTGAATTGTTGAAATGAAAGTTAAATTGGAATCCGTGCCATATTCTGAAAGAGTACGAAAAATTGACCAAGTTTGAACCTCAAAATGACAAGGGACATGAGAATAATTTAACCGGACGGATGATCTTTTATATGACAAGGGATATGAGAATAAGTTTACCAGACAGATGATCTTTTATCAAACAATCATAAACTCTACAGGTCATGGTTTTTTTTTTTCTTAAGTATGTAGTTGTTTTAAGTGCAACTAATTGCTGAAAAGAAATAAAAGTAATGGAATATATAAGAGGTTCCTACAGTGCTGTTCGGCAGTTGACCTCAAACCTCTCTCTACCAACCTTTGCACTCAATAGCTGACGAGGTGTAAAAATACAATGACAGATTCAGCCCATAGTGGAATTCAATGTAAAGCATATTAATTTATTCTAGGGTTTGGAAAAATCTTACCTCAGAAAAACTTTGATTGTTTGCTCAAAGTATGGCACATCCATATAACAACTGAGGCCGAGCCCATCCACTTATCCCAATTCATTTGCCACGTAAAACTATTTTTGGACTCTCATGTTTCTTGACATTTTAAGGATCAAACTAGCTGTATAAGATCAGTTTCTAATGGTCTTTAAGAATATGGAACAGCCACATGCATCAGATTTCAAACTGACTCACAAGTGAACAATTAAGTGTTTTGTCTTGCAGCTTTCCTCAAAATAGTCAGGTGTTACAGCAGCCCTTAGGTGGTCTGAAATATTTTGATGGACTCTCTACCCTAATCGTTTCACTTCTACTAAGATTTAGCCACATCAGAAATATCAAAGTGTTATCAGTTCTCTGATTTGAGAAATAATGACTGTTTCGCAAAAATAGCTGTTCTATCAATTTTCAAGACTCTTGGCTCAGTGCTCACTAACACTTAGTCAAATAAGCCCCTAGGATTTCAAATCTAGCCCATGATTTATCTAACATTTTTACATTTCCAGTCAAAAACTGATATCGCAACTTTCCCAGCAGGAACGAGTTTGTTTATGTTGTATCTTGAAAGCACCTTTGACCTTGGGGATGATCACCAAACGTCATCTCAAATGAGACAATGCAGTTTGAGATTCAGATTTTCCAGCGTTAACTTTGGTCAACAAGTATAAATATGTTTACACAGTCCTGCACCCACATCAAAGTAACCTTTCCGCAATGAGTTTTCCCCTTTGTCCATTTAACTTACATTAAAATTTAGCACATTGGTTTTTCAACTCCTTCATCATCAGTAACTCCCTGACATGTGCCACACCACAACGAATAACAAAATCCAAACATAAAAACTATAACCTTATCAGCGGCCGGCCAACCACAAAATTTTACTACGTACCAGAGAGTTGTAGGACCGCGAGAGGGGTCACAGGGCACGATGTTCACTAATCAAAACGATCTATTTTCATTGAACGTTAGAACGACTCAAGGAAGTGGACGGCTGAATTTGAATTTAATGACAACTGCTGTCACGCCGCTGCTGTCAACAGTTTACTTTTTGTTACTGCTCGCAAGTAGGTATGAAACATTTGTGACGCTGCAAAATAAGTTTTTCATACTGGGAGTTGGCGCGGGACATAGGAGATGATTTGAAAAGTCAACAGTAATGACTTGGGGGGACAACTTTTGTTTCAAATGTTTAGAGTTTCTCCATAGAGTGCTAACATCGGGATATTTGGAAAATAAAAGCAAAAATGGTGCTTCAGCATTGCAATGAGCGAGATTGTTTGCTTTTCAAACTCTGTATGTCTGCAGAGTACACTGTGGCTTATTTTTCTCACAAAATATCTATTGAGTGTATGGTTAAAAGAGCACCAAACCTACTAGAGAAAGCTAACTAATAAACCACAAATCCACTTTTGGCTGAAGCATTACATTTTCATCCAATTTAAATTCCTCACACCCCTCGTAAACTTGCAAAATTTGCTCGAAACAATTTCCTTATAAATTTTTAGTGCACCTTGAGTTTGGATCTCTTTGTTTGTGTTGATACTATCTAAATTGAGAGCAGGGAGGATCTTTCCTGTCACCCAAGATCATGTAGAAGCCCTAATCTTGACAAAAGCGCCCAAAATAGGTCAAAGTAGAAAATTGAAAAATTGTGTTCCTGATTTTTCTGGCTTAAATGGAATTGTTGGTGCTAGGGACTATATAGAAATTGTTTATTAGAGGAAAAGCAGTGAAATGAGATGTACCAGGGTCAAATCCAAGGTGGAGTATTTTGGGTATGAAAGTTTCGATGAATTCGACAAAATTGCTCGAGTAGGCCAAACCAGGCAACGTACAAAACTTGGCCTACCACCATTTTTCTTCTTTTTTTTATGACTAGAAAGAAGAAACATAAGCCAGAACTAAGCGAACAACTTTTACCATTAAAAAATCAGAAAGCGACATTTTTACGCTAAATTAGTCAAATTTAGAAAAATGCAAATATCTCAGGTTCTAATTGAGCTAGCCAACTTTCCTTTAAGGGTTGATAGGTCCAAGTGGTACCAGTTGAACCCACAAAGTTTGAACTGAATCCGTGACCCAATCCCAGATCTCGGTCCACCTTGGGGTGGAGTTACTCTATTTCAGCTGCCTCGCCTCTATTCAACAACATGAAGAAAACACATAGATATAGTCGATAGAAACCAAAATAGTCCAGGTTGACTCTTGGCATTTGACTCATGCTTTAGCGACGCTCCCTCTACGCTCTCCACGCCCCGCCCCGGGGAAGGATGTCCCCACAGTGCTCCAGGGCTCTGGACTCGGATCGGGGCATTTCCACATAGAGTCGGCTATTTTCCAGGAATTGCGGGAGCAGGGGCTCCACAGTGTCTCCCTCGGGCTGTCGCTACCTGCGGGCGCTAACCTGCAGCACACTGATTCCGAGAGTCGTTTTCGTCGCTCTGTCTCTCTCGCACCTATTGGGAACGTACCATGAGTGCGAGAGAGACAGTGACGTGGAACGGAAACGACTCTCTTTCGGGATCAGGTTCGGCTGGAGCAGGCGGAGCCGAAGGACGGTTCGGGTGCCGGTGCCGGCGAAGTTCGCCTCGCCGACACCGGAGCGGTCAGTGTCACGTCACGAACGTTGTGCATCGGTCCGGTCGCTTCGTCGAGAGAGTCCTCTCCAAGTTCAGCCTTGTTTTGATTGCGAAGCTTTGCTTACGGTGATAGTGCAGTGTATTGTTTCGGTCGCTCCCGTACGTTCGCCCCCTACGAAGGATTGGGTCCTGCCAGCGGCCAGCAGGTCGACAGCCCTCCATCGTCTGCTTGTGTTTTTGTTTGGAATCAACGGGTAAGAATTTAGTTTATTATGTTGTTGTTGTTGCTACCTGCACGTTTGGAATCGGGGTTTATCTTCGAGTGCTCTCTATATTGATTGTGGCATTTTGATCATAAGTTAAACTTTTTAGTTTTATCGACACTGAACAAAAACTTGACAAAAATAACTACATTTGTTTCTGTGACTCGCAATGTCCATTAGTTTTGGAAACGATTGTTCTCTAATAGATGACCTTGAGACATGCTGTACTGCACAAGCATCATCAAGGAAAATAAAGACAAATGCATTGCCACTGTAAAATACTTGCCTTTCTGCGCAGCCTGCCATGGACTTGCCGGTCTTCCCGGAGGACGACGATGACTTCGGTCCGCGGGCCCGCGGCCGCTCCAACACCTGGCCGCTGCTGCCGCGCGGCGAACCCAACCCAGCCGCCACCCCCGAGCCCGAGGTCGTCTTCGCGGAACATGACCTGTTCGTCGGGGAGGTGGCCGCCCCCGCCGCGCCGCGCGGCATGGACGTGATCGTGGAGGCGCCCTCCGTGACGTCCTTGGACGTGTCCTTGGACGTGCCCGTCGGCGCGGACCTCTCGGCACGGCCGCCGCCCCCCCAGCAGCCCCGCCCCCAGGCGCCGTGCTCGCGGCCGCGGAACGCGTGGGGCAACGCGTCGTACGCGGACCTGATCGCGCAGGCCATCACGTCGTCGCCGGAGAAGCGGCTCACGCTGTCGCAGATCTACCGCTGGCTGGAGCAGAACGTGCCGTACTTCCGGTCCAGCGCGGCCACGGCCTCGGGGACCACGTCGGGGACCACGTCGGCGGCGGCGGGCTGGAAGAACTCGGTGCGCCACAACCTGTCGCTGCTGGACCGCTTCGTGCGCGTGCCCAACGAGGACAGGGGCCAGTCGTCGTGGTGGACCGTGGACCCGGACGCCAAGCCCGGGCGCGGCTCGCGCTCCCGGCGCCGCGCCGCCTCCATGGACACGGCCAAGATGTCGGAGCGCCGCGGCCGCGTGCTCAAGAAGGTGGAGGCGCTGCGGCGCGCCAAGCAGGAGCCCGCCGTGGAGTCCGAGGCCGCGGCGTGCCCCGCGGACCAGCTGGCGAGCACCCTGGGCGCCCACATGGCGCTGGGAGGGGCGGAGGCCGCGCACCCCAGCCGCCGCCGCCGCCGCCAGAGTCCCCTGCAGGGCCGGCAGGGCCAGCCGCAGCTCCGCGCCGCCACGCCGCGCTGCGGCGACGCCGCCCTGTCGGAGCACGCCAACTACCAGCGGCCGTCCTCGTGCCAGCCGCTCTCGTACGCCTCGTCGTACGCCTCCTCGTACGCCTCCTCGTACGCCTCCTCCTACGCGTCCTCGTACGGCTCCTCGCCGCCGCAGTTCCAGCAGCTGCCCACCATCCTGCGGCCGTCGCCGGACCCCTCGCACGCCTCGCAGGCCTTCGAGGTGCTGCCCACGGTGCTGGCGCCGTTGCCCGAGCCGTCGCCGTCCGGCCTCCTGAGCGGCCACGCGACGTCGACGGCGTCCTCGGCGGCCGGTCGGCCCTCGCCGCGCCGCGGCAACCCCAGCCAGCCCCTCCCCGCGCCGTCGCGCCCCGCGCCGTACCAGCCGCCACACCGCGGCCAGCAGACTCCGTTCGAGCCCCAGCACACCCAGTACGACGACGCGAGCCTCCAGTTCCCCCTCGACGGCGTCCTGGACTGCGACGTCGACGCCGTGGTTCAGCAGGAGCTCATGCTGGAGGGCAACTTGGAGTTCAACTTCAGCCAGCCTCCACGACAGCAAGGCCCCGTCCAGCCGACGCAGCCCGTGCAGCAGGCCTTCCCCGCGCAGGCCCTGCAGGCCATGTCGGCCTACGGCTCGGCCCACGGCTCCCAGTACGAGTCGCCCTACGGGTCGCCCTACGTGGGCTGCGGCCAGTTCCTGGTGCTGTGAGCGGCGTCGCTCTCGACTTCACTCTACGGTACGTTTGGTCCAATCACACACTGAAAAAGTATTGATTGAACTTTTTTGAAGCACTGAAAATGAATGTCATAAGGAATTGGATCCATGAAGCAGAAGAAGGGGATAGCTCAATTTTAATTACTTTTCAGGAGAAACAAAAAAATACAGAGAAAACTTAAACTAAACAAATAAATTATGCAGATGGGTATTTGTAAAATTAAAGTGTACATAATAACTGTCATAATTTTCAAAAGTGTAGTGTAGAATCATTCTGTAGATGATTTCTGTGATATAAACCGTAACATTAGAATGGACTATGGAATCATGCTCACTTACTTCTCTGAAACGAGGTGGAATTGAGAGTTGGGGCTGAGAGGTCTGCGAAGAGTCTATATTGCTGTGTTACATTTTTCAACTCACCTCTTTTTTCCCACTAGTGTCCTTAAGAAATTGAGGAGTAAGTTGAATGGACTCTTTTTACATCAGATTCATAAAAATATGAGACGAGTTATCTCCTTCTACCAATTTTTTCGACAAAGTGATGTGGACTATGGTCGAGTTTTTTCAATTTTCCGATGAGATTAAGACCGTAACTGGTGTTTAGTTGACTTGACATGTGGATTTACTCCAAAACTAGTAGGAATTGAGTCAAAGAATGAGGTATGATGATGTTCACTATTCTGAGGCACAATAATACGACAAAAACTCAATTTGTAGATACATAAAGTTTTCCCCATTCTGCTTTCTGGATCATTTATTTTTCATGGATTTACATTAATACATTAGCAAATAATTGGTTTCCTGAAACTAATCAAAGCGTCTCTGTTCATTTTTCTTTCTTTTTTTAATAATTCAATATTGTGTCTGAATTTTTAACATTTGTTGTTTCTCGTTTGTTGCAGGTCTTTCTCCTTGCTTCACCTCATCAGTGTAAAACATTCTAGTCATTCAAAGTGTTACGTTTGAGTACAAAGATTTGTGTTGCGTTTTTGTACTGTACCATTAAAAATGCTCTCATAGTTGCAAGTTGTTATTTTGGAGGAAGAGTGTCCTTGCACAAAGCTTAGCAGTAGAATCTCTGCACTTTATGCACCCAAATGCAGAATCAGCCTTGATCTCAGAAAAAGGGCTATCGTTCAAAAGACACTGAAAACAAATAACATTATTTTCATCCATTAATTCTGGGGCATTGTATATATTTTCTACACTCTCAGACTTGTACTGAGCCTTTGTTTAACAACGTATTGTCGTTTGTGCACATAAGACAGCATATTCACATTTTTATGTTTTAGAATGATCAATTTTGTCTGACAAATCTTATTGAGCATTTTGCGAGGCATTTTGGAATTCTATTAATGTGCACAAATGTCAATGAATGTTGATAAAAGGTCCATTGGAAGATGAGAGAGTGAGGCTTTAACACCAGTGCAAAGAGTTCAAAAGTGGCCTTCTTGCTGCATACCCCAAATCGTGCTTACTGGGTAAGTGGACGCAGGACGCCTGATAGGTAGGCCACCCATTCGACGCCGCTCCAAAACGCCTAGACAGTAGGCCAGCCAAGTGGCACCATCCCCCGACGATGCCCAACTGAAACTGAAAGTCATCGCCCCTAACCGGCAGATTGAAAAGAGTAGTGGGAAGAGGGCGAGGGACAATAATGGCCAAGAGAAGAAGAACAGATTTGTTTATGGTTAAAGCTAGTACGAGCAGTTTTGCTCCACACTTGGTCGTATGTTAAGTGCTCTGAATGCACCAGTCAAGCGCGGATCTGAAAAGGGCGGGAGGGAAGGGGGCAGGCCTTTTGCCCTCCTCCGCCCATGCCACCTTGACACCGCCGAGGCAGAAAGCCAAACAGTGCCACTGCAAGTAGGCAAAAAGGGCTACTCTCGCCCCCCCCCCCTAAGGTCATATGGAAGATAGGTCGGCGCAACCGAGATGCATGCTGGGAGACCAGGCGACTAATCCCTCTCGATTCCGTCGTCGGGTGCAGCGGAGGACCGCCTACCTCTGCCAGCCTGCCTGCTCAAGCTGCCTGCCGGCTTGCCCGGTTACCAGCATGCATCTCGGTTGCGCCGACCTATCTTCCATATGACCCCCCCCCCCCCCCCCGCCCGGTAGCCTCTAGTTCAACCACTGGACCAACTCCTTGTCCAGAAACAAGGCGCAGTGAGGAACATGCCGTGCCGCCTTTCTCGGCGCTCGCCCTCCTGTTCGGTCCTAAAATACGTTCGGCAAGGGTAAGCGGCCTCGTGTCCTTGGGTGGCGCGGCTGGGTGCGTCCCCGCCAGTGCGTTGGCCGGCGCATGCGCGTGGCCAAGCTATTCGCGCACTAGGCTAGGGCGCCCGGCGCGCCGGCCCCGCGTGCCGAAATCCTTCAGTCAGCTGTCTTCCGTCTGACCCACAAGGCCGAGCGCAGCGTCCCGGCGCCCCGCCGCGCCCTGCAGAGCGGCGTCCGCGCAACACACGCCAGCGAGGCATCGCACCGTGCCGCCACGTGCGTTGATGTTGTTGTGCCCCGTTCGACGCGTGCCGGTGTCACCGTCGTGTCGGTACCTTTCGCGTGAGTGTGTCGCTGTCACTTCCTCTGGCGTGGCTGACACTGTCGTGTCACTTCCTCTTGCGTGAGTGTCACTATCGTGTCACTTCTTGGCGTGAGCGTCACTGTCATGTCATTTCTTCGTGCGTGAGTGTCACTGTTATGCCACTTCCTCCTTGTGTCAGCTGTGTCACTTTCACCGTCATGTCATTTCCGTCTTTTGTGATTGTCATTGTCATGCACTGAGAAACTAAACGCTAGCACATGTCATATGGTGCAATGCACAATGCACTGAGACTTCACAACTTACGTGCAATGCCATCCACCTTTCGTGCGTCTCCAAAATGTGCGTCTCCAACGCATATGAAGGCATCGCACTTCACGTGCGGTGCAAAAATATTGCACCAATTGGTGCAATGGAAACGCCTTCAAACTCATTGTACCAGTTGACGCTGCACTCATAGCGTTTGGATTCTCAGTGATTGATCACTTCCTCTTCCTTGAGTGTCGCTGTCGTGTTACCTCTGTCGTCCTCTCACTACAGCCTACAGCCAATACACTGAGATTCCAAACGCTATGAGTTGCAATGCACCGAGATATCGCACCACACGTACAATACCACAGCCATACTGCACCTTACGTGCAATGCTTCCCGAAAATGCCCTATGCTTATGCATGCAAAAGCATTGCACCAATTGACGCTTTATTCATAGCGTTTGGATTTTCAGTGTACACAGAGATTCCGAATGCTACGAACATTAGCACGTGTGGTGCAATGCACTGAGACATTGCACCACACGTGCTCACGCTACTCAAAGCGTTTGGACTCTCAGGATAGATTTTAGGTTGCACAGTAAAAAGACTACGAAGAATCGCTTCGTATGCCTACAATGCCTTCGTAGGCATTGTAAAATCTACGAAGAAATGCTTCGTATTATGAAGCAAAATCCTTCGTAATACGAAGGAATTCTACAACGCCTTCATTTTCTTCGCAGGCTTTTAAGAGTGTAGGACTGTTTTTGAGCTATTCGGATTCAGAGATCAGCGGCCGTTGGGCATAAGGACGTAAGTCACATGGGAAACCCATTGAAAATAGGTTGTTCTGTCCGATGACCACTCAGATGTCACGGTGTTTCAAAATCCACAAAAAAGGTACTGCCTCGTACTGCGTGCTGACTGGTGCAGACTGTCTCGATGTCAGTCTCGTGTCTGACCACCAAGAGTATGAGTCACTGACCAGCCGTGTCTATCCGAAGAAGACAGGAAGGGGGGAAGTCGCAAAAGTCCCCTCCCTCTTGATCCACGCCCGTGGAGCCCCACCCGAGTAGACCACCCTTCCAGCAGACGTGGACTGCCCTAAGGCGCCAGGTCTTCCCCGCACAGAGGGCCACACGGAAAGAAGAAATTCGTTGACCCAACGAAAAAGTACGTCAGTTCCGTGATAACCGAAAAAAAAATTGTTTCAGTAACGAAAAGTTTGTTTGCGAAACGAATAATTTGTTACTACGACGAACAATTCGTTGGCGGAGCGAAAAGTTAGTAGGAGAGACAAAATCATGAATTTGTTCCTTTGACGGATCTTTTTGTTGCGCTAACAGATTGTTAGTTTTACCAACCAAAATTTCGTTACTCAAACAAAGTTTTCGATGCTGTAACAAATTTTTTCGGTTGTCCCGGAATCAACGTACTTTTTCGTTGGGTCAACGAATTCCTTTTTTCCGTGCAGAGGTTAATCCCGGACGTGTTTTGATCTCCAGAGTCACGGAAAGGGACTCGAACCGAACCCCACCAATGGATCGCTCTCCACACTAAATGTTTATGTACAATTTTGTACGTGGTGATGCATAATTTTAAACTTGTGAACCGTCATGCTTAGAATTGTGCGTGAATTTGCATAAATTTATGCATCTTTGCGGATGATATTATGCAAATTCCACGTATGCACAAAATCATGCAAGTTGCACATACAAAATTCTACCCAAACATTTTTAGTGATCCGAACGAGGAATCCATTGGGGCCGCACGCTTGGTGGGAGTCCCATTTAGCGACTCTGGAGCTCAACGCGCGTCTCAAGTTTTGACCACCGGTGCCGGTCTTCTGGCCTGGCCCCACCGTGCACCGCCCCGCGCTCGAGCGGCGTGCTTGCGGCGTGTCTGCACTCCGAGGCGGCGTTGCCGGCCGCGCTGGCCTAGACCAGGGTCTCTGTCTCAGATAGCAGACGACAAGGCGCCTCTCTCTCTAGGCGGGCGTGATCCGGCCGTGTCTGCGAGACGCCGGTCTAGACGGTGCAAGTCGGCCGCCGGCAATTGGTACCTATTAAGGACTAGGCAGTGGGTAGCGCCTGCCTTCCGAATAGCGTCGTTTCGTCGCGCTGTCACTCTCGCACCGCTGCGGGACGCCGCACGAGTGCGACAGAGACAGACCGGCCGACTGCCGGCAGTGCTTCGACCTCCGTGATTATTCACAATTGAGGGGCTCGGCCTTGCGGTGCACCGCCGGGCCTGGAGCCCTGGGCCGCGCACGGGGCCGCGTTGACCCAGGTGTGAAGGACGCGCGCCAGATTGCAAGTGCAGCCTTCGGGCCGTCTTCGGTGAGGCCGGCCGACTGCACGGCCACGCCGACGTCCCACACACACTAAATGTTACGTACAATTTTGTACGAGACGTCACAGTATTTTGTGCACACGAAGTTTTTGTACAACTTTCGTACGAAAAACTGCACATTTTCCGCCATTTTTGTACAAAATTGTTCAAAATTTTGTACAAATTTGTACGAAAAGTTCGTGTGCACAACAAACTGTGATGTCTCGTACAAAATTTGTGTGCAATGTAGTTGTTCGCGAAGAGCGGTCCACAGTGGGCCAGAAGACCGGTGGAGGTGGTCAAAACCCCGGACGTGTTTTGACCTCCAGCGTCGCTAAATGGGACTCGTATCAAACCTGTGACCCCACCAATGAGTCGCTCTCCGAATGAAGAATCCATTGGTAGAGTCACTCGCTCGGTTCGAGTCCTGTTTAGCGACTCTGGAGCTCAAAACGCGTCTGGAGTTTTGGCCGCCGGCGCCGGTCTTCTGGCCCACTGTGCGGTTGCCGGTCGATAGTTCCAGCCGCGCTGTGTTGGGCAGGACGCCGTTCGGGCCCCTGCCGGGGCGACGCCGCGCGCTGACCAGCCTGCCCTCGTCGTCAGCGCGACAGGTTGGCGAAGGGCGTGGCTTGTGGGGTGCCACTCGTGTGCCACGCGGACGGAAGGGGAGCACCACATCGTGGAGCACCACCTGTTCACCGTCGAAAGCGAATGCTCAGGAGTTCATTGCAATGCCATTGTACTGGGAGAATAAAGTACACTGAAAAATTGTTTAGTTATAACAACTACGTTTTTGGTGTCAAATACCAAACAGTCTTATTAAATATGAACCAATCAGGTATATCTGGTTACAAATACCAGACTGCCTAAAAGTGGTAAATTAAAAATGGTAAACCTTATCATGCTGTTAGACCCCCAATCTAGTAAAATCATAGCTAACTCCTAGTACAATTGTTGAGGTATAAAATTACGAGACAAGTCTGATCAACAATTTGCCTGGACATGCGAATTACTGAATTTATGTCCTATTTTTCCGTAACCGTTTACTTGAGTTGGTTTGGAACGGACGGACGTTCCGTACTTGTTCGATACTTTCGAACTATATTCTTCTGTACGTTCCCCGTATAAAAGCACGGAATCTTTTACGGTGGCAATACGACCCGTTGATCTAAATTTTCATTCCTTCTCCTAACTGCTAACCTTCAGCCGCTCCCACGGCTGGATTGATTGGAAACCGCGATTGTCGCACTCTGATGGTCACTTGGAAACCATTCGATATCTATGCACGTTACCGTTGAATTTGCAAAGTTTCAGCCGAAGTGGAAACTAACAAGTGAAAACGTTCTCATGGCAGAGAGTGCTGTTAACTGAAAATTCCTCTCTTTGTCATTGAAAAGCAACTGCCGAACTTTTCAAGCGCTTTGCATTTGCGTTGAAAATATTGGAAACCCAGTCCGCTAGAGGATAGAACAGGAAGTAAACAATTTACACAGCGCGGCGTTCGTGGAAGTAGTGTTTATTTTCGCAGAATGCCTTCCGTGCCGCTGCACTGCCGATTGAGATTCGTAACATCGCTGTCCTTGTCCTTATCATAGCAAGCCTTAAGCCGCGGTCCTTGCCTACCCAGATAGCGGTGTACTGTACAAGTGGGCACACTGAAGTACCCTTCATTAGGGAAGACTATCAAGTCATACACAAATAAAAATCAGTCTAATGAAATTTCAGTTTTATGGCTTAGCCATACAGTAGTTCATTTTGCAATACTTTCTACACAATTTCTTGTGATACTTTAAAAATGAGTTCACTGCTCTGACGGTTCATCGCTTCTGGCTTTTGAATGAGTTTGCGATAATCACCCCTGAAATTTTGTGGTAAATTTTTTGGAAATATTGTTACAGCAAACGTTTGCAATAAAAAATGAAAAATTTTGTAGACTTAAACGTAAAATATTGCAATAAAACACCTTATCACATAAAAGAACGGGTATAAACTCTGATATCAGAGTTTGTGGTTCAGATTGTGGTTCAGAAACTCGAGCTTGCTGCAGGAAACCCAGAAAACATGTTTTCTATGGGTATGTTAGCATCAAAGAGCAACTGTTCGTACCCTGTCAAAAGTGGCTAGTTTGGTGAAATGAGAGAACGGACTGTTTTTTTTCACGGTGAATTCCTGGCAAGCCTGAGCAGGCAGGGCGGCGTCGACTCCACTAGCCTAATTGCAACAAGAGCACACTGACCGGAATCACTGTGTAAATTTACTCTCCCATCCCCTCACTGCGGGGTGGCGCCTTGACGGCCTCGAGCCGAGCGTTCATCAAGGCAGTAAACAGTCGGCATTTTTCGCACACGTGATCAACGAATTCACCGCTAAAAATGTATCGGCGTGACTTCGTGTCGTTTTCAGGGGTGTGATTAAAATGTCCACGCCGACAAATGGACAGTCATTCTCAAAATCGGTGACACAGAAGTCACGCCAGATGTCGGCGTGACTCACTCTACAAACTGGAGTCTGTTCTCAGTTTGCGTCTACAGATGCATACTTGCAAGTACACACCTACAGATGCATACTTGGATGAGTTAGGTATGCATCTGTTAGTGTGTACTCAGTCAAGTATGCATCTGCAGATGTGTACTCAGCTGAGTATGCATCAGTAGATGTGTACTTGCAAGTATTCATCTGTAGACGCATCCTGAGTACACACGTCAGTTTGTAGAGCACCTGCCATGCCGTTTTTCGGAGTGACTCACCTGTCATGCCGTTTTTTCGCGTGACTTTCGCCGATTTTTGCGAGTGAATTTCCTGTCGCGCCGAATTTTAGCGTGACCTTTTGTCACGCTATAATTTGGCTATGTGGTGGACCCAATTTTCAGTGATCCAGCTAAAATTAGAGGTGGGAAATTGACACCACGGGTGATTTATCTCAACCAGTAGCGAGCAAATGAATTTTACGATGGGGGTGACTAATATTTTCCCACATGCAGATGAAATATTTGCAATCGTCCATACAGCTCGGCGTGTGCCTTTTGTGTCGCGCACGCGGACGTATTATGAAAACACTGTTTCATGATGCTTTTGCAGGTTCGGAGAAACTATGTCACAGATGTGGTTCCGCTCAAGAGGGTTCATGACACGTCAGTAGCAGGATGGGGGACTTCGATCACTTCTGCGGCTCCCCGTTCTGGGTAAGACCCGCGAACACCCACTGAGATTCCAAACGCTATGAGTATAGCACGTATTGTGCAATGCTTTGAGATATTGCACCATACGTGCATTGCCGTAGCCATATTGCCCCTTACGTGCAATGCGTCCCGAAATTGCCCTATGCTAATGCATGGGAAGACATTGCAATTCACGTGCAATTCAAAAGCATTGCACGTGCAATGGAAACGTCTTCAAATGCATTGCACCAATTGGCGCTATACTAATAGCGTTTGGATTCTCAGTGCCGCCAGCACTCAGGATTCATTCATCTATTACGTAACGTCTTCTGCCTCTCCCGCACTCATTAGTCCGTAAGGAGCAACAAGGATAGAGCTATTGAAATACGTCACTGTGAACGACCCCCGTGTGGAATGGTTATTGAAAATAAATACTGCAATTCACTGCCTTGATTTATTGATCATGTCCACGATTTTTCAAAGTCTTTTGTGACCGTTTTGATCAACTTTGAGGCAACACTGCTCCCAAACTAAGGCGGATGATCGCACTCCGAATCAAAGGCATGCTTAAGGAGGGGTCGCGTGGGGTCGCTAAATTTTTGGCCACTAACTTGGGGTCGCGAGCTGAAAAAGGTTGAGAACCGCCGCTCTAGAAACCTGTCTCCCTCCATCCACATGCATCATTTTGTTGCTTTGGCAGAACATCACGCGGACATGGGGCGCGGACAACCCCGACTTCACGCCCTGCTTCGAGAGGACGGTGCTGGCGTGGACGCCATGCGTGTTCTTCTGGCTGTTCTCGCCCCTCGAGGTGTACTACATCCTCAGCAGCACCAATGGCGTCGTCCGGTGGAACTGGCTCAACGTTTCCAAGCTGGCAAGTCTCGAATGCCAATAGAGCGTTGTAAAACTCTGGCGTATCATTGCGCCTTTCGTGAATAGTACGTCGTACTTCCCTCTTGAAGCGTGAGGTCTTGTGCTCCTTGACGTATCCCAGTAGAACAGGCGTATCTGTGGAGTGACCGCAAGAAAAGGCGGATCTAGCCCCAAGAAGGGCGGATCTGCTTTTGATACCGCCAAAAAAGGGCGGATCCAACTTTTTGGTCGATTTTTTGAGTGCTATACCAAAATAATCCTTACTTTCTAAAACGTGTTTTTAAGCAAAAATCTCAAAATCGACCAAAAAGTTGGATGCGCCCTTTTTTGCGGTATCAAAAACAGATCCGCCCTTCTTCTTGGGGCTCCTACATGTCCGCCTTTTCTTGCGGTCGCTCCACAGATACGCCTGTTCCTGCTGGGATACGTCTTCCCTTCTTTCTAAAAGCATGAACACCTTATAAATTTTGTATATGGGCTCATCCTGTGTTGAATTCGGCTTAGGCTCTGATCTTTTAACGCTGAGACGCGTTTCTAAGTTTTGTTTGCCGTCCTTCTCCAGCTCCTCACACTCGCCGCCATGGCGGTATCCTTGGTGGACCTCGGACATGCGTCTGCAAACGTCGACAAAGCGTTCTCCGTCGACTTCGTCACACCCATCATCCGAGTGCTGTCTTATGTAAGTATGACGGGTTTTAATTATCTCGATGCTCATTTAGATTCGGAGAGAGGGGCGGAATAGAAAAGATAAATAGTATTATTCAAAATGGTCTGCCAGGCATAGGAATAGCAGTTTGTGCACTTGTGGATATGCACACTAAATGTTTATGTACAATTTTGTACGTGGTGATGCATAATTTTAAACTTGTGTGCCGTCGTGCATAAAATTGTGCGTGAATTTGCATAAATTTGTGCATTTTCATGCATAATATCATGCACATTCCCCGTATGCACAAAATCGTGCAAGTGGCACGTACAAAATCCTACATAAACATTTAGTGTTGGACTTACCCGTTCATCGATTATGCCTATTTGGGGTGATGCAATCTAAATGTCTGACGACGAAGTTTTTCCAAACGAAGGCCTTCTGGAAGTGGCGCATGCAACGCCGTTTTTCTGTGTATCACGAAAATTTTACTTTGTATCTTAAAATGAAAAGCCAGAAAATATTCCTTCCAAGGAGGAATTATGCTTCGTATCATAGTTGCCCTGAATTCACTGTAAGATAGCTGAAATTCCGTTGCAAGATATTTAGTGTGTAGGGATAATGGTTTAGTATCCATCCATCCTGCTGGAGTAAAGACGAACAACAGATCCGTACACGGTAAATCCACCTCCGGGGATTCCCAGGAAAATTGATCAATTCCCAGAAGATGGTTTTACCATGTATCCCTGAGAAGAGGCGTAACCGAGTGGATCTGGCCAACGTTTGATATCTATCCCTCAACGTGGAACTCAAAGCGCCTGCCGGGTAGGCAATTTTGACACATGCACGCACGTGTGGCTTGCGGGCTGGCCTACCCTGGCTCTCACAGGCGCTCGTCACCGCACTGAGGTGCACAGTCTCAAGATTCCACTAAGCCTTTCCTTCGTAATACGATCAAGAAGCCTAGTTTTATGACCAGCACAGTGACGGTGGTAACCTACGGTGAATGGTTCTCATTAACTCATGGATCAGTTTCTTCCGATTACGAACAATTTTCACATTGTTTTATAATCTTGACTATGGTAGATTTTCATCAATAAGTACTAAGAAAAAGCCTAATATTGACTGCACGGCGCATCTCCGTAGGGAATTGAGATTGCTCACAGAGACCTATTGGCGGCAAAACGTGGGGCGAAACTGATTTGCGGGCAGATACTGACAGACATGCCGGCTTAGTCGAAACCGTGTCGCATCTTGCCGCTCATGACATGACCCCTTCGCAGTCCTCGCCATACATGAATGAACCTAGTTAAGCGTTTAGAGCACACTCAAGGGGCAAGCTATTTGCTTCATTGAGCAAATTTATTCATTTTATTCCTATTTACTGTTAAATTACTTATTTACTTAATTCTTTAACTGTATTCAAGATTCCGTAAGGATATTGTGAACACGCCACGGTGCAAACGCACACTGCCGGCTCTTTGAAAAAAGGAACTTCGAATTCTTACATGGATGAAACGGTGAGGAAACACCTCTATTCTTTCATCGGTGAAATGGCTTCACCTTGCTTGTGCTGTATCTGCATCACAACATCGATTCGGGCTGGGGGGCTGGCATTGGATGAGCGGAGTTCATTTCTTGCACCGAATAACGCACGTCTTCATACGAGCTGGTCTATTGATTTATGATTATTGTGGGCAGCATCACTTGGTTAAAAGAGGTCACGGACACGGGACGTTGCGGGATGGTCAAAATGAACCTGCCTACTATCGACCCCTTCCAGGCCCTGCGGCATGCGTGGTCAGCACTGACATTCCAAACGCTACGAGTATAGCACGTATGGTGCAATGCAGCTGAGATATCGCACCTTACGTGCAATGCCATAGCCATATTGCATCTTACGTGCAATGCGTCCCAACAATGCCCTATGCTAATGCATGGGAATGGGAGGCATGGCACTTCATGTGCAATGCTTTTGGATTGCACCAATTGACGCTATACTCATAGCGTTTGGATTCTCGGTGAGTCCGAAACAAGAAGAATGTGAGGCACGCACGTCATGTCTCACTCCATGTAGAATACTGGAAAACTGAAAAACAAATTGAGACCATAAGCAGGGCACACATTGTAACTTATGGTTGTGGTACAGAAAATCGGATGGGAAAGTAAAATAATTTTCGTTACCGATTACAAAGTTTCCAGGCTAAAGCGTGTTGTTGTTTTGTTTGTATAGTTCTTCATGGTGACAAAGTTTTCTTTCTCTGGAATGGTAAAACAATCTCGTGGTTCGGCTTTGTCTTCTAGGCCTGGGCTGCGTTCCTCCTCTACTGGAACCGCTGCAGGGGGTTGAGGACGTCCGGGCTCCTGACCATCTTCTGGTTCCTGTCGGCGCTCTTCACCATCGCCGAGTTTCGCACCGAACTCACTGCCGAGAAGTATGAGGTAAACGGTTCGTGTGTTGTGTTTGGCACTGACGCGCCCCTTAGGGCCCCTCTTAAGAAGTACTTTTAATTTTTGACAAGAGCAGACTCCTTTTCTGCTTTCAATTTCATATCCAAGACGTTTTGTTGATGTTTGGTAGCGCGCGGAGGCAGACCGCGGCCGGCTGCAGTTCTACACGACGATGGTGCTGTTCCCCGTCATGCTCCTCACCTTCCTCCTCAACTGCTTCGTGGACCAGGAGCCCACCTCGTCGCCCTTCGCCAAGCTGGAGGTGGTCTCGCCGTTCCCTGCTCTTCAAATTCAAGAGTTTACACTATTATTAAACGGATGTGACTCCATATTCACGTTCAAAATCTAACGAAGTATTTTGAGCATGCGTATTATGAATTAGTGAAGTTTATTTACGAAGAAATAGTTCGTAAATTACGAAGTATTTTCTTTGTAAGCTTCACTTTGTTATGAAGCTACGTTACTTCGTAAGGCTGAAATAGTTCTTTAAGTTCTGAGAGTGTTCTTAAGCATGTGAATTTCGTTACCTGTGTTTGAATATGGCGTCACATTCGTCCGTATAGTGGTCCACGTTCAAAAAAAATGTGACGTTCTGAAACGGCCGTATCACGTACACACACCAATGTGACATCATATTCCATTGAACGTGATCAAATTCACATTCTATCGAACATGACGTCACATTCGTTGAGTAACAGTGTGCACTATACAAGTCTCATGGTGAAGGTAGTGCATATTTTGGTGAATATTACGTGATGGCTTTGAAACGTTTACCTTTGAAAACTCATCGTAAGTACGTACCTTAAAGGCATTTTGTCGAAAATCTCCACCATAGTATGTCGGTGCAGGCTAAGATATTCAGAGTGTACATGGCGTCAGATGATCTGACTGACGAAATTTCTGATTACAAACGGTGCACTTGTTTTTGAAGTATTCAAGACCTCCTGCCCTCCCCTCCTCCTACCTAAAAGCATGCGCGACTTGAAGCTGACTCGCTCGCTCTTCCAGGACCGCTGCCCCGAGTTCGACTCGTCCTTCATGGGCAAGCTGTTCTTCACGTGGTACGACAAGATGGCGTGGCGGGGCTTCCGCACCACGCTCGAGCAGAAGGACATGTGGGACCTGAACCCGCCGGACACGTCCAAGGGCGTGGTGCCGCTCTTCTACAAGCACTGGGACAAGCAGAAGAGGAAGGCTGAAGCGTGAGTTTCTGGGCCTATTGTCATTTTACGTACACTCCCAAGATCCTTTTCTGGGTCTATTGTCATTTTACGTACACTCCCAAGATCCTTTTCTTTGAAATACGAACTGAAAGCGTAGCGCAGTGAAGAGTTCTCAGTAACTCACGACTAGTTTCTTCGTGTTACGAAACAAATGTCTCTGTATTGACAGATTTGTATCGTAAAAGACTGAGAATTGGCTTAGTATTATGACTGCACGGCATTTCTCAGTAGAAAATTGGAAGTGAATGGTGCAGGCATTGAGACACCGCATCTTACGCACAATGCCATGGCTACATCGACATCGAATCCACCCACCCCTCAGCAAAACACGTGTTCAGTGGAAAAATTTATTGTCACCACGTGGCAAAACATTGGATGTCATTTTCATCGCTTTCAAATGATGATGATTTCGTCACAAATTACCGACATTTTTATCAAAGCTCCTTACTTGTTGCATGAGTGTGACAACTTCTTAATCCACTGGTTTGATGACATTCCATGACATTCTTGAAAGGAAAATGATCCACGAAGTGACAACCAGAATTATCGCAGTGCATCAGTCGGTTTACGTCGAGGGGGTAAACACTCCTGTAATACCATGTACAAAAAACCCGTGTTATACGCTTATTACACGTAATTGTACTACCATTTTTGAGCCAAATATGCCAAATTTTGGCATTTTAATGCCGTAATACACGTGTAATAACCCCGTAATGCAGCGTAATACCGAGTACCCTGCACCCTTGCAAATTGGAAAATATATGGGCACTACATGGACAAAATATATGGTCCAACATGTATTGACGACATATGTGGAAAAGATAATTTAGCAAGATACTTTTCCGATATAGAAAATATGTGGCAAATATATAAATTTCATACATTGCTCTATATATGTAGGCAATATATAATGTGAATACACCATGGAGTCTGACGACGCAGAGACTTCCTTTACTGTTAGAATAGAATGTAAACTTCGCCTTGCGAGGACATCCAATAGTGATCCTACCGTGGTCTTTCGCGCTACACCCAAAAAAGACGTTTAAAATTTCCGAACTGTTCCAGTTAACTTGTTAAACAGGATTTCTCGAAATTTCTTGGAGACTTAAACGCATAGAAAAGAACCTTGCCCCTGCTCAATATGTGGCGTCAATATATTTTACAAGATAACATCATGTTGAGAAATATATCCGCCTTTCAACATCGAGTGCCAAGATTTTCCGAACAGTTACATAAAAAGTCTGCCCTCCTCACCCTGCCCCATCCCACGGCGGGCACGGTGTCCGATATTGAAACATACATTTCGCGAAGATAATATTATATTGGAAAATATATGCATCATGTATTAACGGGCACCAAGATATACCCCCATATATAAACAACCACGTAGGGCGCAAGATAATTTGCAATATATTGGGCAAGATACAATTATATTGACAATGCATGAAACATATATGGGGTCATATATTGACATATATTTTCCATATATTTTCCATTTTGCAAGGGCACACGATTTCTCGGAGTGTTTACCCCCTCCGTTTACGTAATGATCGTTGTCAGGGAGGCGTTCCGCACGGGGAAGCCCAGGAAGAACGTGTCCGTGCTGCCCGCCTTGTTCCGCTGCTTCGGAGGGCCCTTCGCCTTCGCCTCCGCCATGGAGCTGGTGGGAGACCTGCTCGTCTTCGTCAGCCCGCAGATCCTCAAGTAAGCTCGGTTTTGTTCTGCTGTTTCAGTGAGCGACGACTAGAATTGCCCAATATTGGAACTCTCTTGGAGTATGACGAAGACTTTTAATGGACTATTCTAGTCGAGGCTGAGTGAAGAACATGAAGAATCACAAAAGACAACTTTCTAGCACTTTTAATTTAAATATTTAAGACTCTTTGCTTGGTAGAAGTTCGTGAGAATAATTTACAGTAGATACAACATATTTTCAGTGAACATATGCACTCTAAATGCCCTAAATGAGTCTTTTGTGATTCTTCTTGTTCTTTACTCGGCCACGACTAGAATGGTCTATTATTTGACTTCCAAGTGGAAATTTAATCCCGGTTCGCAACACGCAGGCGGCTCATGGCCTTCACCGCCAACGAGATGGAGCCCATGTGGAAGGGGCTGCTGTACGCCGTGGCCATGCTCGTCACGGCCTTGCTGCAGACCCTGCTGCTGTCGCAGTTCAACGTCCGCATGTTCATCGTGGGCATGAGGGTGCGCACCGCCCTGGTGTCGGCCATCTACCGCAAGGTACACTACAAAACCTCCCCAGCACACTTTGCAAATGCATTCTTTCAAGTGTGCACTCGAACTCCCTTACATACTTGGCCATCTATTACACTTACAACTGCATAGTACTTGACCAAGAACACCCTTACAACTGCATCTTGGCTACGTAACTCCATGCTACGCATGCTCTTGCAAGTGCTTACTTGGCCATGCATCTGTAAGCGTGTATACTTGCAGGTATGCATTTGTACGTGTATATACTTAGAAGTTACTGGGTTTGTTGTGTGGAGGACAGCTCCTGGTCCGATACCTGCTGTCGATTGGTTCATCTACCTTCGGTCCCTCAACCTTCGCTGTTAAGATATAAATTGGAAAGTCCTGAAGATCGTCAAAGTTCCTTCGTGAATTCCCATGTGCTTGTGTTTTCCTCTAAGAAGGCCAAATTCACTTGTGAATTTGGCAGGTATCTTTTAACATACCTGCCGGAAAGTTATACAAAGTCAAGGCGGAATTTTTGGAATTTCCCAAAGGCCGCGGGAAATACAGTATTTTCGCTATCACAGTTCTTCCGGTCTTTCCAAGGTTTCAACAGCGCTTTTCCTGCGGTGGATCTTGTTGGCAGTCGCTGAGCATGTCCAACGTGGCGCGCAAGGACAAGACGGTGGGCGAGATCGTGACGCTCATGTCGGTGGACGCGCAGCGGTTCCTGGAGCTGGGCACGATGCTGCCCCTGCTGTGGTCGTCGCCCATCCAGATCATCTTGTCGCTGTACTTCCTTTGGGACCTGCTCGGTGAGTGGTGCCATGAGATGATTACTCATTATTATCTCGTGGAAGGATGCTTACTAATTATCTCATGGGAGAATAATTACTAAATTCTCATTATCTCATGGGAGGATTTACTGATTACTAGTTATTATCTCATGTGGGGATAGTTTCTGATTATCTCATATGGATGGATAGGCGTAGTTACTGATTAACTTATGGAATTATAATTATTACTTACTATCTTATGGAAAGATAGATACTTTAGCTGGTGGTACGCTGAAGTATACACGAGTCGAGTGGTCCTGGATTGCGACTGGAGCTTCACCGCATGAGGGACGGTGAGTGCCTCACTCACCGGTTTCGTTGAATTTGATCTCCAGGCATCGCCGTGCTGGCGGGGCTGGCCTCCATGATACTCCTCATCTTGGTCAACGGCTTCATCGTCTCCAAGATGGAGGTGTTGCAGGCCAGCCAGCTGAAGAACAAGGACCAGCGTGCCAAACTAATGAACGAGGTACACTGGGAGAAAATTGAAAGTGAATCTTGTGATAAGTCAACAGCATGCTTCCACTGTGGAAATTGGTTGCTACCTAATGGGAAAAAAACGCGGATTGACATTTTCATCACTTGAAAATGACGACGATGTCGTCACAAGTTGATTACATTTCCATCAAACCTCCCACCTTTATCTCATCAAAAGTTTTGAGGACTTTTTTTGTAAGGAGCATTTACCTTGAATTTGTCATCAAGTGACGACCAAAATTGTCATAGTGTTACTGTATTTTGAGAACAATATCACATAGGCTTCCTCATTGTGCTGTGAAGATTCATTATTGTCACAGTCAAAAAACGGTGCTGACTGAGGGCTGCGACGTTGAAAGAGTTATTGAGAAGAGTATGAATATGTGAGCTTTGCGTTCTTTGCAGATCTTAAGCGGCATCAAAGTGCTGAAGCTGTACGCGTGGGAGCCGCCCTTCGGTGACAGAATCCAGCACATCCGCCTGAAGGAAATGGACGACTTCAAGAAGTCAACGTTCTTGCAGGCGGGGATTAATACCGCCTACACCATGGCGCCCTTCTTGGTGAGCTCTCGATTTTCCAGAGCAAGGGAGCTGGGGCAGTAAATGGCTCTTTTTTCCGTCCAGTGTTTGAGTCTGGAACAATAAGTCCGCTTCAGCTCAAATCATTTCCCCACGAGAATAGTTTCATGAGCTGGCAACAGCTCGTGGCAATTGCTCAAAACTTGTTATTGCACATCCAGTTCACAATATTGAAGCGCGGCGTTATACTAGTCAACAAATGCAGTCTCAGGAACCTGAGTGGTGGGTGCTGGAGAAAATTTTTTGGCTTTCGTAATCGAAATTCTTCTCAAAATTTACCACTTTTCGAAAATTATCTGTAACAAACAAATCTAGTTTGCATCGTGATAACGAACTCTTCCGTGCAAATTATCAGACTGTCTTCTGTCTTAAGCTCTAGCTCTCATTTGCACTGTTTCTTTTCGACCTACGTGCTGTAGGGCGAAAAAAGAAAGTCATGGACGCGGAAAACGGCTCGGCGCTGTCCCTCTTAAATCATGCCTTCAACTTTCAAAAAAACCCTTCGTCATCATGGTCTCGGGGCAGGCCAGAGTGTCCATCAACCGCCTGGTCGAAATTATGGTGCCACGCATCGACACAGCCAAGTTTTTAACCGGACGCAAGTAAAATCATGAAAAAGCATGAAATTGCCCATAAATGACCTGGAAGGGAAATGGCAGAAAATATTGAAACTTCTTCAACTTAAGATGGAACAAACATTTTTTTGGCCAAATAAAAACCCAGGGTCATTAGGGAATTTCATCTTTTTAGACATTTACCGATTGGTAAAAAGAAAAATTGGTAAATCGTTGCGCAGTGAAACATTAATTGTAGATCCATTTTTGCATAGAACACAAAACTCCTAATAATGCAAAAAATGCTTTTTTTTGTGAACTTAAAACTTTTTCTTTAATGGTCCGCCGTTTGCCCGACATTCAATTTCTATATATCTAACAGGACTTGGTTCAAATCGTAAAAGCACGGACAAACGCTACTGCCCCTAAATCGAACCTTTCAGGTGAACTCTGTTTTTAGCGACGTACGATGCTTTTTGGACGGAACACGTGAGCGAGAACGGCCTTCTGGCTTCCCTCTTCAACATGCGCTTCCGTGCACCATGCTCCCTTCGTCATCATGGTTGTGCCCAAGTGTCCATCACCCCTCAACGAGTCGACGCCGACGACATGACCCAACTGCGTACCTAAAGCCCGGGGCGGCAAGTAGACTCGAGCCCTGGAAAGGCGGGTGAATGTGGAATGGAAGATCATCGAGGCTTGTAAATACTGTGAACTCAAAGGTCCTTGCAACAAAAATGGTGGCAACCAAAACGGTGAGAAAGAACAACGAGGATCGAAGAAAGTAAATACATTGAGGGTTCTGATTAAAAAAAATATTGGTAAGAATTTTTTTTTGTAGTTTTGTTGTAGTCTTTTCTAGCAGCCCTGAAAAACTATTAAGTGCTCTATTTGTGTACTCAGTACACACTTTCAGAGTGTGCAGCATGTATTGTACAAAATTTCAATCTCCAATGGCATCACCTACGCCTTTTAAGGGGGCTCATACATGTTAAGAGCACTTTGTAAAAAAAAAAAGATTTCACACTTTCTGTGTTAAAATCCTTTTAGATAATTAAGTAAGCTTTATTTTGGCTCAAAGTAAAGTGACTTTGGACATTTTCTGGAAATTAAGGGGGCACACCAGTGAAAATCGTCAAATTTTTGCCTTCTTTTTTATTTTATCTTATTTTTCTGCTATTCATCCCGAGTCGAATGCCGAAGCAAAATTTTTTACGTTTCGACTTAATGTCCAAAGTCACTTTACTTTAAGCCAAAATGAAGCTTACTCAATTATCTAAAAGTGTTTTAACACAGAAATTGTAAAATCTTGATCCGTCTACATCAATTTTTTTTTACAAAGTGCTTTTAACATGTATGAGCCCTCTTAAAGGGGTGAACGACTGTTGAGCCCTTGAGGACGTACATTTGATGACTTATTTAAACCAGTGTTGTCATAGTGAAACGCCCTGGCTTGGCTGCAGGTTCGGAGGACGCGCTGTCCGTGGAGAACGCGTCCTTCTCGTGGCGCCACGGCGAGCCCCCCGTGCTGTCCAACATCAACCTGCGCGTGGGCCGGGGCCGCCTGGTGGCCGTGGTGGGCACGGTGGGCGCCGGCAAGTCGTCGCTCGTCTCCGCCTTGCTGGGCGAGATGCAGAAGCAGTCCGGACGCGTCAACTCGGTGGTGAGCCTATCTACTTCAGGATAACGAGGCTCATCACAATTTTTGGCAGATGATACCTTTCATACCTTTACTTTAAAACAGACCTAAAACTACAAGACACATAAAGGTGTCAGCTAGTTTTGCATGACAACTAAAAATCTGCAATAAAAAAACATAAACTAATTTTTGCAATAAAGCGTCACTTTTTTGCGATAATGCCTACACTGTTAAAACTAAAGCGTCGTACACCCCCTGTTTTCAAGCGTAATCAGTTTACGCTTGAAACCAAGCGTAACAGGCCTGCCGAGGCCTGCTATAATCTTCTAAGATTTCACCTATCTAAATGCATAGGGGACTTCCTAGTCTACGCTTCATGTCGAGCGTAACTTTGTGCTAGACTCATAAGAATAGAGCTGCGCTTCAGTTTTACCAGTGTATAAGGGAAATGCAATGAAAAGCTATGCTGTAAAAAAATCCTCCGTACCTCAGTACGGCAATGTCCACACAAATGTTACATGATGTGTATCCTAGCGGATCTTTCTCCTCTTGGTGTGCAGGGCTCCGTGGCGTACGTACCGCAGCAGGCCTGGATCCAGAACGCCAAGCTCAGGGACAACATCCTGTTCTGCAAGGACTACGACGCTCGGCACTACAACAAGGTGATAGAGGCCTGCGCCCTCAAGTCCGACCTCGCCATGCTGCCGGGCGGGGACCAGACGGAGATCGGCGAGAAGGTGCGTGGACGCGGTAAAAAATCATCCCCTGGGAGGAATATCAGTCAGTTCACAGGCAAATCGCAAAAGTTGCCTTCCTACAGGTGCAATATGGGAATGTTTGCCTACCTTCCAGGCGGCTTCGACGCGTTCAAGGGAAGAAAGGGCACCCCCTTCCCCCTCTGAATCCACGCCGACGGAAATTTCACTTTCATTAGCTTGAAAATCTCCTTTTATGCGTCACATGAATTCTGGAAATTCTGAGTACAAACGTTCACATTTTGAAAAAAAAGTCTGTAATTTTACCTTTAAAAGTGATTTACGGAGGTTGGCGTTGCGCTGGGAGTTCGATGCTGACTGGTGCACCTGCTGCAGGGCATCAACCTGAGCGGCGGCCAGAAGCAGCGCGTGTCGCTGGCCCGCGCCGTGTACTGCGACGCCGACGTGTACCTGCTGGACGACCCGCTGAGCGCCGTGGACAGCCACGTCGGCAAGCACATCTTCGAGCAGGTCATCGGGCCGGCCGGCATGCTCGCCAACAAGGTGAGGATACCAAGTGAGGCACTGTGGCGCAGTGGGCCAGAAGACCGGTGGAAGCGCCCAAAACTCTAGACGCGTTTTGAGCACCAGACATGCTACATGAGAGCAGGCGCACACTCATTCCAGGAACGTGACAACACGTTGAAACGAAAAAATCCCTATGATTTTAAAGAGACGGTCCCTTTCCGAAGGGGCCAAGCCCTATCCGAGAAAGGGCTTGGCCCTGGCTAAGCCCTATCTGCCATAGGGCCGGGCCCTATCAAGTTCGTTTGACCTAACGAAATCATTTGAATGTGAACAATCTAATTTTTGGCCGATTCACATCCTAACGAATGTGACACAACGCTCAAACGAACGTGACATTTTGTCACGTTCATTTCAACGTAATGTCACGATCCTGGAATGAGAGTGCATGGAGCTCTTCACCCTAAGTTTAACGATGCAAGTGCACTCTAAATGTCTTACAATGAAATTATTTGACCCATGTTATTCGTATGTTACAGTGAATTCGGCGCAAGCATAATACGAAGCACTGTTTGTTCGTAATACGAATCTTTTAAGCTTTTTCATTGTAAGATACAAAGAAAAAACCTTCGTAATACGAAGAAAAACCACGTGCGTTTTATACCTGCGCCATTCCCTTCGTGCACACTAAATGTTTTTGTACAAATTTTGTACGAGACATCACAGTTTTTTGTGCACACGAACTTTCCGTACAAATTTGTACAAAATTTTGCACAAAATGGGGAATTTTGTGCAGTTTTTCGTACGAAAATTGTTCAAACAGTTCGTGCGCACAAAAAACTGTGATGTCCCGTACAAAATTGTACATAACATTTAGTGTGTATTTTAGGAAATTTCTTCGAAAGACATTTTTAGAGTGTGGGCGGGGTTTGCAGACTCGGGTGCTGGTGACGCACGGCATCTCGTTCCTGCCGCGCGTGGACAGCATCGTGGTGCTCAAGGACGGCACCGTCAGCGAGGAGGGCACGTACCAGGAACTCATGCAGCGCAAGGGCGCCTTCGCCGAGTTCCTGCTGCAGCACCTGCAGGCCGAGGAGGGCGACGACGTGGTGGAGGGTGAGTAAGGTGCCGGAGGAGGGACTGGGGACTTACCCCCCCCCCATAGGGTACTTTCGTAGATCCCTGAACCGGAAGCACACAGACGCCATGTTGGCGGAAGTAGATCCAAACTTGACATGGGAAAGAGACGTTCGCCAAAGGTATCGGCCACACTTGAACATAAACAGTCGTTTGATACTTGTTTGCAGTGCATATGTGTTTCGCGAGCAATATTTGTACAGCTCGGCTATAGTTTTGGATCCGAAGAGAGGTTAGTTTCCGGCCAATTTGGCGTCTGCTGGTCTGCTTGCTTCCGGTTCAGGATTCTACGAAAGTACCCTTTTCGATGCGTCCTAATAGAATAATCCTAACTGCCAGGGTAGATCCAAGACAATCCTAACTGTCAGAGCAGATCCAAGACAATCCTAACTTTTCGTGTCAATTCAGAACTATCGTAACTGCACATCACGTGAAAAGCGGTGTTTTTTCAAAGTCCGTGACGCCAACATACTTCTTAAAATTACTCGCCGAAATATAAAAACGTGGACATTTTATTTCAGATAGATCAAGATTCTCCGATTTGCTGTGAAGTTCCTACACGAGCACTCTTAGGTACCTCTGCACTGCAGTTACAATAGTTCTAAATCGGCACTGAAAGTTAGAATTGTCTTGGATCTGCTCTAACAGTTAGGATTATTCTATTAGAACGCGTCGAATTGCTTTTTAACACTGTGGCAAAAAGCTGCGAAAAATTCTATTTATTTTATTTTTGCCAAGATTCTCCTTAGCCCTCTTGTCAATACTCTTCGTCGGACCTCACAGTTTTCTCCGGAGGACTGCACAGTCTTTTCCGTAGGACCTAACAGTTTTCTGCAAGACCGTAATTCCTACGGAGAACACTGGGTCGTACACGAATGTATCACCGGAAAGAAGGTCGTACACAAATGTATCACCGAATAAAAGATCGTACACAAATGTTTCACCGAGAAAAGGGTGATACTTCTCCAGGAATACGAGGGCCAATGTCGATGATGTCTGACCTTCTTTTCGGCGATTCATTTGTGTACGACCATTTTTTCGGTGATACATTCGTGTACGACCATTTTTTCGGTGATACATTCGTGTACGACCTTTTTTTCGGTGATACATTGCGTATCGCCGAAAATTGAAAACCCTTTGAATTACAGTGTAAAATGTGACACGCCGGTTTGGCCCCTTTCTGCTGCAGACCTGGAGGAGATCAAGGCGCACTTGGAGAAGGCCGTGGGCAAGGACGAGCTGCAGCGCCAAATTTCGCAAGTGTCGCTCACCGGCAGCGACGGCGTCCGATCGCGGAAAGGCTCGGCGGTCGGCTCCCTCAAGCGGTAACACGCTCAATGTTGTTGTTCAATTTTGCACGTGATGATGCATAACTTTAAACCTGTGGTGTGACGTTTTGCATAAAATTGTGCTTAAGGGGGCAGTCTCGTCCCTGTACCCTTTTTTAGGGGGTTTTCCCCCCTCTTTTGATGACGATGATTTTTTAAATATATCTCTTAGAGACAAACGGTAAAAACCAAATGAAAGAACGGAATTTTTACAACATTTTCAAAAAAAAAATATTTTGTTTTGTCTTCAGTAGTAAGGGAGTTATAGGGAATGCAACAAAAGCCGACAAAACATACAAAATTTCACTGCGCGACAATTTTCTCCGGAAGTTCTTAACCTTTTGGCAATCGGTTTGCGGCATCTTGAAGATGAAAAAATCCTCTTTACTTTAACCTACAATCGTCCATATAGCCCAAGGATTACACTTTTTAAAACGTAACCAAAAACCTATACAAACTTAGGAACGGTTTTAATTTAGGTTTCCCTTGGGCTACATGGACGATTGTAGGTTAAAGTAAAGAGGATTTTTTCATCTTCAAGATGCCGCAAACCGTGCCAAAAAGTTAAGAACTTCCGGAGAAAATTGTCGCGCAGTGAAATTTTGTATGTTTTGTCGGCTTTTGTTGCATTCCCTATAACTCCCTTACTACTGAAGACAAAACAAAATATTTTTTTTTGAAAATGTTGTAAAAATTCCGTTCTTTCATTTGGTTTTTACCGTTTGTCTCTAAGAGGTATATTTAAAAAATCATCGTCATCAAAAGAGGGGGGGGAAACCCCCCTAAAAAAGGGTACAGGGACGAGACTGCCCCCTTAAACTTGGATAAATTTATGCATTTGTATTCGTAATATTATGTAAGTTCATATGCACAAATCAAGTTACAATTGCAAGTTCAACAAACAAAGTTCTGCATTAAAATTTAGTGTTTATCATCGACGTATCGACATAACTTGCTCGTCATTTTCACAGCAAAAATCTGTTTCGTTGCAAAAAAATCTTCGGGAAACGATGGTACTTGTGGAAAATATGTTGCTGAATGGAGTTTCGTAAATTTACGAAAGCCCGTGGTAATGGCGCTTCTTCGTAAATCTTGGAACATTCAGCTTAAATTCTTGGAAATTCTTTGCAAGTTTACGATCATGTCTTTCGGAACTTTACGAAGATGTCACAAAGAATATTCGTAAATTCCCAATTTGGACACTGAGAATAAAATAGTAATGATCAATACCCAATTTTGGGCGAGGCATACTTTATCACCCAAATTTGGGCGAGGAACCAATCCTCGCCCAAATTTGGGCAAGGAAGGCTTCCTCGCCGAAAATTGGGTGAGGAAGGGTGTCTCAGCTACCTATATGGCTCCATAGTATTATGACCCAACTGTGGGTAAGGACCAGCTACCTATGGCTCCATAGTATTATGACCCAACTTTGGGTAAGGAAACCTTCCTCATCCAAATTGGGCGAGGAAACCTTCCTCACCCAAATTTGGGCAATAAAGAATTAATTCCTCGCTCAAAATTTTAGTCCTGATTATGACTCTTGACTCTTTCATTCTCAGTGGAGTGTTGTATGAACAGATTCTCATGAAATGGCGAATCCTCAAAGAGCGTGTTTGTGGGATCGCAGTGCTGGGTCCGCGCGGTCGCGACGCCGTTCCAGCGCCACCAAGGAGGAGCCCCCGAAGGCCGTGGCCGAGGTGCCCGGCGAGAAGCTGACGGACGAGGAGACGATGGCGGTGGGCAGCGTCAAGCTCAAGGTGTACGTGCACTACATCCGGAGCATCCGGCTCATCATGGTGTTCCTCACCATCCTCTTCAACATCGTCTTCCAGGTATTGCTTTTTCCCGCCAGGTCTGCTGACAAGTATCACATGCCGTGTGCACTTTCACACTCTCAGTCAACGAATGTGACGTCATATTCGTCAGAATATTCATATTGTGACCATAGTCACTCACCAACATTCAAGAGTGTAACATCATGTTCAAACGAAGCTTCGTTTGAACATCAGTCACACGTGCATGCAACAGCGGTGGACAGGGGGGGGTGTCAGGGGGGTCAAAAACGCATTACTTGCTTTGGGCAAAAGAGGCAGCCCCTGGAAGGGAGGCAAATCGCGGTTTTTATTTACCCAGTAAGAAGGTTAAAAAGAAATGGGCCTGAAATAATTTTTCCATTTCAAATTTTCCCACGCACGCCACTGGGTTGAACATTTCTTCGTACACTTTCGACCATTCACATGTACACTAAATCTTTCATTTTATGCATAGTTACGAGGCGCCCATTCTGCGAAGTAAATGAAGCAAGCATAAAACGAACGTAGTTTTTTCATATTACGAAGGTTAATACGAAGGTTAATACGAAGGAAATGGAGCAGGCATAAAACGAACGTAATTTTTTTCATATTACGAAGGTTTTTATTTATATCTTACTATGCACGTACGAAACAAGATCGTGGTATCGAGACAAATTGCTTCGTACTATCTTGCGCCGAATTCACATCACACTAAATTCTTTTGGACTTTTTGTGCATAGTTATGCATGCGCAGAAACGTCCATATGTTATGCACTAAAATATGCATCACTGTGTACATTTTATGCAGGAAGATGCATAAAATGTACACAGTGATGCATAATTTTATACATACCTTATGGACGTTTCTGCGCATGCATAACGATGCATAAAAATGCATCATTATGCATTTAAAAAGTCCATTAGAATTTAGTGTGTGCAGTAGCTCAGATCTCATTGTCAGACATTTTAGGGCTGTTTTATGACGTTTTGCCTTCCACCCACCTCAGGGCCTCACCGTCGGTTCCAGCGAGTGGGTCAACACTTGGACCAGCGACCCGGTCATGCTCAACGCTTCGAATCCAGGCTTCGACGACAGTCGGGACAAGTACTTGGGGGTGTACGCCGCGTTCGGCATCGGGCAAGGTACCGTGCACTTAGTTACCTTACCTGTATTGCGGTTAAGTTCTGTCGAAGACTTTTCTTTGTCACTGCAAATAGAACGGAGGTTTTTGCAGACTGCATACGAATTATTTCGTAATTTAAGATTTAGTTCGAAATGCACAGGAAAGCGAAGAACTGCTTCCAGCCTTCGAGTTCACCAAGTTTACCTACAATTTTTTACGTGGTGATGCATGCACCTGTGTAACGTTCTGGAAAAATTGTGCTCAAATTTGAACAAGTTCATGCATTTTTACGTATAATTAGATGCGAATTTCTCCTCCCGACATGTGGTTGAAAGTCTTTGTCAAAATTAACTTATGGTAATTTTTTTGAGCCAAATCAAAGGGCATAGGTGACAAGTTGACATCACTTAAGACTGTCGACTACCAAACCGTGAGCGCAACAAATAGCCAATTTGGAGGTGTGCTCCTTCGATATGGATATACTCTTTTTTTTTAAGAGCACCTCTTTCTAAGGTTTGAGTGCACTAGTCACCGTGATGAGTACCAGACCTTTAAAATGTGCTTCATTTCCAGTCGTGTTCAGCATGTTGAGCTCGTTTGTGTTCGCCCTGGGCTGCATCGAGTCCTCCATGGCCCTGCACAACCGCATGTTCAACCGCACCATGAAGTGCCCCATGTCCTTCTTCGACATGACGCCCATGGGCCGCATCCTGAACCGCTTCACCAAGGACATCGACAGCGTGGACAACGTGCTGCCCCTGTTCATAAACCAGTTCCTCTATTTGGCTTTCATGGTGCGTTCCTCATTTCCTTGGACATCTTTGTGATATTTAGTAATTTCGCAACTGCCCCAAATATTCGAGAGATTTTTTTAAAAATTCTGAGTTTAAATTGAATGTTTCTCACGATTTGAGATAGTGATAATCATCATAAAAAAGTCCAGGAATATTGGCAGGTTCACTCATACTTCGAAACCTTGAAAAAATCAAACATAGTTGCTGGACATTGGACGATTTGTTGTTCCACTTGGCCTATCCCAGACCACTCTGAACCGATGTCAATCATTTTTTAGAGCCATTTTCAAGGAAATCTAATTTACAATAATATCATCGAAGGACGTTGATGAAAATGTTATTACTTCTCTGGGCAACTGCCTGCTTTGATGACTCATGAAACTCTGACAAAAATTCAGAAATCATTTTGTGTTCTCATTCTGATTTTTGACCGCCTATGACACTGATCGACTCGTGAAATTCTGACGAAAATGTCAGTAATCAATTTGTAATCTCATGCTGATTTTTAACAGTGCCTGTGACAGAGACAAATGTCATAATATTCGAACGAAAATGTCGGAATAAATCTTGTATTCTCATGCTGATTTTTGGCAGTGCCTGTCCACCATCGTGGTCATATCGTACAGCACGCCGCTCTTCATCGCCGTCGTGGTGCCGCTGGGCGTCGTCTACTTCCTGGTGCAGCGCTTCTACGTGTCCACGTCCCGGCAGCTCAAGCGCCTGGACGCCGTGTCGCGCTCGCCCATCTTCTCGCACTTCAGCGAAACGCTCACAGGTCCGTCCTTATTGTCACGCTGCAACAAAAAAAAAAAAAGTAGTTCGCACTCATGAAATTAGAGTTATTGTTACTGTGAATTTGGGGCAAGCATAATACGAAGCAACATTGCTTTGTAATACGAGTCTTTTTAGCGTAAAATACCCAGTAAAACCTTCGTAATGCGGAGAGAAACCACCTTCGTATTATGTTGGCGCGATTTCCTCTGTATTGGGAAATTTCTTCGAAAGACATTAAGAGTGTGGTACGGAAAATTGTATTTAAAGTATGGTGCGGAAAAGGTACGGACCTTCTGTTTTCGTTCTCCGTCGTGCTCTTAGGGATCTCATGTGAACTGGAAAGGAAAACATGCAACCTCCGTTTTTGCAAGGCATGTCGATGTGAACATTTGACCAGACATATGGCAGGAAGACACGGATAAAGTACGAGACAAGTCTCGCCAAAATTTGCCTGCACTCTAAATGTCTTACGAAGAAATAGCCCATAATGCGAAGGAAATGGCGCAAGCATACTACTAAGGTGGTTTTTCTTCGTATTACTTAGTTTTGTATCGAACAATGAAAAAGCTAAAAAGATTCGTATTACGAAGGAATATTTCATCGTATTATATTTGCGCTGAATCCACTGTAACATACGAATAACATAGGTGAAATTTCATTGTAAGACATTTAGAGTGTGGGTGGTCTGTGTACCTTATGCTTAAAACCTTACGAAGGATTTAGAGCATATGTACGGACCTCACATATGCTCAAAATACTTGGCAAGGTTTCTTCAAGCGTGCGCGACAACAACATAAAAGTTGTTCTCCAGTCTGAGGCTTGACTTGGTGCAGGTTCGTCGTCCATCCGCGCTTACGGTGTGGTGGACCGCTTCATCGAGGAGGCCGAGCAGCGCATCGACACCAACCAGAAGTGCTACTTCCCGGTGGCCATCGCCACGCGCTGGCTGGCCGTGCGCCTCGAGACGGTGGGCAACTCCGTCATCTTCTTCGCGGCGCTGTTCGCCGTGCTCAGCCGCGGCTCGGGCATCGCGCCCGGCACCGTGGGGCTGTCCTTGAGCTACGCCCTGCAGGTCAGGAGACGAGTGGGCCAGAAGACCAGTGGAGGCGGTCCAAATCCCACACGCACTTTGAGGTCCAGAATCACGTAATGGGGCTCGAAACCGATCGTGTGACCCCATTAACAAATTGCTCGGAACGAGGAATCCATTGGTGGGGTCACAGGTTCGGTTCGAGTCCTGCACTTCAAAGCCGGTGGTAAGTTTACTTGCCAAAAGTTGTGAAAGCCAAAATTGGCAAGCTTGGCCCGGAAATTCCCCCCAGCTCGACAAAATTTGGCAAGCTTAGGAAGATTTCCGACCAAAGCTTGCCAAAATTTGGCATTAAAACGGCTTGCCGATTTTGTGGCAAGCAAACTTACCACCGGATTTGCAGTGTGTCTAGCGACTCCAGAGCTAAAAACGCGTCCGGGATTTTGACCGCCGATTCACGATTCACGTTCAAACAAATGTGATGTACTATTTAAGCGAGCGTGACACAGTTTGCGTTCAACGAATCGCCACGACGTCGCCACGTTCGTGGAATGCGAAAGTGACTTATGCCTTCATGCTACGCAAACTTCGTGCCTGCAGATCACGATGGTGTTGAACTGGGTGGTGCACTTCATCACTGAGGTGGAGAACAACATCGTGTCCGTGGAGAGAATCAAGGAGTACGAGGAGACCCCGCAGGTACGCACTACCAATTTCTATATTCAGTGCAAAATTGCGGTGAGATTCACTTTTAAAAAAAATCAGTTGTAATTTTCATAACTTTGGTTTGGCATTTTTTTTCACAAAAAATTGTTATGAAAATTAAAATTACAAATGATTGTAAATTGTTTTACAATCACGTTAAAAAATTCATATCATGTTATGAAAATTTATATTCGCGTTTGCGAGGTCATTTTAGAGCAGTTAAGCAAAAGGACAACTAATGTTCATGTATATGAACACCCAAGCGGCCTTATGCCATTTATTGAACCGATTCTGCTTTTGATCAGGGGTTTTTCAAACCCCGGGATCTTTGACTTGTGGTGCACGCTCTTTACCGCTGTGCTACCACGTCCCACGGGAGGCAGAGGGTCAGCTACTGATGACTCTACCAGCGCCCCGTGGCCACGCCTCTTGAGCTAGTTATGAAATTTACAATCGGATTCGGAAAAAATTTCTATTGTGTGCTCAAAATCAACATTTAAGATTCGCAATTTTTTAGAACATGGTTATAAATTAAAACAATTGTCAATTTTACGAAAATTTTTTTCGAATTTTTGCATCAAGTTATGAAAATTGCAATGTTTGTAAAATTCATATCCGTATTCGTAAAAATTTTCATCAAAAATTTCTTTGAAAATTCATAACTTTTTTAACAGTGTTGGGGGGTGTGAATTCTGCGCAAGGAAGGAAAATTGTTCGTAATACGAATCTTTTCTGGATTCTCATTTCAAGTTCAGAAGAATAACCTTCGTTGTACGAAGAAAAACTTTCGTAATACGAAGAAAACCTTAATTTGGAGAAAAACTCTTGAAATCCGAAGAGAACCATATTCTTAATACGAACAAAAACTTTCGTAAAACGAAGAAAAACCTTCACGAAGAAAAAGCTTCGTTCGTTTCATGCTTGAACCATTTACTAACTTCGTACTATGGGAAATTTCTCCGTGAGACATTTAGAGTGTACCCAAAGCGAGGTTGACGAATCCCATTTTCCCGGCAGGAGTCGCCGCACATCGGCACCGAGGCGGCCGTGAGCCCCGGCTGGCCCGTGGAGGGCACGGTGGAGTTCCGCAAGTACGCCATCCGCTACCGCGAGGGCCTGGACCTGGTCCTCAAGGGCATCGACGTGGCCGTCAAGGGCGGCGAGAAGGTAGGCTGCTGGCCAGGTGAAACAAAAGCGTGACCTTACGACGTGTGTGTGAGTGTGTGTGTGTTCCTGGTTCTTCCAGGAACTCCCTGGAAATCGCTCATATTGTTACCATTGGCTGCCTGGGTAAACCAGGAACCGTTTTGGCCGTGCAGGCTGGACGCGTACAATGAGTGGAAGAAGTGGCAGCTTCAAGACATTTCGAGTGTGGTTGGCAGGTGGGCATCGTGGGCCGCACGGGCGCGGGCAAGTCGTCGCTGACGCTGGGGCTGTTCCGCATCGTGGAGGCCGCCGAGGGCCAGATCCTCATCGACGGCGTGGACATCGCCCGGGTCAACCTGCGCACGCTGCGCTCGCGCCTCACCATCATCCCGCAGGACCCCGTGCTGTTCGCCGGCTCGCTGCGCGTCAACCTGGACCCCTACACGCAGTTCAGCGACGACGAGGTGTGGCGGGCGCTCGAGCGCTCCCACCTCAAGGCCTTCGTCTCGGGCCTGGCGGCCGGCCTCGGACACGAGGTGGCGGAGGGCGGCGAGAACCTCAGGTAGGCACTGCGGGTCAGAAGACCGGTGCAGGCGGTCAGAATCCCGGACGGTATTTGAGCTCCAGGGTCCGTTCAATGGGACTTTAACCGAACGTGTGACCCCGACCCCACCAATGGATTGCTCTCCGAACGACGAATTGATGAGGTCACACGTTCGGTTCTAGTCCTATGTAGCTTCTTTGACTAAAAACGCGTCGAGAGTTCTGGCCGCAACCGCGGGTCTTCTAGCCCATTATTGTGGTAACCCGGGGCCGGCTAGGCAGTCAATGTTGAAACTAAAACCAGCAAGGGAGAGCCAGATTTTCGTCATATGCGGGATTCCGGAAGGGCATCAAATTGTAAATACCCAAGTACATCACTACAACCACTACACCACTACAACAGCGGTCCGAAACGTTCTTAAACTACGTCCAAAATCCGTAAATTACTGTGACCTTTTTTATTTTTAAGCTCCGTTATGGAGGTGTTGTAATGAATTTCGGAAGGAAGTAATAAGCGCGATCTTGATATACTACCCGCCAAATGTTGATGAACAATTTTGTACGTGGTGTTGAAACCGTCGCTTTACATCAAGTTACGCTCGAATTTGCTTAAATTTAACCATAGTGTACGCCCATTAGGGAAATTCCACGTATGCAATGCAAAGCCAGTGGTAAGTTTGCTTGCCACAAATTTGGCAAGCCGTTTTGAATGCCAACATTTGGCAAGCTTTTGCCGGGAATCTTCACAAGGCTGCCAAATTTTGGCAAGCTGGGAAGTATTTCCGGGCCAAGCCTGCTAACTTTTGGCATTCAAAACGGCTTGCCAAATTTGTAGCAAGTAAGCTCACCACCGGCTTTGCAGTGTGCTCAAAATCAGGCAAGTTACACGTACAAAATTCTACATTAACATCTAGTGTGTTTCGCGCCCTTCCCAAATGCCTCTTGTGAAGAAAGTTTGGATGCACTGTTCCCTTCTCAGGCGTCACAAAGCGCCTCTTGCACGATCTTTGGATGGCAAGTTAATTTTCCGAACAAAATCACTCCGAGCGTTTAAAGTCACGCTCAAAGCCTTGGCTATTCTGTGAATCAATTCAGCGCCGCCGGGAAACAAAATGCACAACATGACGACGCTGACGACTTTTGGTATTGCAGTGTCGGCCAGAGGCAGCTGGTGTGCTTGGCGCGCGCGCTCCTCCGCAAGACGAAGGTGCTCCTGTTCGACGAGGCCACTGCTGCCGTCGACCTGGAGACGGACGACCTCATCCAGGTGTTGTCTTTGCTAGTCTCGCCGGAGACGATGTCGTCAGGCAAAAGCCTGAGTGTCGCAAGTTGGATAGATTCTAACCCACTGTATCTCTGCCGCCAGAAAACCATCAGGGAGGACTTCAGGGACTGCACCATCCTGACCATCGCCCACAGGCTCAACACCATCATGGACTCGGATCGGTGAGTGGCGCACAGCGAGGGTCAAGTTAGCCCTCACCGCACAGTAGTGGGCCAGAAGACTGGTAGAGGCGGTCAAAGTCCCGAACGGGTTTCGAGCTCTAGAGTCGCTTAGGGACTCGAACGGAACGTGAGACCCACGAATGGTTTGCTCTTAGAACGAGGAATTGATTTATTGGTGGGGTCACACGTTCGGTTCAAGTCCTGCTACGCGTCTCTGAGTTCAATTACGCGTCCCGAGTTCTGGCCGCCTCCACCGGTCTTCTGGCCCACTGTGAACCTTCATACTGACAAGCCCCCTTC